AAAGAACATAAAATGAAGGAAAATCTCTCCAATGGAGAATGAAACAGCAAAAAACACTTCATGGCAGAGTTGGGAATGTGCTTATTGTCTTATTTCCCAATGACTGCTGGTCTCCTCATGGTCTTGGTGTCACAGAAATAAAAAGTGAGGGAAATTTTTGTAAATGGTGCCCACAAACAATACAAATGGACATAAATTCTTTAACATTCCTTACTCGATTAAAAACTTAAAAATAATTTGCCTGTACGCTGGAATATAAATCATACCATAAAGAACACAGCAAACATGGTACCTTATTATTTACACAGAGAAATCTCACAAAGGTTTATGGAAAATAAAATATCTCAAATTAAAAACAAGCAATGGTGCCAAAAAAGGTCAATGATTTCATATTTTGGCCTTATTATCTGTTTAATGCCTAGGATGAAATATACAATTTGTAATAAATAGAAATTAGATGATACATAAAGTTGACATTTAGAATACCCTGTAGGCATCCTCAACACTAGAACTGTTAATCACTGATCCTTCTTTTCTTTAAGGAAGGGTAATCTGCTTAACATTTCATGTTATCCACAAGTTACACCAGAACACTACTGACCTTTGCAACCCCAGGCAAGATTTAGATGTAACAAAATGTTCCTTCTGTCATCCTTTATCCTTTCAAAAATGTTGTTGCAAAGAAAACGGTCCTTAGTTGTGGAGGCTGCATTTCTTTCTTTTTTTCTTACCTTGTGATCCTGCCAGTAACATACTTTGTGTCCTAGTATGCCAATGCTCCCTATCTGAGATGCATCCATGATGGATGGAGCAACATTGCCACCTTAGACCGGTCTCCTGAGTTGGACCAGAAACACATTCCCCTCTCCTCATCTCATTGCATATGGGGAGGTGTTTTGTAGCTCAAAGAATATAACTGGGCAGGATGATAACATTGTGTGAGATTTTGGTTTAATGCCTGGAAGTTACAAGAACACAAAATTTCTTGCAGGATCAAAAGGTATGTTTCTGTACTTGCAGTCCTTAGGGGTGCTGACTGCTATATTACATTTTTTGTTCTTGGGTTTAGATGTACTTTAACCCCATTGTTGCTGGTTCCCACCCACCCTTTAAGTGTTTTTTATCACCAGGAGGCAGAGTGGGCTTCCTGATTATAAGCTGTCACAGTAATCACGAGTGGGAGCCCGTATCCAGCTCCCAATCGCAAACAATGATTGGCAGCTGTCCAAGGTCACTGTGCTAGGTACACCAAATGAACATGCTCGCAGCACAACACAGCACTGTTGGCTGTACACATACAGTGCCTTGAAAAAGTATTCATGCTCCTTGAAATTTCCCACATTTTGTCATGTTACAACAAAAAATGTAAATGTATTTTATTGGGATTTTATGTGATAGACCAACACAAATTGGCACATAATTGTGAAGTGGAAGGAAAATGATAAATGGTTTTCAAGGTCTATTACAAATAAATATCTGAAAAGTGTGGCGTGCATTTGTATTCAGCCCCCTTTACACTGATATCCCAAACTAAAATCTAGTGGAGCCAATTGCCTTCAGAAGTAATTTAATTAGTAAATAGAGTCCACCTGTGTGTAATTTAATATCAGTATAAATGCACCTGTTCTATGAAGCCCTCAGAGGTTTGTTAGAGAACATTGTTGAAAGAAATCCATTAGAACTCCTGTGTTCATTAGCCATGGGGGGGGGGGGGGGGGCACAGCAAACGTGGAAGAAGGTGCTCTGGTCAGATGAGACCAAAATTGAACTTTTTGGTCTAAAAGCAATATGCTATGTGTGGCAGAAAACCAACACTTCACATCACCCTGAACACACCATCCCCACCGTGAAACATGGTGTTGCAATCCTTATGTTGTGGAGATGCTTTTCTTCAACAGGGACAGGGAAGATGGTCAGAGCTGATGGGAAGATGGATGGAGCTAAATACAGGGCAATCTTAGAAGAAAACCTGTTAAAGTCTGCAAAAGACTTGAGACTGGGGTGGAGGTTCACCATCCAGCAGGACGTCGACCCTAAACAAACAGCCAGAGCTACAATGGAATGTTTAGATCAAAGCACATTCAGGTGTTAGAATGGCCCAAAGTCCAGACCTAAATCCAATTGAGAATCTGTGGCAAAACTTGAAAATTGCTGTTAACACGCTCTCCATCCAATCTGACAGAACTTGAGCTATTTTGCAAAGAAAAATGGGCAAAAATTTCATTCTCTAGATGTGCAAAGCTGGTAGAGATAGAGACATACCCAAAAAGGCTTGCAGATGTAATTGCAGTGAAAGGTGGTTCTACAAAGTATTAACTCGGGAGGATCTGAATACAAATACACACCACACTTTGCAGATATTTCTTCCACTCCACAATTATGTGCCACTTCGGGGTTTATTTACTAAATCCAGAGAGTGCAAAATTAGGTGCACTTCTGCATAGAAACCAATTAGCTTCCAGGTTTTATTATCAAAGCTTAATTGAACAAGCTGAGCTTTAGAACCTGATTGGCTCCTATGCACAGCTGCACCAGATTCTGAGTAAACCAGTTTTAGTATATTCCCTCCCCTTTGTGTTGGTCTATCACAAAAAATCCCAATAAAACACATTTATGTTTCTGGTTGTAACATGACAAAATGTGGAAAATTTCAAGGGGTATGAATATTTTTTCAAGGTATTGTATACAATCACTGGTCTCTTTATTAGGTACATCTGTTCAATTGCTGGGTAACACAAATTGCTAATCAGCCAATCACATGGCAGCAACTCATTGCATTTAAGCATCTAGACATGGTAAAAATGACTTGCTGAAGTTCAAACTAAGCATCAGAATGGGGAAGAATAGGGATTTAAGTGACTCTGAATGTGGCATGGTTGTTGGTGCCAGATGGGCTGGTCTGAGTATTTCAAAACTGCTGATCCACAGGGATTTTCACCCACAAACCATCTCTAGGGTTTGCAGAGAATGGTCTGCAGGAACTGCATGATGCTATCATGTCAATATGGACCAAAATCTCTGAGAATGTTTCCAACACCTTGTTGAATCTATGCCACAAAGAATTAAGGCAGTTCTGAAGACAAAAGAGGGTCCAACTTGGTACTAACAAGGTGTACCTAATAAAGTGGCCGATGAGTGTATCTTTCAGCCCGCCGTAAAAGCCCACCGACTTGTTGCCACAAATATCTAGGCCAGAAGCAAGTGTTTATCATTACCTTTATGGCTTGACTTAAAGTGATTCTAAAGGTAATTTTATTTTTTGCAAAATAACAAACATGTCTATGCTTATCTGCTGTGTTCAGTGGTTTTACTCAGTGCACGCTGGATCCTCCTCTTCCTAGGTCCCCCGCAGGCTCTCCCGGCTCCTCCTGTCAGGTGCCCCCATAGCAAGCAGCTTGATATGGGGGCACCTGCTGCTCCGTGTGTCCATTCAGATACGGAGCTGTGGCTTGGCCCCGCCCCCTCTCTCTCCTCATTGGCTGACTGGCTGTGATTGACAGCAGCGGAAGCCAATGGCTGTTCCAGAGGCTATTGTGCACATCGCTCGATAGGGCTCAGGTAAGTATTGAGAGGGCTGGGGGGATGATGCACACAGAAGGTATTTTACCTTCATGCATAGAATGCATGAAGACAAAAAACATTGAGCCTTTACAACCACTTTTGTTCTCATACAAGAGTTAAGAGTGTTGACCAACAGCAGCATCTCATGCGGTAATTGGCCTGCTTTTATCAGTGTATATAAATTGGCTGGCAGTTTGCTGAGGTTCTCCCTTTTCTCCTCACAACTACATCAGTATTCAGTAGAGATATATTCTTCAACCAGTGGATGGCAGTGTTTATAGGTTTGTAGCTGCACTTATGATAAACTCTATGTCTTTTCTCTGAATAAAGTTTCCTGTTTCCTTGTTGCAGTGAAGCTGAAAAGCACATGTCTGTTCTGCAGGGCTATATACAGAAACTCTAATAATTATAATTAAAGTATAAGCATTTAAATGGAAAAATAATGTAAAAGAATAATAGGACGGGCTGAGATTTGGATTTGTGGCAAGTCCAGCTAGTTTGAGTTTGGGGGTTCAGTGAATTATTGTCTGAATTCACTCGAACAGTTTTGTTTAAAAACCATAAAGCATTGCATGGCCTTTAAACCATGGCTTGCAGACTCACATGGACCAATTATAGAGGGATTTTAATAAGCCAGCACCCCCACTAAAAAAAAGGAAGGTGTTTGTGTGTGTTGGGGGTGGGGGAGAGATGGATCTGTTAGCAAACTCTGCTTTACTTTTGGGAATTGCATTGGTGGGTATTAGGCCAATCGCCCCCTTCCTTGTGTTCACAGTTATTAATTTAACCCAAAAATCTTTATTAGGTTTACTTTGTCTTCAGCAAGTCTGATTGCTAGATCTTTGGTAATCACCCACCTTGCTGCTTTTATTTTTGTTTATTATTAGACGCTGTTTTCCTTTAATTGATTGTGGTTGGCTTGAGAGCAGCATTACTTTTACATTCTGTTCTATCAATAGCAAGACTCTCCAGTAAAAAAAAAAAAAAACAAGAAAAAAAACAAAACAACGAGCTTTTGTTTCAGATGGGTGGCATTTTGGGGATTAGTTTCTTTTGGGGGTATATATTTTGTATTTTATATTGTAAGGTCTTTTTTAAGTTTGATGTGTTTAAAGCTCAGTATTCATTTGCTGTTGACCATCTGTTCCTGGAGCTGCCCGTTGTTTGCAGCATCTGCGTGGTTTAGAAGAAAAAATGTAATAAGCAAAAACATTTACTGCACCCCCTATCTCCAGAGTAAAAATAAAAGGTTACATAGACAAGCTAGGCCTATTATCCCCGATTTAAACTGTCTTGCCTCTGACCAGTTTTTCACAGCTCTAACACGCAAATATGCGGCTTCTTGGCATCTGGGCCTTGATGCCGAGTGGCGCGCCATTATAAAATACATACGTGCTGAGAGCTTGCGCCCCAAGTACATGTCTGTGACTCACGGAAAGGTCCCGATCTCCTCTTGCGATCGGGACTTTTTCCGATCATGTGACGGCCGAGACGGCAAATCACGGCAGTCACATGACCCTAAAACCCCACCCACCTCCTGTCTTTCTGAAACTCAAAGGGCCAGGAGGTGCCAGTGCAAAGGGGTTAAATTCTGGTATAAATACACCGACCTCTACATTTTGGCTTATTTTTGCTGATTGAGGCCTCATTTAATCGGGGTGTACCAATCCGTACACCTGCGAAAGTGGCTATCTTCACTTGTGTGGGATGCACAGGTAGACAGACTCGTGCAGGGAGCCTGTTCAAATCAATGATAGAAGGCTGGCCTCACAGACCTGCTTGGATCTCCATGCACATCCCGGAGTATACATCCATGCAGGCGTGATGCACAGATCACAATGTAGACAAACTGGAGTTGATTTATTAAAATTGAAGAGTGCAAAATCTGTCGCAGTTGTGCATGGTAGCCAATCGGCTTCTAACTTCAGCTTGTTCAATTAGGATTTGACAAAAAAAAAAAACAAAAACTGGAAGCTGATCGGTTTCTCTGCAGCGCTGCACCAGATTTTTCACTCTCCAGTTTTAGTAAATCAACCCCATGGTGTATAGATGGGTACTCCCAGGTGAATGAGGCCCTATACCAGTGATGGCGTGCCACAGCCGGCACGCCGAGCCTTATCTGTGGGCACACCAGGAGAATACCATATTTTTCGCTCCATAAGACGCACTTTTTTTCCCCCAAAAAAGGGGGGGAAAATGTCAGTGCGTCTTATGGAGCGAATATAGAGCGGCCGGTCCGGTATTTTCCACCGCCGCCGTGTCAGAATACCGGGCCGGCCGCTCAGCTCTGCAGTGGGACCGTACCTGTCCCTCTATCCAGCTGTCTTCCCGGCTTCTGTAGTGTGCGTGACAGCCGGGTCCCAAGTGCGCATGCGCAAGAAGCAGTGCTCTTTGTGAATGGTAAGGCGGTACCTGGGACACACGACAGATCCCAGAAGCCGCCGGACCAATCACAAAGCGCAGCGCTTCTCGCGCATGCGCACTGGGCATCCGGCTGTCCGACGAGCGCCCACACTACAGAAGCCGGGAAGACAGCGCGCGGCTGGATAAAGGAACAGGTAAGATAAAAAAAAAAAAAACTCTGCGGAAGTAAGAGCGGGTACCTGTCAAATTCAGGTACCCGCTCCCCCTCCCTCCCCAAAGGTCAGCAGTCATCTGTACTGTCCGCAGTCTCTGGTCATCCCTGTACTGTCCGCAGTCTCTGGTCATCCCCTGTACCGTGTCCGCAGTCTCTGGTCATCCCTGTACCGTGTCCGCAGTCTCTGGTCATCCCTGTACCGTGTCCGCAGTCTCTGGTCATCTCCTGTACCGTGTCCGCAGTCTCTGGTCATCCCTGTACTGTCCGCAGTCTCTGGTCATCCCTGTACCGTGTCCGCAGTCTCTGGTCATCTCCTGTACCGTGTCCGCAGTCTCTGGTCATCCCTGTACCGTGTCCGCAGTCTCTGGTCATCCCTGTACCGTGTCCGCAGTCTCTGGTCATCCCTGTACCGTGTCCGCAGTCTCTGGTCATCTCCTGTACCGTGTCCGCAGTCTCTGGTCATCCCTGTACCGTGTCCGCAGTCTCTGGTCATCCCTGTACTGTCCGCAGTATCTGGTCATCCCTGTACTGTTAATTAGTTTGCACTACTGTACGAGTTGTTTTTTCTAAACCAAAAGCTCGATATTCAGGTTTCATTGCAGTGTTGGCACTTTGAAAGAAATAAGTTGGTTTTGGGTTGCAGTTTGGGCACTCGGGCTCAAAAAGGTTCGCCATCACTGCCCTATACTGTCCTGCCACTTGTCAGTCTTTATGCAGCTGCATTTGAGAGTTTGACAGAAATTGGCTAGTAATAAGACCGTTTTTCATCAGGAGAAAAGGGAGAGCCTCAGCAAACTGCCAGCCAATTTATATACACTGATAAAAGCAGGCCAATTACCGCATGGGATGTTGCTGTTGGCCAACTTTTACACAACGGTATCATCTGCAGGCCAACACTCATAATTCTTGTATGAGAACAACTGCCTTCTGCCTTTGGTTTTGTATATTTCTGCCTATTCTTGCAGATTTAAGCGGTCCTGTTTCTGGACAACTTTACACAGCTGTAACATCTGTGGGCTGAAGTGTATGAAAACACTTTCCTGTACCTTCTTTCTGCACATTTTAGTCTATTACTGTCCTGCCACTGGCCAGTTTTTATGCAGCTGTACTAGAGAGTTTGATAGAACTTGGCCAGCAGCAGGACAGTTCTGCATCAAGAGAACAGGGTCAGTCTCAGTGAACTACTGGCCTATTTCCATCTACCATTCTACTGAATAGGCACTGCCAAAGTGCATTGCTGCTGTGAGCATCTCTGAAAATGATGGAGTTCTGTAAAACCACATACAGCTTTACGGCATCCCACAAACATATAATGTAGAGAGTTTGAGTACTTTTTCATGTTGCCTGAAAGTCGAATGAAAAGGATGCTCTTGCTGCTGTACAGTATTATTTAAAACCATTTTTGACATTGTAAGCTTGTCTATTAGCCTTACAAATGGCCAGAACTTACTAACAAGATTTGTGCAATTTGTGGCAAATTTTAGGCTCTCTAAATTTCTAACAGGAAACTCCTGGCTATTATATTTCTTTTGAAATACAACGCTATGTTTTTGTCCAGACCGTAAAAAAAATTGGAGCACTTAAGTATTTTTCGTTTGGCCCAATATAAAAATGTGACCTCAGAAGGTTACAGTTAACCATTTTAGGAACACAAACAGCTGTGGGGTATGGGAAGAGTCAAAACACAAATAATTGGTTCATATCAGCTACTATGTGAAAATAACCAGATCGATTTAAACAAAATGTTTTAGATACTAACTAAGCTGGTCAAACATTACAATCTAATTGTACTGTGTCCCTATGGTCACCGTTAAATTTAACAATGCGAGAACGCATTTAATTTACATCCAATCAGTGAATTCCATGCACTACATAGTTAGGCCAACACAGAATATAGTTATTGGTAAAACTGAAAGAAATTGTACAGAGATTGTACAGAGTGCAACATGTGAACAGCTTAAAGTGTAGATTTCTAGATCTTCGTTTTCACCTACCCCATCTAAATCCCACTAATGTGTGACAAACCTTTTATAATCAAGGGGAATAGGACAGGTATATTATTTTTCCCCTCCACTACATTAAACAGATAAGTAAATAGAAATTCAGAACAGTTTGAGATTTACACTTTAATATATAGCTTTTGTTCGTTTTGAGGGTCACCATTGTGACTGTACTCACCTAGCAATTTCTAAGACTGTACAAATAATATAAATCATAGTGTGATGATAAATTAATATTAACACACATATTTCTCATTGTGTATATTCATAGGTTTTGCTACTGTTGTCTGCATATAGCGATTTAAAGGTTCAGTGACTTCACATGATCCTCTTACAGCAGTTTACTGTATTTGTGGGCAATGAAGACTAGCACATTTAGCACTTCTATGCTGTAAATAATTGCTCATATTTATATTCTCACCTGAATGTACAGCAAGATGTCACTCCATCTTCATACAGACCTGTGTAAAACGTGTTAGCAGCAGCAGCAGTAACCTGGCTAATCCCATCACATCCTCTTCTACCAAGAACGATGCAGGGAAGACTTAATCAGCTTTGTTTAAAGCCCCAGTGCCACATTTTTTAAAAGGCCAACCGGCTTATGGCAGAGGCGTAGTAGGTGTAATTCTCTGAAAAGGTTATTTACGCATTCATCTTCTTCTCTTAAAGAACTGATGCCCCACTGGCAGTCCTTACAGCCTCCTGTGCCCTCAGGGTAAAAAAAAAATAATTTTCATATTGATCAGTGAACAGGGTCGGACAGGGTGGGGATGAGAATGATGGCAACAAAGCTGCCATTTTTATACTTGTATATCTATCCCCATAGCTCTTTATAGAATGTTCAACTGAAACAGCTACAAAGCATGATCATGTAACATTGGAATATACTGAAACAAGGTACACATTCTGTATTGAGGAAGTAGGAGGCTGCCATTGCTGAATTCATTTTCTGAACATACTGTAGTTGCTCGGCTGTCATGCTGATCTAGTGGCTTCAGTACGTTCTTAGTCACTTACCTTGAACAAGCATGCAAATCAGTTCTGACTTTCCAGATCTAGGGTCAGTGACTCCCAAGTATTGACACCATTGTATCAGCATGACAGCCTCTATATTTTAGGCTCATTTATTTATTATTACAGGTACTTGTATAGCGCTGTCAATTTACACAGTGCTTTACATATATATTGTACATTTACATTAGTCCCTAACCCTCAAGGGGTGTACAATCTAAGATCTCTAACTCACAGTCATACATAAACATACTAGGGCCAATTTAGACAGGATCCAATTAACCTACCAGCATGTCTTTGGAGAAACAGAAAACCCAGAGAAAACCCACGCAGGCACAGGAAGAACATGCAAACTCCAGGCAGGTGGTGCGGTGGCTAGGATTCGAACCAACGACCCTAGTACTGCCAATCGGAAGGGATAACCATTTACCCACTGTACTGCCCTATGCTGCACTTATGCCAGCGAAAGAGCAACAGTTTTGGCATCTTTTATGTAATTCTTCAACTCCAAAGTAATGAAGCACAGGCATTCCGATACTGTCCATGATTTTGTATTTGAACACCATTCCCTTTAACCAATGTTCTTTTTGTTTTGGTCAGAGTAGGAAGTACATTCTATCTTTGTCAAAACACTAATAAGTACAGTCGTCAAGTTGTCGCATGGCTGTCCTTACTACTTAAGGACCTGGCTGTCCTACTACTTTAAAAAGAAAAGACTATTGTGCAAAGCAATGACAGGCTTTTTAAATGTGCATTGTGCTCTGAAAAAGCTTTGGAAAACATGATCATGTAACCTGTGAAAGGTAATTGACTTACTCAAGAACTCAGTGAAGTACTCTGATTTTAATTTTAAGGATGGGACAACTTGCTTGCTCCAGTACCTGTTCTCCATTATAAATGAACCCTTATGAGAGGTGAAATCTTCCCACATCAAGCCTGCTTTTCTAAATGAAACCCCTTAGTCAGCTATCAGTTAAGGGTATATGTGTATGTATATATATATATATATATATATATAAGAAAACATGTCAGAAAGGACTGGAAAACTGTGGTGAAAAGAGGTCAGCCACCCCTTCAAAACAAACCCCCCCCCACCACCCTCAGTTGCTGGGTTTCTCTGGATTTCTTCAGGCAAAGGCCCTGGGTTCTTTAGGACATAGGCAGCTGACAGGGACATTTGTTGCTATAACCTTCTTGAGGAGGGTTGACTGTTCCCATAGGGAGATTTAAGGGAGATTCCGATTAATCACTGGGTGTAAGAATAGTTACAGTCTTCCATATGACCCAGTTTGAGCAGCTATGTATTATGTCCAAACCTCTACTGTACAAAACATTGCTTCTTACTAGAACCCTGGAACTTAACCTATCTGCACAACAAATCTCCCAAATAGTTCAGCTGACCCACAAGTCTTCAATAGTCTCCAAAACACAAGAAACCTGCAACAAACTCCTGACTCACTGGTTCAGGTTTCCGGCCTAAAGGCTGTAATTTTTCTGAATATATCACCACCATCACCTGTCCCAGTGCACACAAAAACACCACCATACAGCATACAAGTGTCCTGATCACTGCCATACCCCACACCAACAACCCTGATTACTGCCATACCCCATACCAGCGTCCTGATCACCACCATACTCCATACCAACAATCCTGATTACTGCCATAACCCCATACCAGCGTCCTGATCACCACCATACTCCATACCAGCATTCTGATCACTGCCATACCCCTTACCAGCGTCTTGATCACCGCCATACCTCATGCTCACATCCTGATCACCACCATACTCCATACCAGCGTCTTGATCACTGCCATAAGTCATGCCAGCACCTGGCATTTTAGGGTCTCAACAGATCAATTTTTAAATATATATCCCAGAGAATGTAGACTCTATAGCTTTCACACAGACTAAATAATATACACTTGTTTTGGGTTATTTTTACTCCAAAAATGTAGCAGGATACATTTTGGCCTAAATCACTGAATAAAAATGATTTATTTGCAACATTTTTAAACAAAAACTAAGCTCAAAGTTTTCGGTCTTTTTTCATTTATATAACAAAAAAAATAAAAAAAAACAGTGGTGATCAAATACCACCAAAAAAAAGCTCTATCTCTCTAAAAAAAAAAAAAAAAAAAAAAGATAAAACTTTTAGACGTGTACAGAGTTGCATGACTGAGAAATTGTCACTCAAAGTATGATAGTGCTGAAAGCTGAAAATTGGCTTGGACTAGAAGGGGGTGAAAGTGCCAGGACTGGAAGTGGATAAAGAATGTGAGTAACAAGCTCCACCTGGTTCGCTAGAATGCAAAAAATTAATAAGCAATATTTCATATTTAACTGACAAACCAATTTTAATATTTTTAGTGTTAGCTAATAAAGAGAATGTGTAAAAAAACTGTATAGTGTACACACTGATTGTCCAGGAGTTCCATTCTAGGTGGATTCCTACTTTGTAATTTTGCAACTATTGCTTAGCAAAAGGTAGCATTAGTAAAGACTTACATAAAATGTAATATTAATTTTGAATGCAGCACAGATCAAATGCATGCACTTGAATGCAAAAAACTGTTTGACCTGCTTTGCTTACATTGCAAACACATCTTCCGTAGGACATTCAGAAAAACACAAAGCAGGTCATATGGAGGCTCAGAAATGTCAACTATGTTGCACTACTGAGGCAAATGGGAATTTACTGACAGACATCATCTCATGTACACAACCATGTACACAAGCCCTATAGAACCCTGCTAATACTGCTACTAAACAGCCTGTATGACTGTAGGCTGTAGCCCGTCCAATGTAACTACACATGTACAGAATGTCCTCTGTCCAGTCTTGCGGTTTATCTTCTTATATACATCTAAAAAGCAAAATTATGCTCATGGGGTTTTCACTAGGTCTGAAAATTTAGACAGAGAAAATAATATGTAGGAGAGGAGTCACAGCTGAATTATAAGCTTGAACTATTGGGCTCTGTGATCAAAAGATTTTTTTTTTAAATTGTTAAAGTGTTACTAAACCCAGGATCCTGCATTCTCTCTGTCTGGTCTCCTACAGTACTAAGAACATGGAAGTGCAATTATGTTAGTAAATATAAACTTCTAATTACCTTTTCTCATCAGCAGTTAGAGGAGTCCTGTGATTTCAGCTAAGCACTGGTTAAAGCTTGTAGGAGGATGCAGGACCCCTGACCTCTGTCTGGACAGTGCTGATCACATGCACTCTCCCAAGAAGAACAAAAAAAAAAAATGTATCTAGCATTACACACCACACTGAGCTTGTGTAGAGTGTCAGAGAAGACATGATCAAACAGCCTTTTTACACAATGCAGAGGACTAACCCCTTAGGTTCCACAGTGAGTATAACAAGCATGCTTTACTGCATATACAGACTGATTTTACTGTTGTGGGTTTAGTAACACTTTAATCACTTGCCATCCTAAGGATTTAGCCTCCTTAATGACAAGCCTTTTTTTGCTATTTGGCGCCGCACTATTTTAACTGGTAATTGTGCGGTCATGCAATGCTGTACCCAAACAAAATTGCTCCCTTTTTTCACACAAATAGCGCTTTTAGGCGGTGTTCCTGGCAATCAAGGGGTTAAATGTGATTACTGGTGTACTAACGGGCAATCTTACACTATCTGGGAGGGGTGCTGACACTAGCACTATCTGAAGTCCCCAGCGACACTAATACAGTGATCAGCAAAAAATCTGTACATTGTACTGACACTGGTGACAGGGCAGTGAAGGGGTTAACGGGGGGATCAAGGGGTTAAATGTGTCCTAGAGTGTTCTAACTGTAATAGTGTAGTGCTTTCACTCAGTTTATGTTAATTCTTCTCTCTCTGGGATGGAATGTGCCCAGAGAGAGAAGATTTCATCACTTTGTGTTCTGTGTAACTGTCAACAAAGGACAGGATAGGACAGTGATCGATCATCTGACTTGGGCTGGACATCACTGGCATGAATTGGATGATTGATCCCACGGGGGATCAAATCGGGGCACCAGTGGGGACACACCCCCTTCCAGGCCACGAAAACCGCAGGAGCGTGAATCACATATATATATATATATATATATATATATATATATATACACACGTGATTTTGCACACAGGGCTGCCCTGCAGCTGTAAATGTACTGTGAGCGGTCCTTATGCAGTTAAGCAACAAATAAGCTAAGGAGACAGACAAAACATGTGAATAGGAGCCTAAGGTTCCTCCTGCTGGCTAAAAAGAATACGAAAGTCATGTGATCCTTTGTTGTACCTATAGTATTCTATCAGTGGAGACCAGTGACTGAAAACTGCTACCCAGGCCCCCTAACCAGTTTTATTGTCACTTCCTAAACTATAATGTCATGACACTGCTTCTTCAAGACCGAGGACCCCTGCAATGAACTCTTGCTACATTCAATGAGAACATTTACCAGGAAGCAATTTAGGTAGGAATTCAGGTCTTTTTTTTTTTTTTTTTTTATTCTTCAGCGATTGGGGAGCTTGGAGGTTATCCAGAAACGAGCTTTAAATTAAGTTGTTGATAAAAAGATATATCATGCTTTGTCACAGCTGCATATGGAATGTTGGAATGCAATAGGTGACCAATTGTTTAATTTATATTTGCTAAAAGGCAAACATATTTATACAGACAATGCCATCAAACATAGAATTTTAGCAAAAACAGAAAATATATACATACTGCATTTTTGTACACATGTACAAGAACTATAATGCTTTATAATAAAAACTGCTATGCTCTGTAAATCCCCAGCCATCTATGCACCAAGTGTCAGATCAGAACACCATTTTATATAAATACAATAGCAAGGGCATACTTGGTCATATTTTATACTACACTAAACCCTTCACACAAACCTTTTTATTATTACATTATTGTTTTAAAAGACCAGTACAAAGGAAACAAGCATAGGGGTACATTTACTAAAACTGGTACACTCAGAATCTGAAGCAGCTGTGCATGGCAGCCAATCAGCTTCTAACTTCAGCTTGTTCAATTAAGCTTTGGTAATAAAACCTGGAAGCTGATTGGTTTCTATGCAGAGCTGGGGTTTTAGTAAATAATCTCCACTGTGATGAAAAAAAAAAAAAATACCGTATTTTTCGCTCCATAAGACGCACCTGACCATAAGACGCACCTAGGTTTTAGAGGCTGAAAACAGGAAAAAAAATATTCTGAACTAACGGACTGCAGACATAGTACAGAAGATGACCAGAGACTGCGAACACAATACAGATGACCAGAGCCTGCGGACACAGTACAGGGGATGACCAGAGCCTGCGGACACAGTACAGGGGATGACCAGAGCCTGCGGACACAGTACAGGGGATGACCAGAGACTGCGGACACAGTACAGGGGATGACCAGAGACTGCGGACACAGTACAGGGGATGACCAGAGACTGCGGACACAGTACAGGGGATGACCAGAGACTGCGGACACAGTACAGGGGATGACCAGAGACTGCGGACACAGTACAGGGGATGACCAGAGACTGCGGACACAGTACAGGGGATGACCAGAGACTGCGGACACAGTACAGGGGATGACCAGAGACTGTGGACACAGTACAGGAGATGACCAGAGACTTTGGACAGTACAGGGATGACCAGAGACTGCGGACAGTACAGGAGATGACTGCTGACCTTTAGGGGGGGGGGGGGGAGTGGGTACCTGAGTTTGACAGGTACCGCCTTACCATTCACAAAGAGCACCGCTTCTTGCGCATGCGCACTTGGCACCCGGCTGTCATGCCCAGTGCCCACACTAAAGAAGCCGGGAAGACAGCGTGCTGCTGGATAGAGGAACAGGTAAGGTCCCGCTGCAGAGCTGAGTGGCTGGCCCGGTATTCTGACACGGCGGCGGTGGAAATACCGGACCGGCCGCTCCATATTCGCTCCATAAGACGCACTGACATTTTCCCCCCTTTTTTGGGGAGAAAAAAGTGCGTCTTATGCAGCGAAAAATACGGTAATTCTTCATGGTCCATGTAACTAGGGGCAGGGCAGGGGATGTGCCCTTTGCCTACACAAATTATACCAAAGGGAGTTCCTTTTCCTAGCTCAAAAGGTTGGAAGGTATTAAAAAGCCAGCGGGGCTCTATCAGCACAAAACAGATGAAATCTGAATTATTGCTACCTGTAATTGTTTTATCCCAATATTGCTCTTTAAACTGCCTTAATAAAATTAGCCCATAAACCAACATCAAGGGATTTCTGTTATTTGTGTACATTTTAGATTTTAGTCTTGAATATGCCCATATACAGTAGTTGATTAGAAAACAAAAAAAATCAGGCAAAATGTCAGATTTGCTTATTCTCCCAGTCCTACTAAAGTTTCATACAAACGGAGTACAAGCTCATTTCAATTACAATGTTTTTTTAAATTAAAAACCTCACACACACACAGGCCACTTTATTAGGTACACTTTGCTAGTGACAAGAAAATATCCCCCATATTACACCACTACTACCAGCCAGAACCATTGATAAAAGGATGGATCCATGCTTTCATGTTGTTTGTGCCAAACTCTGACCCTACCATCTGAATGTTGCAGCTGAAATCCAGACTCATCAGATCAGGGAACCTTTTTCCACTCTTCTATTTTCCAATTTTGGTGAGCCTGTGGAAATTGTAGCCTCTGTTTCCTGTTCTTAGCTGACAGGAGTTACACCCTGTGTGGTTTTCTGCTGCTGTAGCCCATTTGCTTGAAGTTACTGTTGCCTTTCTATCACCTTGAACTAGTCTGCCCATTCTCCTCTGACATCAAGGCATTTTCATCCACACAACTGCAGCTCACTGAATGTTTTCTCTTTTTCAGACCATTCTCTGTAAACCTTAGAGATGGTTGTGTGTGAAAATTCCAGTAGATCAACAGTTTTTGAAACACTTAGACCAGCCCGTCTGGCACCAACAATCAGTCACTGTCAGCACTGGGGTAAAGTTAGCTGAATGAGGGAGAGAAGGCGATGGAGAAGAAAAATGCTGGAATACTAGTCATTACCAGTGTGTGAAGATGGATTGCTTTGTAAGAACGTGGAATTCATAAAGAGTGTCATAGAATCCAGTTGTTCCTTCACATGACAAATCTCAAAAACAGAAACACAAATTGGTTGCATAGAGGAGATGGCAGTGAGGCTGAAGTGTCCATACTGTGGACGCTCCATCCCCAGTGCATGTTCAGCCACTTGCTATCCAAGACATTGTTGGCTCTGTAGTCAAGAGCATCATAGCAATCAATGAATCATCCCTGACCCCAGGAGATTTCCCAGGTCACAACTGAAACTAAACAAAAGGTCAGAGATGTTGGCTGGCATGATTCTCCAAATACAGCCATTGTTTATTTGTATTTTTGATTAATGACATCAGCAACCAGCATCATGACAGCTTCCCAGCACACAATTCCCCACCCCGAACACTGGTGTCTCTCCGATCACCAACTCAGAGTTGGTCTTGATTACTGCCAAGTTGCTTATCTGCTAACTGGTGGTAATTATATTATGAATCTTTTGCAGCCAAGGTAATAGTTTATAAAAGCAACAGTAATAAGAAGTACCTGAATCTGGCACATGTATTGGAAAGTTTTATAAAATTGTTGCAAGGCTTTCCTGAATCAAGTTCTAATAGCCAGAACCCACTTAGGTTACATTCACTAATCTATACTCACTCCCCACTGCATCACTTCCAAGTAGATGAAAGGTAAAAGTTATTTTTTACTTTAATGCATTCTACACAATTTAAAAAAAAAAAGTATAGTAGCTACCCCGCAGCCCCCCTAAATCCTCAGCTCTTCTCCTCTCTCCCCACTCACACAGGCTTGGCTAAGAACAGTGGGAGCCATTGGGTCCTGCTGCTGCAAGTCAAAACCTGTGAGCAGAAGACAGGGGTTGGGGCTGAGCCAGGCTGTGTGTCTAAATAGACGGAAACAGCCTGGCTGGGGATTGAGTAATGCACAAATTCCCCATAGGAGCAGCTTCCTGTGGGGGCACTCGGTGTGGGGAAGGCACCAGGAGCGCCAGTGGAGGACCTCAGAAGGAGTAGGTTCGGGGCTGCTCTGGGCAATTTCATTGCACAGAGCAGTTAAGTATGACATGTTTATTATTTTAATTTAAAGAAGTCAAAGCTTTACAATCACTTTAACTCTGGGTAAGCACTGGGTTCAGAATGTACCTGGTTAAGTGATATCACTGACCCTCTCCGCACAGTAACAGTCCTAAGCATTCAAGGTGAAAATATCTCTTGAAACAGCCATTGTAAGGAGTACCCTACAAACCTTGACATTTAAAGTGGTAGCTTACCTTTATAAAATAGAAAGCTTACTTTTTAAATCAATATACCCTAGGTACCTATATAAATGTAATACACCTAATTCCCCATTTCACAGGCTGATTACAGGAAACCAGGACCACGGGCATTTGCCCGTGGTCCTGTTTTCCTGTATTCAGCCTGTGAATATGGTATCATGCAATTCATGGTATCACTCAGTCCCTCTGTCACTCAGTAAGCATCCTTTGGTTGTCATCATAAGTGTGCAAAAGAAGGGTGTGCCCGTAGCTTCCCAGTAAAGCTTTGCCAGAATCCAAGCTTGCATACATTCTCTTTAAAGTGTTACTAAACCCAGGACCCTGCATTTACTATATCTGATCTCCCACAGTACACAGAACATGGAAATGCATTTATTTTAGTAACTATAAACTGCTAAATACCTTTTCTCATCAGCGGTATATAGCAATTTTGTGACTTCTGAGCACTGGTTAATCTTGCAGGAGGGGGTTTTCATTCTCATCTGACTGTCCTATGAGGCTGCAAGACACCTAACCCTCTGTCTGGACAGTGCTGATTGGCCCTGTGCTGATCAGATGCACCTTCCCAAAGAAAAAAAAAAAAAAAAAAAAAAGACACCAACCAAGCATGTACAGAGTGCTCCTAGGGCTCTGTACCATCAGCAGATGGATTGGGGACTGTGCAAGAAGTGGAGGATCAGAGAAGACAGGATCAAACAGCCTTTTTACACATGCAGAGGATTAACCCCTTAGGCTCCACAGTGAGTATAACAAGCATGCTTTACTGCATATACAGACTGATTTTACTGTTGTGGGTTTAGTAACACTTTAGGTGTGCCAACATGTCCGGTAATAGTCACGGCCATTCATTTCTGAGAGAGCCAGTGACGTCCTTTCCCTGCCTACCACTTTCCCAGTGCAATGCAAAGTGGATCGCAGACTAGATTTAAGAATATTGCCAAACACAGCAGAGTAAAAAAAAAAAAATATGTTAACAGAGGGGCATGTTTATTTCATGAGTCTGAATACTATTTCTACTTTAAGTAAATAGCAAAAATAAGTTAGAGAATGCATGTACATACATTAAAATGACCTTAAGGTAACATTGCAATAATATGTGATTGAACATATACTTTCAGTATACTTTCCCTTTAAATAATTATTTATAGCCTGAAAATATTGCTATCTATGAGAAGGCATGAGGCCTCACCACTCCTTGTTTTGAAAAATCCAGTTATTTTTGTCTTCACTTATTTTCTAGTAAATGTATCATGATTACAATGTATTGTACACAAAAAATAATAATGAAGTAAATTACTAAACAACTTTTTCCAAACTGCTCTTAGTCACTCAAATGCTCTAGAATTACCTTTTCTGAGATCAAAGGGTTTTCTGATCATGAATTTCTCAAGGAGGTTTAAGAAATCTATGGCTCACGAGTTGTGGTGGAAAAGCAGTGCGTTATTAAAGTGACTGTCACTATATTGTCGAAAAAGCAAATAGCCCCCTCTCAAGAAATACATTGTATAGAGGAGGATGTGATGTACCCCTTTGCTCTCATGTGAGAACATTGGTACATGGTGGTTGGCCCACTGCAGTGACATGGGGGCAGGGAGAAAGTTCTCAGCCCCGTGCAAGCTCTCATAAGATCTGCTTGAAGTTCACACAAGGTTTCCTTTCTTCCCTCCTGGTGGCTGACAAAAGTGGGAGGAAAGCAAACTAAAGCTGGTGATACACGTCCCAAGTCTGAACTGTGGGTGGCCCTGCCAACACCACTGAGCTCAACAAACTTGGACTGAGAAATTGAAGGAGTCAGGCAAAAAAAACATAAAAAGATGGTTGAACCGTGACTGCAGTCAATTAGTGGGTACTACTGACAGCTGCAGGTTCTGGCTATCAGAATTCAATAGTCAACAGTGGGAAATTTGTCCATCCATGCTATTTAGCATGGGAAGGGGAATCTTTAAGTGTATGGTCTTAGATTGTAAGCTCCAAGGAGCAGAGCCCTCCTAACCCTTTTGTATTGAACTGTATTGTCTCCCGTTATATTGTAAAGCGCTGAGCACACTGATGGCGCTATATACATCCTGTATAAGAATAATAATAATGTACGGTCAAAGCTAGGGTGGCACTAAAGCATAACTGCTGCTTGATCTACATGGACAAAGCACAGATATATTTTATATACCACGTAACTACCTGCAAGGGCAGGAATTATTTATGGAACAATTTTTCACATATAAATTAGTTGCATGTTCATGTCTGAGAGTCTTGAGCTTCCATTATAAAAATGAAATATAAAATGTGCTTGCTTGAAACAATGTATGTTACATTAGCCTTAATTGCAGACATGCAATGTCTCGTCTGCAATAAAATGCCCTCACCTGCCTGCTTGCTGTCTTCTCCAGCACCATAAACTGAGTTGCGCATGCGCAGATCAGCCTACAGTGCAGGGCTGATCCCCATGTGTTTCGATAAGTGGCTCCTGCGCATGTGCGGGAATGTCCATCCCACGCCAGCCAAGGAATGAGGAGGTCAAAGACTGGCACGCAGGAGAAGATGCCGGCAAGGGATCGTTGGAAAGGTAAGTATTAATCCTTTAGTTTCACTCTAAAATGTGCAATCTTTGTTTCCTAGTACACATTTGGATTGAAATTGCTATAAAGTAATTGGAAGTGTGAAGGAACTCATAGGAAAGAGCCTGGTTAAATGGCCATGCCTCCACCTTTCACATTCCAATTTGCAAGTGCATACTACATGGGCACTGCAGTACACTTTACTGCATCACTGAACATATACCTGGATGGCAAGAAAAAAACCCAGTCAATTACATTTCTACCACCTGTGGTTAAACAAAGTCCTGTGACAATAGATTTATACATGTGAAAAAGCAGTTATTTCTTTATATACCTTCTCTATTCAATTTTAAAACTGCAAACTGTGCATATTTTGCTGCATCATCATTTTTCTTTTTAAAGTTAACATTGCATAAAGGTAACTGTACACTTAAATCACTAATGAAAATTATTCCAGTATCACTGTAGTCCTTGTGCGATAATACATTAGTTTGTAATATCAATCAACCCCATACAGATCTAAGCAGTATAAAAAGTGAACATCTTCATGAAAAAAAAAACACTGAATATTTTATCCTGCAGTCTATCATGTTACAATAAAAATAGTTTATAAAACTGTTCACACTAATTACACATAATCCATCAACTGGAAAAAATACTGTCTGTGGATGAAAGTATAGTTAATGACACTGCATTCCAATGGTGACACTGCAATACAAAACTGTCAGGACTATAAGGCTTCATTCACACAGGCAATGACGTACATCCATTTATATGCATATATATTCAATTTTAGGACATTTCTGAATGCACATAAATGCATGCAATGATTTAAATAGTATAATTTACATTGTGCGTTTACCACCGTTTAGGTGCATTTACGTTACTTGTGTTTAGAGAAAATAGAAATCCTGGGGCAGACTAGATACCATGAATGCATTTAAAAGCCTGTAAACAAAGGATACAGTTACCTGGGCAGCATAAAGTTTGTTTAAAACCTCCCAGAAAAATTCTCCTGCATTTAAATAAAAAACAAATGCAGGACGCCCATGTGAATGAGGGCTAAAAGCAGATTAGAGGTCTCCTGACAAAGGAGACCATTTATAACAGCTAGTAGCTTATGATACAATGTTCACTGAGGTTGGACATAAAAGAAGCAGCAGTAAACATTTTTTCACCATATTTTGTATGATTGGGTCAACTTGTTTAGCTGGCAACTTGCCTCTTGCTGGATATTGACAACATCTGTATTTACAGTCTATACACCATATGACAAAGTAGTTGCTTATTAAATGCTGCTTTTGTTAAGATTATTAATGCATTTTGTGTTAGGCTATAAATATGGCCATAAAAATGGCTATAACTATTTTGTTTTGTGTTTTGTGAATAAAAATCACTTAACAAGCACCAGAATCATCCCAGTGTAACATAATGACAATGAGATTCTTCTTCCTTCCATGTCAGGTCATAGTACAGACAGCAGCAATGTATATAAATCCACAGAAAATCTTTTTTTTCAAGCTCCCTCCATATTTCAGCACAATGCCAAGAAAATGTCATATCCTTTTTTCTGATCCTGGTAAATGCCTAGTGGAGTTTCTCATGCTGAATTTGGTAATAGCAGGCCTGTTGGAAAACAAAAAGCACAAGTGTCATCACAAACCATTACAGGACATAATGTAAATATGTTTACACTTGGAGAATGTTTAACAAAAAAAAAAGTGAAAAATTGCTACACATAAACCTACCAGTGTTTTGCTATAACCGATCACAATCCCACATACAATCTGTGTATACAATATAACTCACTAAGATGATGTTTCATTTCATCAAGGCAGTGTTATCACCCCAAATTACATGTGCCTAGTAATGGCGACTTAAAGTTAACGTGCCCGCACTATGCAAACAAAACTTATTACATATTATGAACAAGCAGTAAAAGCTCTTCAAAACAAGCCTTCATTCACCTCTGGAGCTATGGCATTGCAGAGAGATTCAGTTTCAAAATGTTCACAATGGGCACTGATTTTTATTTATATATTTTTTCTATTACTATTTATTGCTACAGCCTTCTAAACACCTAATAGATATTTCCATATTCTAGGAAATGTGTACTTTAAGCTGCAATACTGTGCAACAGGCCAAAGAAAGTAAGTAAGGAAAAGGGGGAAGAGAAGGGGGGAGGAAAGAAATGGAACGATCAGGTATGATCTGTGCAGCGGGGTGACAAGCAGCGATCTCTTGTATGGCTTTCAATGAAGCAACTGGAAGCAGATTCTCCTCTCCCTGCCGCAGCCTTCAGCTGCTTCATTGAAGGAGGAGGAAAAGGAGAGAGAGGCTGGATCTGCCTCCCCTGTGCCTGCCCACACTCCAGTCCATGCAGCTTCAGATGATGTGTGGGCGGGAAATTTAACACAGAGCAGCCGACAGCTCTGATGCTTCTAAATGAGCATGCGAGTCCGACCTACCCTCCTTTCTTCCACCCATCCCTTCCTTCCTTCCACCCCTCCCTTCTTCCAGCCCTCCTTTCCTTCCACTCACCCTTCCTTCCACCAACCCCTCCCTTCCCTCCGATCCTTCCTTCCCTTCCCTCCTTTCACCCCTCCCTCCCTTCCTGCTTTCTTTCCACCTATCCCTTGCGTCCTTTCTTCCACCCACCCCTACCTTTCCTCCCTCCCATCCTTCCACTCCTCCCTCCCTTGCAACCCTCCCACCCTCTCTTCCTTCCACCCCTCCCTCCCTTCCTTCAGTTTTCTTCCTTCCTTAATCCTGTATAAAACATTTAACAGTGCCACTTCATGAGATAATTTAGGAGGGCGTGTTTAGGGGCAGGGCCGGTTAGGGGCTGGGTTGGGCAACTGGTGGTGAGTGACTCTTAAGTCCTGGCTAGTAGCTCAGGACTTGACATTTTGAGCCCTGAGCTAATGTATTCTGGATTCTTTGATTAAAAACAATTTTTTTGTCCTCTTGCCGATGCTTTATCTTCTAATGCATTTTTTTCCCAATTCACTCCCACGTACCCCGTTCTTCTTTATGTCATCGGTAACCTTATTTTATAATACTTTCAATTATAAATTGTATTTAAAGCCAAATCTTTTTTGGGTTTGTATACCCCTGCATTTTATTTTTCATTGGGGAAATTTCCCTTCACTTTTAGGCTTCCCAGTGCAACTTTGAGAATACAGCATATCTATTTTTACACAAAATGCATGGAAAAGAGAATTACATCCATGAATACAGTAGTTAATTTTGAATTCTGTCATTTATTATTCAATTCAGATTACCATGAAATGGCTCTCAATACTTAATAAAGACATTCCTGTATAAATTAATGATTTTACAAGATCATATTTTCACCTTTAATGTGGTAAACATTATTCCTTGTTCTCCATGTTGCAGATATGGATCCATGAGATCTTCTATTAGATGGACTTCAGATCCCAGATTTCGTATTCTGTGCACATTTAAAGAGGAACAATGATAATTCTAGCTGCCAATATAGTTTTATAACAGAATCAAGCACACAGATAGACATGTGGACTGATAGGTATTATGACTGACCTGGCTCTCAGAACTACGTATAGGAATACAGGGAACAGCTCATCCATGGACCACAGGAAGCCTTCCTTAAGTGCCTCTTGAACTTCCTGTGTAATTTCCTCAAAGGTTTGTTGAATGACCTTGAGTTTATCTGATGGTGTGAATGTAGTGCTAAGGGAAAATAAAAGTTGAAACCATATTAATATACCAGCCAAAGTCAAATATTACAATTTGAAAGCAATTAAAAAAAAAATCTGCATGTAGGCAGTGGTCTATGTAACCAACAGACTATGGGGTTGATTTACTAAAACTGAGGTGTGCAAAATCTGGTGCAGCTCTGTATAGAAACCAATCAGCTTTCAGGTCTTTTTGTCAAAGCTTAACTCAACAAGCTGAAGTTAGAAGCGGATTGGCTACCATGCACAGCTGCACCAGATTTTGCACTGTCCAGTTTTAGTAAATCTACTCCTCCATGTCTCTGTTTCATTGGCATCAGTTCTCATTCTGTCGAGGGCAGAGTAATATTTGGATAGGAACTCACATAGAAGGGGGCTGACCTGGGTTAACTGCAAGGCTAGAATGGAAAGACTGAAAAACGTGGCACAAAGCTCATTCTTCCGGAATTACATCACATAGCGGGGGGGGGGGGGGGGGGTGCACCGATGCCAAGAGCACATCAGTACCTGGGGGGGAAAAAATGGAGCGGCACCTCTGCCGGTACAGGCCCTGGCACGAAGGAGCCCATTATCTTCCACCAGTCTGGCAGGAGATCTGGGAGGGCTGGAGCCTCAGAAAAAAGAAGGTAAAAATAAACAGAGGAGAAAAATGTCGTCCCTCAGAAGCATCCTGAGAGATCCTAGCTCCCCTAGAGATGTTCCTGCCAGGCTGGAAGAAACACAGAAAACTGAAGAGTAGTGGGAAGAGGCCTCCATTTAAAGATGTTGATAAGGCGTTTCCTGTCACCTGGTAGGAGGAGCCATGATCTCTCAGGTGCTGTCCTAAAAGATGTTTTGCAAAAAAATCTTATAAAGAAAATTCACTGCCCCACCTCTTTTTTTAAATTCCCTACTTACCTGTCATGCAGTACTGTCCTCAATTTAGATACTCACCTACCCAGTGGATCTAGTGTTCACTGATCAAGTGCAGCAGCCCGGGTCCTGGGCTGTCATTATGATCCTCATGATCGTCATCTGGAAGCTGAATGCCTCTTAAGTTCAGCCAGCTGCTGATGATGCGTGCCAGCTCCACCCACCAGATCCTCCGACTCCCTACTCATGCAGCCTCCTGTGATATGTGACATGGCACCCCGGGAGGCTGAGGGAGCAGGAACAAATCATTCTGGCCCAGGCAAGGGGGTAGGAGGGAGTCTGCAGGATTGCGGCGCAGGGAAAAAATAAAGTGTAAACAAAAGCAGAGATTTATATTGTTGAGATGGGAGGAAGTGCGGGGAGCAATAGGGTTAGAGGTAGACAGGAATAGAAGTGAAGGTCCACTTTAAACTAGGCTGGTAAAAGTAGGATTTTGTGGACAAATTTCCAATTTAGACTGTGAAATGACCCCTAATACATTTAAAGCAAATATGTCCTTTTGCCTGCACTGCATTGCTTATACTTTGGACTCCATTTTCCTGGTGGGAGTCAAAAGAGGAAACACTGTTAAGCTCCAGGTTGTGAATTGGGGTCAATACAGGACTGAGGACTCTCTTCCTGCTCCCATGTGATCGTACTGGGTGTCTGAGCAGCAAATCAATAATCTACAAGGCTATAACATGGGAGGGAGTGAGTAACATACTCCCCCATACCTTGGTAATTTCCTTTGCTCTCATCAGCTGGATCAGCAGGGTAGCAAAGGAAGGTAAGCATAACCGGCTGGTGGAGTTGTCATTAAAGGAGGACCTGTTGCATTAGCTCTGTTGTAGTCAGGGGCAGACTGACAACTCATGGGGCCCCCTACTGACCCCGGGCCCTTGGGCAGTGCCCGAGTTTCCAAATGGTCAGTCCACCCCTGGTTGTAGTAGTTTAGGTGGGGAGCACAAGTGTATCTTTAGAGTACAGGTGGATTTTTGGCATGGAAAAGACTGTGATGGTAATGCATAATTAGCTGAAATTTGAGAAGCACCTACTTGGTGTTAACATTTTTGAGCGTACGAATATAATTGACAACCATGGCACATGTGGCCAAGGCAGAATTGTGATCCTGCTGCTAACAAGTTGTCAGGATCACTATACAGGGCATGTTTCCATGCTCTTTTGGTAGCTGAATAAATGAAGCATTGTTGTCAAGTGACGCCATTCTACAGTGTTATTGTCTGGGGAGGAGTAATGCCTCACTCTTCCAGCCAGTGTCATGTGAAAACAGAGGAACCTTTTCTCTGCACTTATTAGGTATCCTGTTGCTCTTGAGTTGTGGTCTAAGACAGGATCAAAAGTGTGCAGTAGGCCTTTTGTATTACTTAAAGTAAGCTGTAAAGACAGAGTCTAGGCAAAGACAGAATTGTGTTTAGGAATAGACAGATAAAAAGAATAGAAAGTGAAGTTTCTAACCATCAGTTTGCTGTGGGCAGCACAGTGGCTAAATGGTTAGCACTTCCGCCTGGCAATACTAGGGTCGTCGGTTCGAACTCCAACCACGGCACCACCTGCCTGGAGTTTGCATGTTCTCCCTGTGCCTGCGTGGGTTTCCTCCGGGTACTCCGGTTTCCTCCCACACTACAAAGACATGCTGGTAAGTTAATTGGATCCTGTCTAAATTGGCTTTACTGTGTGTATGTATAAATGTGAGTTAGGGACCTTAGATTGTACGCCCCTTGAGGGTTAGGGACTGATGTGAATGTACAATATATATATGTAAAGCGCTGTGCAAATTAATGGCACTATAAAAGTACCTGAAATAAATAAAGGACTCTGGCTTCATTTTCTTGACATTGTCCTGTACATGTAAATGGTATTCTAATTCTTAAGGACTCCTTCACACCTGCCTGCCATTAGTTTAAATGGGTTGAGTGACCACTGCGGAACACATAACCCAGTCATAATAACAGCAAAAATCCACTAATTCTTGCTGCAGGAATCCAGCTACCCAGCCGTGTGAAAGAGGCCTTATGTTCTGTAAATAATTCTTTTTGGTTATACCAAAGCACAAAGTAATAGCAATGTACTAATACCTTATCTGTTGTAGACACTCCACTGCAGAGGAAAAACAAGAATCTTTAGTGCTTGGTAACACCTACAATGAAGTAAACAAAGTATCAGTACCTATTGTTAAACGGTCTGTGGATGTTTTCAGTTATCCAAGTCACAATATACCTAGTGGTAATTAGTTACACAGGTCCACTTCAATGTGATGATAAATGACTAAAATGCCACTTGGATGTGTAATATCCATGGAATACTTTTCTTTTTTGCTTTTTCCCCATTGCATATCTTACCTTTTTGTTTTCACCCAAAAAATTAATGCTGGTTGGCCAAAATTTCCTAGAGGAAAGAAAGATATAATAACATACAAGCCAAAATTGTTTTATTCTAACACAGCCTTTCTCAACTTTTTCTTCAACATGGAGGAACCCCATTAACTATAAGGGCTCAGGTGAACCCTACCAATTGTTACTAAATCTATAGCTCATAGTACATTAGTGTGATGGTGGTCACTGGGGAGAAAGCTCCTTACATTTGTGGTCACTGGGAAGAATCACTTCTAACAGAAAGATAAAAAGATCATTGCTGCCAGTTGTTACTCATCTGAGAGGCAGAAGTTGCTTGTTGCTCATGGAACCCCTAGAAATTACTAGGGTTCCATAGATTCCAGATTGAGAAAGGCTGGTCTAGCATCTTCTAAAACAGCCAATCTCAGCCAGGGTTCCACGTAACCCTAGTGTTTCTCCTGAAGATGCTAGGGCTTCCTTGTGGAGTGAGCAGTGTCAAATTGACCACTGATGTTAGGACGTGCCCCAAATATTCACGTCCTGTGTTTCTTTTGTGTTATTATTTGTACTATTTTGTATGATTATTACTGAAAATTTTGTCATATATGGAAAATGAGTGTTTAAAAGTTGCCTGCACTAGGTCAGATACTCTAGGGAATGACACATTCTTTATTCTTTTATTTAAGACATTCTACAACTTACTGTTGGCATGCTATTGTAGCATGAGCTGTAGGCATAATTGTTTTTATCAGGGGTTGCCTGAGACGTAAACATTTTTTTCAAGGGTTCCTCTGGGTAAAGGTATTGGGCAGGTAAAGGCACTGTAATTAAAAAAATCTTCTACTCAGATCTAGAAATAAGAAACTGAAATATATATTGCCACAGCCCAATTCTGTGTTGACCAATTTAATCTTGAAGATTTGTAGTATCAAGTACTAAGGTTGGTTAGTTGGGTTCACTTACTCTTGTACACCTAAGAAGGCAAGGAGCGCCATGTCTGGCTGCTTGTTCAGTCTCAGGACACACTCCCAGTAGGTGTCTTCTTCCTTTTCATGTTCCAAAGCATACAGCATAAATAATGGAGGATAAAGTCTAGGCAGTAGCACAGGCAGCAGCAGTCCTGAACTAGTCACCACATACCTGCAGGGGAAAAATACATTCCTTTAACATTACATGGTGGACTTAACCCTTTATATACTGCCAAACCCAAATAAAATTGTAAATGGACATTTTTTTTTTTTTAAATGGACTGTTTAAAGGGTAAGGTTATCCCATAATGGAAAGACATATTAAATAGTCACACATGTGAAACAATGCAATGCAACCATGCCAACTAAATTAGCCTTTTGCGGAAGTGTAATAAAACTGCAACTTTCTGATTGCAATTAAGGGTTTAGTTTGGTTTTCTTTATGAAAATAGTTCTATTTTCTAATGCCTTTAACATGATATTAAAGAAAAAAAAAAAATCATATGCTAAGTAATTCTGAATTACCACAACACTTTAGTATTTATATCTTACCCTGGTTCGGGAGATTCAGACCCGGACCCTGCTCTCCCATTACATACATGAGGCTTGTCTGGATTTTCTTTGACAATAGTTGATGCCTGAATTGTGCTGCCTTCTTCAGGAAGATCAGGAAACAGAAACCTTAAATACAACAGAATGATATACCTTAAATACACTATACTGCCAAAAGTATTGGTAAGCCTGCTTTTACATAAATTTTATTGGAAACCCAGTCTTAGTTTGTAAGGTTCAATATTGAGTTGGCCCATCCTTTGCAGCTATAACAGATTCAACTCTTCTGGGAAGGCTGTCCATAAGGTTTAGGATTGTGTCTATGGGAATGTTTGACCATTCTTCCAGAAGAGCATTTGTGAAGTTTCTGCTCTAATTCATCCCAAAGGTGTTCTATCGTGGCAGGCCAGTCAAGTTCCTCCACCCCAAACTCGCTCATCCATATCTTTATGGACCTTGCTTTGTGCATTGGTGCGCAGTCATGTTGGAACAAGAAGGGGTGCCTAAGTATGCAGGATAGAAGCCCTATGCTATTTTCCAGCCTTGGGCATCAATATTGTGCCAAGCTTTAAAGTAGGCTAAAGCTCTAGATCTAAAACCAATGACTAAAATCCTATATAAGTTTTAACATGTTAATGAAGTTCCAAAAGTCGCTTCTTTCAGGAGTACTGCTCCCATTTATTACAGTCTCCACAAGTAGTTAGGTCTACTGAAACATATACAGTACAGTATACTTGTTCATATAATGGGATGAAAATAATAGAAAACTACTTTGTTTAAGATGCATAGCAAAACATAAGGTCATTCAGCAAAGCAAAGAACAATGAAGTTTGGGAATAAAAAAAAAATAAACAAATAATCATACTCACCTAGATGTTTGCAGCATCAATCCCTGCTGCAGCTGTCCCCCACCATCTCTAAGACTGAGAACGGAGCGATCAAACACTACTGATCACTCAGCTCTTGGTCTGCAGCCTGCAGAGAGCCAGTGACTTTCGGTCACGACCCTCTGCTCTGCCGATCCAGCGTTCATAGAAGCGACAGGCTGTGCAGGGGGCAGGAGCACCTGGTTTAGGTTCTCAGCAGCTTGCTGAGAGGGTGAGCCAGCTGCCAGTCCAGGCATCTGGGAAGACCCTGACATTAAATTAGGGATCTTTTGTATCTCTCCCTCTCTTGTCTGCATTGAAAATTATTGAACACCTTGGTCAAATTCTCCGGACTTAAAATTACCTGGGACAAACCGCAAATCCTTCCCATAGAGGTCTTCTCACCATCTACGGGGACCAGGCAAATCTACTTTTGGCTAGGGTCGGATATTTCAAATATTTGGTTATTCGGGTATCTATGTCCCTGACAAATTACTTAGCTTTAAACATAGAGCTTCTATTTCATCTGTTAAAATCCAAAACTCAGACATGGGCCAGACTCCCATTGGGAGTAGTACAGATGATTTTACTTCCCAAGATTCTAAGCATATTATGGCACTCTCCAGTCTATATACCGTTCTGGTATTTTAAGACTATAGATGCGATCTTACAGTCTTTTGCATGGGGAAATGGCAGGCACAGGTTGGCCTGGCGTACACTTAAAAAAACCGACCTCTTTAGGGGGCACCGCATTACCTGACTTTAGCTTATACTATTTGGCACCTCAGTTGCCACATCTATATCATGTAGGTAAAGCTGACCGACAACTTATACTTAGCGGGACTGGTGGCTCCCCGATTTTGCTGGCCCTCACTAGCTTCTCTTATCACTACAAACAAGTTTAGGACCTGGCTATGTCCAAAATTAGTTTCCTTCATTTTCATTCTGAAACCTCCCTATGATACAATAAAATGCTGCCGGTATTATTATCTACTCCTGATCCCATGGTCTGGACTTCCAAAGGAATATACCTTCTCTCCCATGTGATACATACTGGAGGGCTCAAATTGTTCAAGACCAAGAAATCTGATTTTTCCCTCCTGAATTATATGTTTTTCTGCTATCTTCAATTGCGACATTCCTTGAGTGCTCAGTTTGCAGGCAGGTATCCCACTCTCACTTCTGTATTCATATTGGATGTCGTATATGGGGATGAATCATGTGAATTGATATCTACTTTGTGTATTAAATTGCTTACCCCCCTCTGCTTCTAGACTGGCCTATTCCATCGAGACCCGCTGGGAAAGCTTTGGCCCTATTTCTCTTTTAAGCAACACATAGCAAATAATCAAAATGTATAATTCCATGACTTTAACAAAAAGATATCTGGTTGTTTGCAACAGGTTATTGCACTGAATTAAATTTAAAATGGTGCAAAGAAACAAGCAGATGGAAATAAGCTATACTTAAATGGGCAATTACACAACAATACAAAATGTCTCACCTCACCAGTGGAAAAATACGCTCCAGATAGGATTTGATTTCTCTCACTGCTTCTTTTAGGAGTCTTCTGTTGGCTCCTACACTCAGATAAGTCATTCTGTATACAGCTACAAGGGTCTCCACAAGCCTTCCCAGTTGATGCATTGATGTTTCACAAGCCTAAGAAAAGTAAAAAAGTTGTCATAATAATCTGCACACACATAATATATGTGTTCTGTGGTAGCCTCCCTAGCGGTATGATTATGTCAGTATTTCTGTGCTCAAAGCGGTATATTTTTTTTTCATGGAAATATGTCGTTTTTTTATTGTAGGCCTGTAATTCTTAGGAATAACTCACTGAAATCTGTCTGAACAAGAGTCTAGTAAACATCCCGGGTATGTTAAAATTTTAAACACGAAATCATAAATTATACTTTAATAATTATAAAAAATAATATAATAAATTTAATTCAATAATGTAATCAAACCAAAAACACTGAAATTTGAAATATAGCGGCAAGTTCGCACATCACTGATCTTAGTCGCAAAATCGTTTTCAGTGTCTGATGACGAATTTCCCCACAAATCATTATCACTCAAGTGAGTGCTGCAAGTAGTTCTATTTTACTATCGCTGTTTTCTAGCTGGTCTAAAACCGCTTTTGACGTAAAGAGACGCTTTTTGGACGCCATGGACGTTTCTCAGTTTCCAGGCAGAAAGAACAGTAAAAATGCAGGCAGGGCACAGGACAAAGCACTCGGGACAAAATGTATGTGAAATGGTTTGATACAGTAATGTTATACTATGTGATTTTTAGTGTGTTAGTGAATGTCACTTTTTAAACTTTTTAAATTTCCCGCCGTTCCGTCCCCGTACATCCTGTCGTCTCAGGGAATGGAACCCAGAAGACAGATGCTGGCATCGGCCGGAGGACACTGCAGGAGGGACATCGCGGGAGCGAAGAACAAGGTAAGTGCAGAAGGGATCCTGGAGCAACGCTGCAAGGTATTCCCAAGTGTAGCTCGGGGTTACCGCTTGTGGTGCTGAAACTTTACCCCGAGCTACACTCGGGAATACCTCCAGGGAGGTTAATGTTGTTAATATCATCGAAGTCAGCAAAACTGAAAGATGTACCATGCAAATCTATGCATATACACTAGTATCTCAGACCTTGCAAAATTTACTTTACTGCTTTTCAGGATACCTGAAGGGCTGAGCACAGAATTACTATATCATAAGCTAGCTATTGGATGAACGGTTGATGTTCCTGTGGAATTTATATAAATATCTTTATTCTTCTTTTAATTATACTTTTGTCAAATATCAGTAATATTTTAATACTCATTTATGCAGCTATCTACTAATACTGCCCCACCCATTGGCCATACTCAAGCATCTTAAAAACAATTTACATTTATTAAATATCCCTTGATTTTCTCATATTTCTCCATAGTAAAGGGACCATCGTGCTGAGGAATTCGCTCCAAACTCTCAAGTGTCTGTGTGTGGGATCGGGTCAGTGGTTCTGGGCTGTGAATAGAAATATTACATTTCATTGGTCAGTTTATAGGGGACAAACTTTTGCACAACGTCAATCCACTCTCACACCTCATCAATATGTATAAGGCTTCAATCACGCAACCATACTAAAGACAGAGTGTTTGGTAACTTGATATAATGAATGAAACTTTTCCTGGTGATGGTTCTAAAATCATGCACTTAACCACATTACTTAGTAGATGTGTTGGGGAAAGGCAAGCAGCAGGTTGTGCAGCACCACAAATGCTGTATGCAAAATGTCTGTATTGCAGTCATTGCCGAATGCTGGTTCTGCCTCTCTCAGTGGATTCCCCCCCATTACCAAATGTCACTCCAATAACGTAATATTGGATGAAATTCGGTATAGGGGGATTGAGGCAGTTAAAAAACATGGACACTGATTACCAATGCAAGAGGGAGAAGGGTTTAAAAGCACTGAACTAATCACCAATGGTGGAGAGGAGGTTAAATAGAACTAATACGGAGCACTAGTGCCAGGGAAGAAAGACAGTAGCTGGGTTAACTTCACTATCACTAACGGCCGATTTGGGGGGGAGATTAATAGTTTTGCCACTGGGGGCTTTTAATGACTCTGATAATTGACAATTGGGTTTTAAATTTTCTCTCAAAAAAATGCAACAGGAACTTTTCAGGTGTTAAGGTGCATTACACCCCATTCATTTTAAATGAGCTGCCCTATTTGATGCAATGCACATCAGCTAACAAAACAAGCTGCTTCTGTGTGGCCCTCTTGTTGGTGGCCACACTTGAACTCCTCTGCTGCTTTAATCCACTCATCATGATGTGATATACCATTGCAAGGCAGATACTGGGTGATTGAGAACATGACAGCAGGTATAAACATTTGTGGAACCACCCTTTTCTATTTACACAATCCACCACTGCATAACACCATGGTGAATGGACTAAGATGATTGAGACCTGTGTTACTATAAATGTTGATGTATGTTCATGACACTCACTAGAAGTGAAGAAGGTACTTGGACAAGTGGCAAAATGGCTCAACATTACATAACAAGTCTAGTTGAATATGACTAACTACTACTAGGTATACCATGACCTGGATAAATAAAAACCTTCAAAGACATACTATCATATTGACTTTCCTGCATTCATTGCACTGTGTAGGAAAAAAGGAACACAGATTGGGGATTAGTGGTTCTTATGACAGCAGGTAAACTGCAACCACATGATTTTATATACCAAGGCAGTATGTTGTTCTCAAACATACAAGCCCCCAGCTGGTAGGCTGTGCCCCATGTGCATTTCAAGGCAAACATATTTTACACTTGACTGAATTGTATGTATTAAAAAGCAACACAACAATAAAACAAATGCTTTAACAGAGAGCTATACAAAACATACATATGAGGTAAACCATAATTATGGAACATGAACAGACCTTCCCTTTTGTTGTCGCCTCTTAGTAGTAATAGCCACAGCAATGTTGTCCCAGGCCTTCTGGGGATCTCCTTTTCCAGGAATCTCACAACCGAGCTGCCGCCAGCACTCCTCAAAGACAGCCTTCCATTTCTCGTCAGCTGGGACTGAAAGCCTGCCCAGCTTTCTGTATGAGGAACATGGTTAGAACCACATAAGTATTCTCATTTTTACTGCATCTTAAGCCAGTCAGGAGGTTAAGAATAGGGAACTCTAATCAAAGTCAAAATATTACTTGATTAGCATTTTTTTTCTGAAACAACTGAAACTAATTAACATTTTTAAATCGCTTATGTTATAAAATTGTTATATTTAGAAAAGAGAACAATGAGGTCACCATATACAGTATTACAGTCAGGTCCATAAATATTGGGACATCGACACAATTCTAACATTTTTGGCTCTATACACCACCACAATGGATTTGCTTTAACTGCAGACTGTCAGCTTTAATTTGAGGGTAGTTACATCCAAATCAGGTGAACGGTGTAGGAATTACAACAGTTTGCATATGTGCCTCCCACTTGTTAAGGGACCAAAAGTAATGGGACAATTGGCTTCTCAGCTGTTCCATGGCCAGGTGTGTGTTATTCCCTCATTATCCCAATTACAATGAGCAGATAAAAAGGTCCAGAGTTCATTTCAAGTGTGCTATTTGCATTTGGAATCTGTTGCTGTCAACTCTCAAGATGAGATCCAAAGAGCTGTCACTATCAGTGAAGCAAGCCATCATTAGGCTGAAAAAACAAAACAAACCCATCAGAGAGATAGCAAAAACATTAGGCGTGGCCAAAACAACTGTTTGGAACGTTTCATTTCAAATCCATTGTGGTGGTGTATAGAGCCAAAAATGTTAGAATTGTGTCGATGTCCCAATATTTATGGACCTGACTGTATGTGTATTTTTAAATACATGAAACACACTCAAAAAATAAAAGTAACAAGAACATTGGCTTTGATGGAGAAGTGTGTTTGTGTTTTGCAGATCAGACACAGGTAAAGGTTTATAAAATATTAGGCTCCGCTGTGCCCGCAAACTATTGATCAGTAGGCAGGTGACTCTTTCCAAGGGCAGGAGTGGCTGGTACATCACAGAATGCAAAGCACCCATTGTCCTAATAGGGAAAAGGTAGAAGCGGCTGCTTTATCACAGTGTGTAACATTCCGTCATCCCATGGGGCCTATACTTACTGAAAGAACCCCATTTGCCATGAGGGACAATAACCTTGGGGGTAGAGGCAGGAGTAAATGGTTCATCACAGTGTGCAATTACCCCTACATTCAGTTAGGAAAAAGGCAGCAGCTGGAGGTTATATACAGTTGGAAAAGGTGCAAATACCAAGCATAATGAGGTTACATTGGGGTAAGTGGATAACCACAGTATGGGCAGTTCCAACAAATCATCTGATCAGCAATGAGACATGAGCACAATACAACAAATAAAGGAGCGCTCCCAGCCCTGTGGAGGAGAAACACATATTCCCAAAAGCTGTAGGAGGACACATAATCCTGGACCCCTAGGCTTCCAGTTTGCCCTCACCAGCCCTTGTTTGGGTAGTCTCTCACCAGGTGTATGACATAACCGGATTTAGGACAAGTGAAGCGCCATCTCAGTGATCCCTGCGGCTGCCATCCACACACCCTTGCCACTGCTCTGAAGCTCCTGGGCTGAGCAACCTACTGTTGGGTCCATGATTATGTGTCATCCTACAGCTTTTGGGAATATGCGTTTCTCCTCTTCACTGGCTTAGTGATATATCAATCTGGGCACTCCCACATGTCATGCTTTTTAACCCAACGTTAAAGTCAATTTCGATTTTAACTATTCCTGGGCTTGTGACTTATGATTTCCATAGGGTTGGGAGTGCTCCTTTATTCGTTGTTTTGAGGTTATGTACAATGTGTAATCACCTCTCTTTCTTTGACGGAAGACAAAAGATTGGATAGTTCATGACAACATACATTCATCCCTCAGCTCGAATGGGAAAATGCAGGGGTGGATGGTTTAACACAACATGTAAGTGAACTCCACTTTTTCTGGTTTTAAATAGCAAACATGCATATGCCATATTTTATATTTTCCTATTTTTTTTGTTGGCTTTTACATGTAATATAAAGAAGACAATTAAATTGGCATATATCTGTACTCATTGTGAAACATTTTTCTTGGAGCTGAGGGACACAGCTTGATAGTAAGAGACTTAGGGTTATATTGCTGCATACAGGGGAAATAGACAATGGCCAGCCCCTCTTGAGGCTATAACCTCTCCCACACCTGCTCAGCTGTAGCAAGCACTCCAAGAGCATATGACAGGAGGAAGCTGTGTCCCTAAAATGTCCCTATTGTCCACTGAGGGACACAGCTTGAAAGAAAGATCTTGGGATGTTCGAAAGCATGTCTGAGGAATAAGCACACCCAAACAACACAGTCGAACCAACCCAGCAAGAAAAAAAACAAACAAAATGAAGGGAAAACCAAGGGCATTAAATAGTCAGAACCTTCCAACCAAAACTAGCATCCCCAAAGACATATACGGTTCATTGACCTTGTAAAACATAAAGAATGTATGTAGAGAGGACCAGGTCACAGCCTTCGGGCTGGTTTCTGCATGCATTCTGCAAGGGCATAACAAAATTAATTGTTCTCTAGGTGCCCTGTTCACACCACAGCACTAGTATTATATAAAGATTTTTTTAGTACAGAAATCTGCAACATGTATAAAACTCATTGAAGTGCACGTGAAAACTGATGTAAACTGATGTCTCTGCAAGTGAAATCTGCATATCAGTTTCCATCAGTTTTTCTGCATGTATGGTGTGAATGAGGCCTCACAGATGGGACACAGAGGCAGGATTACAAAAAGCTCAAGATGCACTCACTGGCCAAGTGGAGCGGGCTTTAAAGGGAAAATGAAGCACTTTATCTTGCAGCTCATAAGCCTGTACAATAACCTGTCTATTCTAATTAGAAATAGTAGATCTGGAATACAGAACCTCTTTTGGGCAATCCAGAATAATAAAAAGCAAATAAGTCTGTCTAAAACAAGAAGTGGCAAGGTAAACCCTGTCAGCCCTCAGCACATCCAGGTAATGGAGAAATATCTACTTTAACACATTCCCTTTACTTGAATACGCTAAGTCAGTGAGCGCTTTAGCAGTTATTCTTTGACTTTATAGTACATACCCGAGACAGCCACTTTAAAAAGTTTATAAACCGCTCAAAGTTCAAGCACTAAAGGCTAAGCAGCGAGATATAGTAGAAATGACTTAAGTCCACAATAACTGTTAATCCCTAGCTGCTTCACAGGAAAAACATCAGGAGTGGTGAAAAAGAAAACATACGGTATGTCAAAAAGTCCCAATCAAAGTTCTTGAGGAATAGTCACATGAATTAAAGTGTCACTATGCCAAATCCAAGACTGGAAATAACCAAATATGTCTTTGGGACACAGTCCTGGTGACAGTCTAAGCCTCAATCTGGTGCGGTCCAGCTTACGGTCCATCCTGTGTCTTGCATCCGGGTAATGGCGTTCCTTCCGGAAGACCTATGGCATCATATCCGGCAGATCATTTCCGTGCATAAGCCGGCCGCTGTGGGACTCCTGGTAACCCAGTGGACAGAGCCAGGGACCCCTACTGTTTGCCTCTTGCAGCTCTATCAGTCACTAGTGGCCAATAACATGGGCCTTTCCACCAACAACAATCGGCACACTAATGCTGGCACTCTTTCCGCTATGTAAGCTTTCACCTCCCTGGATGGGTTTTAATTGTTCATATATTGCCTTTTTTACTGAACATTGTGTAATTTAGCTCTGGCTAGAATACAAGACCAATCAAGCTACATTTGGTTTTATCTGCAATAAACTGATTTGTGCTTTACTTTACAAGTCTAATATCACAGAGACTTATTTGGTTATTTCCAGTTTTGGATTTGGCATAATGACACTTTAATTCATGCGACTATTCCTCAAGCACTTTGATTGGGAATTTTTGACTTATGTCAAAAGTTCACACAGCTACCAAAAAAAAAATACTCAGCATAGCAATCACCCTGCTAGTCACTCACAGTGACAGTTCAGAAAACAGGGACAGGTGAATTGCCACAGCTCCTGCCCAAGTAACTCTGCAAGGTATCCCCAGATATAACTGACTACACCGATGCCAGCTGGAACACAGATGGGTTGTTGCTGCAAACTGCAGTAATGAACTGGGTAAAACATGCACTTCTTAGCTTACCGGAGAGACTTCCAGGATTTCCAATATCTCTCCTGAATCTACCAGCAGCTGTAGATAGTGGAAAAAATCTCCAATTGTTCTAACACCAGACAAAATTGAGCAGGTGACGTATGTGGTATGGGAGGGGTTATAAACTCAGGGGGCATGGCTTTCTATGTGTCTAGTGTCCATCTCTCCTGTGAACAGCTGTATACCCCTCTTACTATTAAGCTACAATTTTTAAAAGCAAACATGAGCAGACAACACCAGATTTCATTATCTTTTAGCTCTAATGAAGTGACCTGCATTATACGAGTGTTTTTTTTTTTAAAGCTGGAAGAAAACCTTGGTGAGACTTACAGGGTCTTGGTTTCTTCCTTTTCCCCTTCATATATGCTTGGCTTTATATATGTGCCATTGACTTTGATTCCAGATCCCCACTCTCCACTAAAAACGCCCTCGATACAGTCTCCATTGGACATTCGAAGCACTCCCTAAAATAAACACATATCAAGTGTTCACAAAGGTTTTTCACGTGACACTTCGCACACAGTAACAAAACAGGTCTGACCTTTCCATTCAATGTCCAGTCATCTGAGAATTCTCCTTCATATACAGTGTCATCTTCAGATAGCAGAACACCACATCCCTACAACAAAGACAAACAAACTTACACAATGGATTCCATCAAAGCAATTACTTAATGACTAAAGGAGAATCTGATTTGCAACCCCAGCCGAAACCTTTTTTTTTTTTTTTTTTTATGTGGAGACTATGAATTTTTTTTACCCCCATCACAGAGGCATAGTAGGAAATCCTACTTTCAACAAATCAAATGGTCCACACTGGCACAAAGTTGTTTCAGAAAGGACCTGAGGATATTAATTTACAATGAAGAACTGCTTTTATTTCCAAACAAGTCAAATGAAATTCAAAAGCAGATCTCAAATGCTAAGTAAATATACCTTAAAGCATACTATATTTGCCCATTAACACAATCCCTTCAGTTGTAAATAAATAGGTTGTGGCCTGGTGCCTAAACGCTATGCCTCCATCCCTTATGTGTGCATACATAAATGCCCTTGAGACTTTAAATGAGACATAACATTAAGTAGATTATATATAAAAAAAAAAATCAATTTATTGAGCGTTACATGAAGATCTCACAGATTTTAAAACAACAAGCTGGTTAGTTATATTCAACATATAACAGCCTTGGAATCACATTATATTGAGAGAATCAATCCATACATATATAGCCACATAATCAAATTACTAAAAAGGAAGGCATCATAAAAACTTGACGCATTTCGTGAATCTTGACTTCTTCATTAGTAGATGCCACCCGTATAAAATCTGAAAGAAACCAGCTTGATAACAAGATTGTCGCTGTGGCACCTCCAAAATGGTGACCACCACATAGTGTCTGGCCTGGGAGTTATGGAAAGGGTATAGTACACCCCACCAGGATAACAAAAAAGAGCAGCACAGGGAGGTATAAAGATGGAATATGAAAACCCACCTGTTACCAATCATATGGGAGATCCATCCGGGTGCATGGCAGCACAAAGGTCCAAAAATGAGTGAGCAGTGTTCCTTTGGCTGAATTCACACCTAAACATCCCATTTTTGCGGAGTTTTCTTGAGCATTTTGCACAGCATTGGAGTTTTGGCATTTTTGTATTAAACAACAAAGAAAACTATCATCTATTACATCATTTGTTACTATGTGTTTCTACTTTCAGTTGCTTCAAAAACGCACCAATCTGCCTGCCTTGAGCTACAAAAGTAGCTACAAAACATTTTTGAGCTTCAGACGACTTAGAGTGGAAATGTGAACCAAGTCCATAGAAAATAATTCATTTTTTCCTCCCTGAGCATTCTGGAGCTTCCAGTTACAAAACACTCAAGTGTTAATGGGGCTAAAAAGATAAAGAAATATAATGAAGAAAGGATAAATATTGAAGAAAATGTTAACAGATTCCTTTTTAGCACTTTTTTACTACCAATACGCAACTTCTGCAAGCTCCCTGCTACCCCAAGTACAATCGATACACATACATAGAGATATAGCACTATGGCTAATTGCCTAGCACACCAATTACCGTCACAGTTGTTCTGTGTTTGTATGTGTTTCCTTCAACAATCCATAAATATAATACAGAATGAATTAGCTAGGGACAGATGTGAAAAGCTCTATGTTCTTTGTAAAGTGCACTGAAATATGTTGTTATTACTATGTTAAGGAGTTAAATCGGAGTTCCGGACTTTTTTTTTTTACTCCCTTGAAAGACAATGGTCTCCCTCTTCACAGTACGTTTTGGCAATATATATGTAGATTTTTTTTTTCCTAAATACCTTTTAGTGGTAATTTCTGTCTCCACTTCTGGTCCCAGCCGCCTAGGTGATTACATCATTAGGCATTCCTTAGGGCTTCTGGGATATCGGCGTCATCTATCCCAGCAGTCCTAAGGAATGCTCGATACCAAAATCTTGCGTTATTATGAGACCGGAAGTGACGCGATCGCAGGGATTTCTTCACTGCACAGGTGCGAGATCGCTCCTTCTCCACACTGCGCAGGGTGCGAGATCGCTCCTTCTCCACACTGCGCAGGTACGAGATCGCTCCTTCTCCACACTGCGCAGGTGCGAGATCGCTCCTTCCCCACACTGCGCAGGTGCGAGATCGCTCCTTCCCCACACTGCGCAGGTGCGAGATCGCTCCTCTTCACACTGCGCAGGTGCGAGATCGCTTCTCTTCACATTGCGCAGGTGCGAGATCGCTCCTTCTTCACACTGCACAGGTGCGAGATCGCTCCTTCTTCACACTGCGCAGGTGCGAGATCGCTCCTTCTTCACACTGCGCAGGTGCGAGATCGCTCCTTCTTCACACTGCGCAGGTGCGAGATCGCTCCTTCTTCACACTGCACAGGTGCAAGATCGCTCCTTCACACTGCGCAGGTGCGAGATCGCTACTTCAAATTGCACAGGAGCAAAACTGAGAAGCGCATGCTGGGTAGCCAGCTGCACAATTTCCCGGAAGAATATCTGAGCGAGCTTCAGGTGCCCACACATAAGATGACAGCGTTCACAATATGAGGGTGCAGTAAGTAAACTTATTTTTTATATGGAAAGCAAAGGATTACAAGTACAGGTAATCTCAACTTGCATTGCCTAAGCTGCCACTCTCACGTGGGTGCCTTTAGAAACAAAATAATTAAACGGCTGAAACTCCGCTTTAAATACATAAACATTTTGAAAAATGAACTGCAACTGAGTTAGGCTGGTCACTGTGCACCAATAACTTTACAAATATGTTAAACATGGATGAACTATGAATATGAAGTTACATAGGTAACTCACCATCATTTTGTTTACACTAAATGCTCCTTCATGGTACAATCCAAACTGAGTCACCACAAGTCCATTGCCTTGGCGGAGGTCATCTTGCCACATTCCCATGTATTTTTCTCCTCTAGAAGTTTAAAAAACAAAACATGAATACTTTGATTTATGCAACAAATATACATACAATTCAGTATGAAGAACTATTTAAAAAGTACCACAATGGTAAATCTGAAATTAGAATACACTTTTTTTTCTTAATCGGCGAGTACCGATACTTTCGGTCAAAGTACTCGCCGATATAAAGTACCGATACTTTGCGGTGAGATGTGCTCCCATAAAAAATGGGCGCAAATCGCACTGCAATGAGTAGCATGTGATTTGTACAGGAATGCGGTGCAATTCCTGTCATCTCCTTGCAGGAATGACAGTACAGGCTAGATGGCTTCTGATTAGCCCACTGAAATGAGAGGAGAGAAAGCCGTGGGAATTTCAAATCCTCAGACCTGTGAAGTGTCTTTTCCTTGTGTGACAGCAAGGGATCAGTGCTCCTGTGTAAACTCAGGCATGACAAGCCTGGGTTCACCACATGCGACTTAGACAGAAATCACAGCGCATTCCTGTTCAAATCATATGCTATTCTTTGCAGTGCGATTTGCACCCATTCATTCTGTATGGATGCAAAACGAACGACAATGTATCGGTTTCAGGAGGACTTGTGAAAATACTCAGTATCAACGCATCCCTATCTGAAATACATCATGCAGCTATCTCTTTTGACAAAACTTTCACAGAATGCAGAGTTAAGCCAGACATGATCATTTGCATTCATTGTGTTCTCGTCCCATGTTGAAAATGCCTAAAACTGAAAAGTTTGAACGTTAGAGGACAACTTCTCACATACATAACTACGATCTATGTCTAGCCTATGGTTGTACTTTGTTTCCAATCATGCATGGACTTGCTCAATCGATTTTTATACGACAAATACTGTACTAATTAAATGAAAATCGGATTTTAAGATAACTAATGAGAAACATTTTTCAACATGTCCCTTTAGAAAGTTTTGCTTGAACGGTCCATATCGGCTCTCGAAAGCAGTGTACTAATGAACAGAAAATGTAATGATCGTTCTGAATATGGATATCTCCAATTTTCTAATAGTGTGCACTAGGCTTTAAACTTAAATGTGAAAGAAGGGTTTTTCTACCAACTCAAGGCCAACAAATGTCCTAGGAAAATGAAGTATAAGGAAACTAGAATGGTTTGAGGACAAGTTTTGTATGTATTAACAATTTTAAACTGATGTTTATGGAAATCTAATTTTACAAATATATAAATACAGGATGCACCTATGAAACAGATTCCGCACAATATTAAGGGTCTTCTAAAGTGACAGAGCACAGCTGAATCGGTTTATTTTCAGGCTTTACACCTTTAAATGAAAGTCTGTACAGACAGTGTGAACATAAGAGACAGGGAGGAGGGGGAACGGACACTCCTCTGATTCATTAACTTTGCAAATAAGGCTGTTGCAAAGAAATAGTTAGAATTAACTATATGAAAAATTGAGCCCAACGTATCAACGGCTGACTAAAACTAGGTAACAAAACAGTTATACAGTGTTGAACTATGCCATTTTGTCTATCTAATTGTATTTATTTATTTTTTTACTTTTATGTATTTTGGTAGGTTGCATATACTGCAAGATAATCTTTGCATATATATATATATATATATATATATATATATATATATATATATATATATATATATATATATATATATATATATATATATATATATATATATATATGTTTCACCAGTAGCGTCCTAGTCGTAAAACTGCCAAACCAGCAACCAGTGTAGTAATAATTAACAGTTTTTGCTATGTCCTATCCCTGTTTTAAGGTGCTCTTTTTCTACACTTTCTACGAATATATTTTTTCTTCAAATGGCAGCTTTTCCTAAAGTGCTGGACCTTTTTCTATCAAGTGCACATGCTGCATCTGACCTCATAGAAGTATTTTATACAATACACTGCTACTTTTGTTTTTGCAATGTTACATAAGCGGGCACCGACTACAAAATCTTTCAGATCTGTTAAGGCTCTATTACACGGATACACAAATTTACAGAATTGGATAGCAATTATACAAATATAGCTGCCTGAGTGAGCAGCATGTTTGTCACTATGGAGATAGGGAAGGCAAAGATAGAAGTAGCCTGAAAGACACTGCCAGAACTAAAAGGCAATACCAGCATTCAGGCAGGTTTTTCTGCAGACAATAGTTGGTTGGCTAGCTTCTGTAGATGTAAGGTTATCACCTGACAAGGCCACATCATCTCATAACTATGGACACTGGACTTCTGACTGAGCTGAATAGCAGTATATACCTTGTGATGTCATCAAAGACTCCATAACCTGTCTTCTTGTCCATCACCCACTGACCAATGAACATGCTGGGTGAAGAGGAGGTCAGTTTGCCACTCCGAAGAAGCCCATGACCATGGCGGTTGTTATCCTGAAAGCAGCCTTCATAAACTTCTCCATTAGCATAACTGGGTAGGTAATATTTAAAAGAATTATGGGGAAGCGAAATACACAACAGCAGAAATGAAAATGAATCAAGTATGCATTGGCTCATTCTCAGTAAGGCATAATAAATAAAAAAAGAAAATATTAATTAGCATACCAGAATGTTCCTTGACCACACATTTTTCCATCTTTCCAGTGGCCAAGATAGCAGTCTTCTTTTTTTAAAGATTTCTTGGGAATTATGTATTTTCCAAATCTGTAAAGTGAAAAGAATAAAAACTGATACTGTATTATGGTGATTATGATGCGGATTAAAGAAAATGAAGATTCTTACCCATCCTCCAAACCATTCCGAAATTCACCATCGTATACCCTTCCGTCTGGCCACTTCAATACCCCTCTAGAACAAATACAGGTAAGACAAATTCATGTATCAACAATCTATAGCATGATACATTTTACAGCTGAAAGAACCCATTGAAGAACATTCAGTATACAAACACAAAAAAAAGTTGCCCCTTATCCTACCAGTTGGAATTCCAGGTTCACATTTATTGCAAAGCACCTTTTTCTTCTTCCATACCTGCCATGAGGTTTTCCAGTTAGCCAACGCCCGTCATAGGTGGCATCTTTTAATCTTGGATCCTTGTAAAAGGTGTACTTGGCACTACGAGATAGAGGGGGCTCTTGTCTCACGATGCTCCCGCTGGAAGGAGGTGAAGACTCATATACTCCTCTAAGGGCCTGATCCACTGCCTGGCTAATTGCTCGAAGCCACTTAGTCTGAGGAGAAGTTAAACAAATACATAATAAATAGTTTGCAGTATGAGGACTCTATATAAAAAGTCTAGGAAACTCTATTGACATAAAAACCATTTCCTTAACAAAATCCCACTATAATTTTGGAGAATAAACACTGCGTGAATTTTTTTTTACAGCCACTAAAACGTAGCATTTCTGTATGGTTCATTTTCCTCTGCATATCGGTACTGTCAGGTCATGAAAAAATATCTGCAACCCTTACAATTCTTTCTAGCCATTTGATGAAGCTGCGTATATAACTAGTACAGGATCAGAAGGACCAGTAGAAGACCTTCTGACAGAGGTGCTGCACATTTCACTGCTCACACAACTCCCTTACATGTTCTTCCTAGGTATTGAAGAACGTCAGTATGCTACTTTATTATTACAGGTACTTACATATTTTTTGTGCCTTGCTGATCCTACAATCTTACTATATAGGATCTGTCTCGTAACAACAGACTACAGTCTCTAATGACTGAATGTTCAGTAGCTAAAGACAATGAAATCTGCCTGGATTGCAAGTTCAAGGACACAATTTTTTCATAGTAATAATTTGATTTATTAATCAATTTGACTGTAAAGGTTTATTTTTGCACTAAAAACACAGTAAATCACCTCCCCTTGGATTCAACTGGCATCAATAAGTTATATGCAGCAGCTGTATATTAGATAACTATACTACACCTGTCCCACCCAGGACAGGATTTTCTCCAAATGTTTTAATTCAAAAAGAGATCTACCAGACGTATGCACTGAATTTACGATGGGGACTACACTAGCTATGGCCATTCCCAATCTGCAACTCATTGCAACAAGCTGTCTGAAAATCAGCATTTATGGAAAGAAGGCTGTACTGGACTGGAAATGCTGTGTGGAGGAATAGGGGTGCATTTATGTTTCTATTGGTTGTGTCGGAAAAGACATCCCTGCTGGAAGGCCAGTAAAAAAAAAAAAGAAGACAAGACCCCATGGAGGTGGAAAGGGCAGGGGTGGCAGCATGAGACAGCTTGCCAAATGTCACTTGATGAAAACCACTAATATTAACATAAGATTCATTTGTAAGATCAGGTGTGGACTAGGTCAGACTGGAAGGTGGTATAAAGCTGGTTTCACGAATAAGAAACTAACCACCAAAACAGGCAAAAATGTCTAATTACCTTTCAGGTATATTGTATTAAAACAATTAAATGCATACAGTGAACACAATCTATTTGCTCAATACTAGTTTTCCACCCAGACATTGCAGTATTGCCCTAGTCCCTTTTGTTGCTGTTCTTTGATCCCCTGTATACAATATATGAGAACTAGCCCAAAGCACTCCTGCTGGAGACTCCTTGCTGTCTCTCACATACATAAAGCCTAGGGTACCTTAAATAATCAAACACTAAGGAAATACCTCACAACTACAAGCCAGGATCAAAATAACATTGGGATTCTGAATGTGGTTGGTGGTGCAGAGACCATGGACATTACACAACACAGGATTTAGGAAATACAGTTTCCCAGTGACCATACATTCTGGTTACAGGGGAATACATATGAAGGGTAAACCAATTTTTGCATAGTTACAGTAAATTGCTAAATAGTATTTGTAGGTGCGATTCTCAATCGGTTTCAGTTGCTGCCTGGAATTGCCCTTGAAATTATTTTTTTATTTATTACAAAAATTTTAATCAACTAAGGTATTTTCTTACCTTTTCCTGAGGTGACAGTGCAACCAAAGTTAGCTGTTCCTCTGGTGTTGTGATCTTTAATCCATTGCTGAAAGAACAACAACAACCTTCTTACATACACCTATCCAACTCAGCTACCTTTAACCTCAATGAGCATGGCATATTTTGAAAGTAATTTCAAGAAAACACACACACGTGCGCACACAGACACACAATATTTAATAGTGCTAGGCTAGTACATATCGGATTTCTTATTTGATTTTGTGATACATTCTGTATACTCTGATATGCTGCCAATTATAAACAAATAAAAGTAATAAAAAAAAAAAAAAGCAACGATCTCCACCTGCAATGCAAGATTTCAGAAGCGCCCAAGTGCATGAACCCCTCCTCCAAGTCTAGAGGCACTGGTTCCCAGGGGAATTAGTGCTAGCAAAACTAAGCAGAGCTCCTATGCTGGACAATACCACAAGTCTTTCTCCCATCCCTGCTCAAAAAAATATTCCCCATAGAGAAGGAACCAACTGTTTTGAAGAGCGAGACAGTAGCCCTTGGGATAATTGCTCTCAAATGAGGGACACATCCGGGTATAGAGAGAAGAATCCACCCAACCACCTGTATAAAATCAAGGATCATACCAGGGACTATCTGGTTCACAGAGACAGACACATTTGACAGCTCAGAAACTAGCCCCAGACTAACACTGAAGGGGGGTTGAAATAGACCAAGCAATATAGGAGAGGGGGAGAAGACCCTGAGAGGAGCTTTTAACCCCCTGTCTGATGACTAAGGAACTGAAGTTACACAGGCTGTGGACCTACAGAACTAAACTAGCTACACTTGCATGCAGGTGACTGGCAGTTTCCAGTACTAAAGCCTGATGTACCAGATCTGGATGAATCTTGAAGGTGACAGGCCCTTCCAGAAAATGCTGACTACAAGAATCCATGAAGCGCACTCTCTTTACAGGAGGTCATCTGAGTGTGCCACAATTGGGATGCAAGGGAAAAGCAATAGGCCAAAAACAGGAGCCATTAGGAGTATTAGGTGTGCATGGATGACAATGAGAACAAGGGTAACGTGTGTAATTTGTGTAGAAGTGAAAGGAAGGGTGGGCAGCTAAAGGGGCGCCAAAGGATTAGCCTTTGATCCTAAAGGGGTACTCTTTGAGCTTTCAGCTCTGAATGCATGAAAAGCAAACTAGCAAAGGACCCCCCAGGGTTCACAATTAGCCCCACAGTTGTAGAAGTGGGGGAACCCCATCATGTCAAAGGCTTTTAAGTGGGCTTGGCCAGTCTCTGACTTCAGGCCTTATTGGCTGCCTGAGAGTCAGGCAATAATGGCACCTACTATAGAAGCAGATGAAAGAGTAGGATTCGATATCCTCTGCCTAGACCTCTACATTGAGGCAGTAGTGTACTCTGTTCTTTCAAGGAATCCTTGATAATGGTCAAGTGTAGGACTGAAGAGACAATAATTCTCAAAGGCCAAGAGAGTAAGATGGTCTTTAAATATGCAATCAGCGTCTCAGCACCTTAACCAGAGTGCTTTGTGCATCAGTATAGACATAAGACACATGTGGAACAGCTCAATAAAAAGAGGAACTTCAACCCTTTCTTTTTTTTCTTCAATCACCACTTACTTTTTCCACTGCATTATCTCTCATAAATATATTAACACGCCTGGTAAATCCGGTGTTGCTCTGCTGTAATTTTTCCATTTATCACTCACAATATACAGTGCACACACACACACACACACACTATACAAGTGCAATTTCTAATATATAAACATGTGACTCTTTAAATGCATAAGGTGCTTCATACATGTCAGATCAATACATCTGTCCGTAAAGTGCAACAGTTCCTTCACAAAAAAGTGCAATGGTATATAAATTCTCCTCCGTGTAGATAAAGTGCCACCACCACTACTGAAAACTCACCAGACAGCCATGACCTTCTCACTTAAGAGTTGGTCTATATGAGTTTGTTGGTATATGTAAGGTCCCTACTCCAGTATGTCACTCCACCATGCTCCTCATTTATAACTTCGCCAAGGGTATCATATATTTTTTTTAGAAGGGAAAAAAGAGACTCCAATAGTGTAAAACACCCTTTATTAAAATCTCACATAACAAACATTAAAAATGCTAGGCCTACTGAGGAAGCCCAAATCTGGGGGGTACTGTGTATAGGTGGAAGGAGCTGAGCCCTAGAGGTTCTGAACTGATGACCATCTGGGAGAGCAGGGTGGTGAGCCATGTATGAAATTATACATTATATTCTGGCTTGTTTCTTACATGTTGTGTTTTTAATCTGGGCGCTAATAAAAATTGTTTTACAAATACAGAGCACTATGGTTCCACTTTTCTGTTTTCCATAATACAGATTATATGATAGCATCAGCTGGAGGAGTGTATACTGTGGTGATGCAGGAGAGGAGCTTGAGGAAGACCACAGAGGGTGTACATATGTTGAGCGCATAATGACCTACTGATGAGGTCGTAAAGTAAGGTGAGCAGATTTTTTCACCTAATGGTGGTGGCACGGTTGACACTGAAGAAGACAGAAGATTTATCTTATACACATTACACAGTGGTGTTATAAGTCTTTTTAATGGGACTTTAATTATTGTTTAATATTGACTTTTATATGCGATATTTGTCGGTTGCGCTTCGCTTATTGTTTTTTCAGAATACATTTCTTCCTTAGGGCTGGTTAACAAGTAGAGCAGTGGCTGCTGAGCATTTACGGAGGCGATACTGCCGCTAGAACCTGTTTTCTCCACCCTCCTAGCCGCCTATGTGAGCGAGGCCCTAAAGCTGAACTGCAGGCACATAATAAAAACACAATTTATTGCAGCTCTGTATTTATTGATACAGAATTAAAATGTATTTTATTTTAATGTAAGCAGATTACACGAATTTGACCAGCTATCAGTCTCTTGCAATCACTTCTTCAACAACATTGAGACCAGTGGAGGGAAAACCAGCACAATAAGGAAATCGGTAGTGCTCCAGCGCAGACTATATTGATAGGAGGAGACAGCAAAGTGGCAGAGATAGGCTCACCAGTGTACGGTTTCTCTTTCCACATGCTGGGAGGAGAAAGGTCTCTTAAGTGTAGCTGCACTCCAGCAAAGAAAGATCAGGTCCAATTTCCTGCTAGACAGTGCTGTGCACCAGAGCTGTGCAGATCTCAAGACTGGATAAACAGAAAGACAAATACCTTGGCAGCTAAAAGAGATGTCATATATGTATTTAATCTGTTTGTTTAGCTGTGCCTGGAGTTCAACTCTAACTGAACACATTTGCTAAAGAATGATTCGGTTACAATGACTACGCAGAAGTAAAATTCATTTACATATATGTTTGTTGTAATGTTTTGAAAATGAGTTCCTAAAACTGCACCTAGAGATGTACTTTATTAGAAAGTGATTTTCTAAATGGCTCATCTTCTTTACTGAAACAGTATTTTGTTTGGGAAATAACAGCTTCTCGCCACAGCAGAGAATAAAACACTAAGTAGGTATATGGAACGTGTTCAAGTTCTAAGCAATGCCCATTTAAAATCCTCCAGGGAGAGATACTTTCTATTTATTGCTCATACAAATGCAAACAAGCATCCTGCACATTCTGCTGCACTATAAAACAAATTGATTTTTTGCAACTGTACCCACATGCCAGCCACTTCTTCAGACACTGGTTCAACCCAAAGTGTACAAAGGGGGAAAATGTGATGTGTAGAGAACTGCAAAGAGAATAGACAAAATAAGAGAGTGAGAAAAGCTCAGTGTGATTGGTAAAGGTCATTTATCACAAAGGTCTCATGTACTCATACATACTGTGTGCCCAGTGCATTCAGCTGCAGGCTTGATCTCAGTGATGGGCAGCTGTCAAGTATACACTGGCAACATTCTAATTACTAAACACAATCAGCATGAAGCATGTATAGAACATTTTAAATGCAATGTTTTTATAGGGATAAGATTATAGTATACACCTGCTCATGAATGAAATCCAGCCTGTAACTGGGAAATGGTGAGTGGAACCCATCATCCAGCTTACGTGGGAAGTAAAATTAATCAGATTCTCACACACTTCTTAAAATTTAATTCCAGGTTCACAGACTCTTTAATTAGTTCATTTGGGCCCAGCTGGTCCAAACAAACTTAAAAGTGAAGACTTTTGAGCTGCTATATGAGTAATAAGATGTCCAGAATGCGAATTGTGAATCGCCTACACCTAACACATACTCATACTAGTGTGTCAAATCAATAATAAATTACACAAATGTGCTGCGCTTCAGTCAATATTGCTAATATCAACTGATGAATACATCCATGTGCTTCTATTAATAATAAGTGGCATAAAAAATAAATAAACCAATATCAATAACCGTAGTCAACAGCAATGTCCATACACATGTAAAAAAAAAAAGTCCATATATGCTTCTTCAGAGATACGTGTTCACTTTAAATGAAATAAATATCCAGTGCTTTACCCCCTGATGAAGCCACGTGACCGGTGGCGTAACACGCAGGGGAGGGGCTTTGACATCACTACACTCGATGGTTCCATACTGACACCAGCTGGTATTTTTAGGATTTTCACCACTGCCAAAACTCAGGAGGATACATTTTTTGCACAAAGCAGCTTATATTCAATTATCATGTGAGTGCATTACCTTTATTGCTAAAATGTTTTTAAAGGATAAAACACTATAATTTGATTATTCCTTTATATAAACCACCGTAGAAGGAGAGCCTATCGATCGAGTGAAGGGGGATTCCATTCAGCAGGATACCATTCCATCCACATTTTGGTCCAATTAAAAGGGACACAAGCGTTATATGACCTCAATTAACGGTTTGGTCATTTTTGAGATGAGAGCACAACCGGTGGGGGAGCACACAATTTTGAGTTATTTCACACAGGAGATAAATTAAGAAGTTCTGGATATTTATTTCATTTAAAGTGAGCATGTACTTCTGAAGAAGCATATATGGACTTTTTTTGACATGTATATGGACATTGCTTTGACTACGGTTATTGGTATTGGTTTATTTATTTTTATGGCACTTATTATTAATAGAAGCACATGGCTGTATTCATCATTTGATATAAGCACTATTGAGTGAAGCGCAGCACATTTTTGTAATTTATTATGGTCTAAACTAACTACTTTCTACACGAAGGCCCCTTTCACACGAGCGTGTCGGATGTCTGTTTTTCATCTCTCCGTTTAAAAAAACAGACACCCATGTATTTCTATGGACTAGCGGATGTAAGTGGATGATCATCTGTTTACATCCATTAATGTCCGCATCCGTTAACATCAGTTTTTTTTAACGGAAGAAAAATAGGGACGGAAGGGACGTAAAACAGATGTAAATGGACAAAAAAGAGATGTAAACTGATGAAAACTGATGTAAACGTCCGAAAGACGGAAGTAAATGGACGAAAAATGGATGTGAACTGATGAAAAATGGATGTGAACTGATCCGTATTTTTCTTGGAAAAAATGTGACTGAACTGATGAAAAGAACAGAACGCCCGTGTGAAAGGGGCGTAACAGGTGCACACCCTGGGAGCACTGCATACACTCTTTGGAATTCATAAAGATTGGCACAGACAGATTTTAAAAAAGTGTCTCACATGTGTTCTAAAAGAACTTGTACTTGAATTTGCTGCACACTGAGCCACCTTTATTTAAGACCATTTTTCCTTTGGCATTCAGATACAGATTTTGTGAAAGTGTCTCACAAGCATTCCAAAAGTGGCATAGTGCGAGTCAAATTCAAGTACAAGTTCTGGACAGGTACATGAATTTGGCACATGCTGCAAAACTTTTAGAACACATGTGAGTCACTTCCACAAAACCTGCCTCTGTACGCCAAAAGAAAGTTGGTCTTATTAGCTCCACTTTCATAAGATACAAACTGTCAGTATTATATTTTATTTTGAATTTGGCACACATGTGGTACCACAATGTAGAAAAGGAGCAAATTAGAACTACCTGAATTTGGCCCACAAGTTGCTTTCAGAAACAAAACTGTCACAGATGTCTTTTGAATTAGGGGAAACACATTAACAAAAGCAATTAACACCAGAAAGAGACATCAGCTTTATTGAATTCTCCCTACTGTATGCAGCTTCATCCTTGTGTTCCGGCAGTGAGAGGAGAATGTCTTGTCTCACACCCAGAACAAAATAGAGTCAGGCTAAGCTGTGCTCATTCATTCATTCATATGAATACAAATGTGGAATCAGTAAAATAAAAAAACTAACCCCCTACCTGTGCATGAACAAGGGCATCATTGAAAAGTATGAACCAATTAACCGAGAACCTTCCTGCATTTTGCAAACATAACCCACGATTACTGCTCTCGCAGATCAGGCGCCGTTCAGGCTTCCTAAGAGAATCCTGCAGAAGAAGATAAAGACCAAATAAAAAAAAAAAAACTACTTCTAAAACACTGCAAACCCACATGCAAGCACAACCCCCCCCCCCCCCCCATAACATACACTTAAATAATCAGTCCGTTCTTACAAAGTGTAAATTAACTATGCCTGTACATGCAGTTATTTTCAAAGTAATTCCTGGTGTTTATAGCATACTACCTATTTAGACAGACGTCTAGGTTTAAAGCACATTAATACCTGTAGTTCTTGGATCCACACCAATGCAGCTCTCCATATTGGGTTAAGAACAATACAACTGCATACATGTTCTTGTTTGACCTATATACAGTATCATCTCTCATAATCATACAATCTTAAACATTTTATTCTGTTGGCCATGAAAGTCAGTGATTGTCTATGGCTAAAGTAATAAGCTGCAATAAATACGATATAATATTTCTCTACAATAAAAAGTCTATATAAAAAAGCAACTTAAAGCGGAGTTCCAGCAGAACAAAAAAAAAAAGTCAGCAGCTACAAAAACTGTAGCTACTGACTTTTAAAATACAGTCACTTACCTGTCCCTCAATCCAGCGGTGTCCTCACCATGGCTGGTTTCACTGGCCGTCTTCTCTCCCTGGTGCTGGCATCTTTAGTGTGGGTACCAGGTTGCGACAGCTTGCAGCTTCACAGCCGGGTGCCCACTGCGCATGTGCGAGAAGCGCTGCGTTTTGTGAATGGCCCTGCAGTCTTCTGGGACCTGTCACGTGTCCCACAAGACTACAGGGGAGGGAGGGGGGAGGACAACTTCCGCTTCCGAATGCCTAGGCGATCGCAGCGAAAGTAGAAGCGGGTACCTGTCATATTCGGGAAGCTGCTCCCCAAAGGTGCCAATCCTTAATGGGCTGCGGGGGACAAAGCATTAAAGTGGAACTTCCCCTTTTGGGTGGAAGTCCGCTTTAAGGGTCCGTTTACATGTGTGGATAGGGGTGGTGAATGCAAACACCTAAACTAGGGCATGCAGCTGCCCAGGGCTTTACATAAGCCGTGAATGCGATGCTTGTTCTGCTACAACCTAAGCAGAATACCACATTTGGTAGGTGCTATCACCACCAAACTCATCCAATACAAGTCTATGTTGTGCGATTGCAGTGCAGTGGTGTGAAATTTACAAGGTAAAAGCAGGTAGTGAGGAAGCCACAAACCACCTCTTCCCTGCCAGTCAAATTCCTCTGAAAAGCAACCCACTGCAGATCGCTTTTCAAAGGGGAGGCAAGGGTTGCTGCACACACGAAGGAGTCCTCAACGTATATCTAAATCCAAAACAAAAATGTAACATATTGCGGCTTACCAGTACTTAGACACTGTGGCTTCATTAGTGTCATCATTTTTCAGGCTAAGAACATTTTAGCAAGTACAGAACAAAACTGGTAATTTTGCTAGAAATGCAGTGTCAGACATGTATGAAATACAGCCTATGTGACTACCATGGCTTCACAGATACCAGTGGAGAAAAAAGGTGTAGACATGACACAGGACGTGCGTTATCTGCAGAGTTACAAGGTGCAAAAAAAGAAAAAAAAAACGCTTAAAAAAAAAAAAATGCAGCCACCACTTTTAAGGACTGGTAAGCTGAATTATATATTTTCTTCTGTTAAGATATGCTTTAATGGGACTAAAAATGGACAAGGTGACAGATTCATTTTAAAGACCATCTGCAGCATTATTTTTTTCATTTGGTCCTATAATGTAATATATGGTCTCAAAAACAATAGAGAGTGATTACGGGTAATCTTTATAGAGGAGGTTGAGCTTTGCTTATAATTTCCCCACCTAGATCTGAGGATCTATTGTTCATTCAGCCATGCAGTGTGCACTAAAGGGAATTGCTAGTGCCTTTTTACATAAGTTCAGTCTGAAATGCTGTGCCCTGTGATAGGTTTACATTAAAGCTGACCATAGATGGTTCAAATCTTGACTGGTTCAGTAGGGACCGGCTGAGATGCGATCCATTTATGGGCAGGCTGATTGCTGGAAGATGATTGCTGTATGACTTGGGTACAATCAACATGTCAGAATTTACATGTGATTACTGCAAGCACCTATTATAGCCGCTAGCAGTGATCACTGTGTTCTCCTGGTGGGGATGATTCCCCCAACCCCCCCCCCCCCCCCCTTCCTGCCAGGAGAACCCAATAGCTCATTGGGAGAGATTCCTTCATCAACACTGACTGTGTTGATGAGGAAATTGACCAATTTTCTTTTCTGCAACTCATGGTTGCAGGAAAGAAAACAGTATCATCTATGGCCTGTCTATCAGTTAATTAACCACTTCCTGTCTGGCCCATGTACATAAACGGCTGGACAGGAGCAGTGCAGGCGCGGCACCCACATTTACAGCCTGTGCGCGCTCCCTGGGAGCGTGCGGCACTGCAATCCGGTGCCCGCTGTGTCCGGGTTTGTGTGATTGGCCAATCAGTGATCACATGAATAGTAGTAAACAAGGTGTCACTTCCTGACATCATTGCTTACTACTAGTGAAATCTGTGAAGGATTAGAGGTCACATGGTACAAGGCTATTCACAACAGCCTTGTACCATGTGACAAGCTGTGACCAATCACAGCTGTCACAGTATTTCTCAATGGCTACAAGAATGCAGTCAGAGAGGAGAAATGATTGCTTTTACAGCCTTTATGAGTGTAAAAGCAATCAGTGTAAAAAAAAAAAAAGAAAAAAAAAAATCTTCATGACCCCCCACAAGTAGTACAGTGTCACCATGCACTACTAGGGTGACAGTGTGGTAAAAAAAAAAATAAAAAAAATATAAAAAAAATGTTTTTTGAAAAATTATAATTTTTGGTTATAAACTAATTTGGGTTATTTTTTTTTTTTTACTAAAAAGATAACTGAATAGATTTTGGCCAATATTTATGAAGAAAGATTATTTATTTGCAAAATGTTATAAGAAAACCACTTTTCAAAATTTGTGGACTTTTTCATTTACATAGCAAAAAAAAAAAAAAAAAAACCCCAGTGGTGAATAAATACCAAAATAAAGTTTTATCCATCTAAAAAAAATGCTAAAAAGTCATATGGGTACAGCGTTGCATGACCGCGCAATTGTCAAAGTGTGATAGCACTGAAAGCTGAAAACTGGCCTGGACAGGAAGGGGGTGAAAGTGTCCGGACTTGAAGTGGTTAAACAAATTGTGGTATCCCTTTTACAGAAAAAGGATGCATACATACCGTCATCTTTCCTGGAAACGTCTTCCAGAACCCCAAAGTATACTCAGCTTCCTTCTTCTTTCGGTTCAGGGCAACTGCTAAAGCGTCATAGTTAGTGCTGGAGTCCTGCAGCTTCTTGTATTCTGTGGATGACTAACACAAACAACAAACAAGAATTAAACCCTCACAATTTTTTTTGCTTATTACATTGAGCACAATAAAATAAACATTCCTAAGTAAACTATTTGTTACAATTTGTACCCAAGCACTTGCAGTTTACAATTTTCACTGCTGCTGGTTCCTGCTCTCTCAGTGCTGCTTCCCAAACTTCCTGTCACTTTTCATCTTCACAGGAAAGAGGTAACAGTGGACAGTGCAGCCTGCAGCCAGACTGTTAGCTTGGAGACGGTGGGGGGAGGAGGAAGAAGGAGCAGGGGAATGCTTTGTCAATCGAGGCTACGTGGCTGTGTGTTCCTATTGATGCACACAGTGCACTGAAATACAATTCTAGTTCCTGCATGCAAGGGTGGCTCCATAGGATGCTAAAAGAGAAAGGAGCCACCTTGAAACAGGAAACCTTGGACAGCAGTCATGGCACCTAGCTTGAACTGGACCATAGACAAGGAATAAATTATATCTATTACAATTTTATTGTCTGCCTACACTGAAAGTATGCAAATGATTTCTTTCTTATCATCACATCTCATGTACATGCATGCATGCTTACACATGTGTGAGCTTGTATGAGACATTACCGATTTGGCCCTTATTCAATTGTATTTATAATTCTGAACAGCAATCCACTAATTTATCTCTTTTCATAGGTATCTATCTTTCGCAGAATAGGGCACTTGCAAAACAGGAGGCACATATATGTATACATATATAATATTAGACTCTCATAGCCTTTTAGAACTTGAGCCGTTTTTTAATTTGTGTTTTCTATAATTTATGCCTGTTTTTATAATGCTGTTTTCTTTAGAAATGTCAGTCCTAGGCGAGACATGATTAATTTGACCCTTATTAAACTATGTGTATAATTATATATATCATTTTTCAAAATTAAACTTCTGACCTATGAACAGCGATCCACTAATGTATCGCTTTTCATAAGTATTTTTAGCAGAATAGGGCACTTGCAAAACTGGAGGCGTATATATGTATACAAACAATAAAAAAGAATGAGTGAGCGCTAAAAGTCAGTGAGCAGCTAAAACACCAAAAAGGTACCAAAAACCTCCGAAAATGAATAAAATAGCAGGGTGTAGCGCTTAAAAGTTGATAATCATGATATGATAAAAGAAACCACACATCATGTGACATGTCAAGCCTTATCAGCAGCTTATAAACATGACAAAAACATCAATGGATTAAATGACAGTTCTAAAAAAACAAGTGACAAAGTGACATAGTGCAAACGCATGTAAATAAGTGTATTGCGTCACTAATCAGTGACTCGCCATGTGCACAGTGTCAGGTATAAGTCCAAATATTAAGGTGCCTAAAGGTCTTCCGGATCCAAATGACTGGTCCAAATGATTGGTGATAAGGAAAAGTGTAAAGACTGCGCACTCACCAGATGTGCAATCACACTGCGCATTTAGAGATATCAAAGAATCAAAGGACCAGGGTGTCCCCTTTAAAGGTCTGGTCAGGTCTGGAGCCCCTCTTAAATCGACATCATCTGCCCATGGATGGCTCGCCTCCTCTGTGGATAGTAGAAGCTCAAGGAGCTCAGAAAAAAGGAGACCAATAGCGTGATACCGTATGAACAGAGGGTGCTTTATTAGCCAGGTAGATAAACCAAAAATCACTGACCAGTATGGGGATCCAAGATGGCTGCCGGGACCAAGATGGTGCCGGAAGCGTGGTGTCCTAGTGCTGTAGCCCCCCTCTGATGCGTTTCGTGCGATGGCACGTACTCATAGGGGGTCATGCCTTTAAGAGGGGATCCAGACCTGACCAGACCTTTAAAGGGGACACCCTGGTCCTTTGAGATTGAGATCTCTAAATGCGCAGTGTGATTGCACATCTGGTGAGTGCGCAGTCTTTACACTTTTCCTTATCATCAATCATTTGGACCAGTCATTTGGATCCGGAAGACCTTTAGGCACCTTAATATTTGGACTTATACCTGATACCGTGCACATGGCGAGTCACTGATTAGTGACGCAATACACTTATTTACATGCGTTTGCACTATGTCACTTTGTCACTTGTTTTTTAGAACTGTCATCATTTAATACATTGATGTTTTTGTAATGTTTATAAGCTGTTGATAAGGCTTGACATGTTATATGATGCATGGTTTCTTTTATCATATCATGATTATCAACTTTTAAGCGCTACACCCTGCTATTTTATAATATATATGCATGCATTTATAATATTAGATTCTCACAGTCTTTTAAAACTTGAACTTGACTTTTTTTAATTATGTTTTTTAATTAATATCTTCTACAATGTATGCCTGATTTTGTAGTGTGGTTTATAAATTTAGGTTATCCCTTAGAAATGCCAGTCCTAGACTTGTAACATATGAGACTCACTAAGAGTTAATATAGCAGTTTATAATGTGTATCAATAATTGTAACTTTGTTTTCTGAATGTAGCTTGTTGTGTCAGAATGGTTTCTGGTACAGCAGACATAGCAATACATTACTTGAGTATCTGGTCCTCCACAGTGACAATCACTTACTGATCAATTCGATCGCTATTTAAACCCAATTTCCATACACTGGGGCAGGTTATGACAAAGGAGGGTTTCCCTTTGAAATGTGTTACCGCCCCCTACACCACCCACCTCTTCCAGGCACGCACGGGAATCACCACAAGGCTGACTACAGCGTTCCAGGATGCCGAACTCCAGCTAGTCCTTGACAGCGGTCAGACCACATACATGCTGGCATGAGAGGAACTTTGTCTGTGGCTTCACTCCATCTGCTTATGAGGTCTCTGTGCTTCTCCTGTGTTGGACACCTGTGTTTTAATGTGCAAGTGTGCTATGTTTTTACTTCCAATAATGCTGATGGAGGTTTTGCGCTGTTGCCACTTTTGTCTTTGAGTTTCCCTAGATCTTCCTGGATCTATGCTGACACCTGCATGATTTTTCATCGCATGACCACGTAGCCTGATCTACTCATCAAAAAGATTTAATTGGAGAGTTGGAAACTTGCAGTGCACGCACTGGATTGGTTTGTTTGTTTCCTCTTGTTGTCTGTGAGTATGCACTGCTGTGTCACACACATTTCACAGTGCCTGCCTTACGAACTACAGAGAGGCTAAGAGGAGGAGTTTCCAGAGGCAGAGTAGGTATGGGAATCATTGCTTGCAAGCTGCAAGGTACCATGAGATATGTAGTCTTTAAAATTCGAAAGCAAACGTTTAACCTCCAAAAAGTGTGAAACGTGTGAGTAGTTCTCTATAAGTGGAGAACAGTAGATGAAGCCATCTTTTCCCCATCTCATTCACATTTGGGCAACAGAGAGTCAGTGTGTCTGCTGATGGCCACCACTTTGTTGAAGTCAGAGGAGAAGCTGCAAAACATGCAGAGAATCCAGGAAGCTGTGAGATTTGGTATTCCAAACCTGGTTTTGCTCTTTATATTCTAAAAGTGAAGTGTCTTTTCCCCCTTTCCTATGATCACACCAGTTTTACGCCATATGTATTCTCTAATGGTGTAATAATTAATGTATGATTTCTACTTTGTGTATTTTTTCTTACATGTACACAAAACCAATAAAAAAAAAAATAGGAAGCACTTACCACTTCAAAGCACATGGCCAGTTTGAGCAGTAATCTGGCATACTCATTTAGTCGAAATATTGGTGAGAAGAAAAGGCTATGTAGTGTCTCAGGAATTGTAGTGCCCTCATCCTTTACATAGCTGAGACTCTGCAAAAGCTCTTGGTTCTTAGTGAAGAAATCCCTGAAATTACACCCAAATCAAACAAAGTCTAGATACTCAGGAAAAGATTATTACTATGTAAAATGCAACATTTAAAAAAATGTATCAATAACACATGTACTCCCCCTCAACCATGCCTCACAAATCACAGACACAGAGGTGTGGGATCTGTGCCCCTCAATGAAAATCAAGAAATGGATTTTAAGGCAAATACAAAAATTGAATTTTGTTTTCTCATTCATTGAGGGACACAGAATTTAAAGACAATTGGGACATCCAAAAACAGTCCAACTGGAGGGATGGGCATAGGCAACAAAACACTAAAAGGCCCACATAGTAACAGCAAAACTTAGGGCTGGCTACAGATCAAAGAGCTGCCCAAAAGACCTCATGCCCAGAAGCTGGCATTAGATAGGGTTTAAGCATCCACCTGGTAAAAGCCTAGTAATACTTAGAACAAAAGACCAAGTGGCAGCATTGCAAATCTGGGAAGCAGTAGTCTGATGCCGAAAAACCCAATAAGCCATCACAGATTGAGTACGACTTAACAGGCAGGGTGGAACCTTATCCTTAAAGCGGAGTTCCACTCACTCTGTAAAAAAATAAAAGTCAACAGCTACATAAACTGTAGCTGCTTTTAAAAAAAAACAGCCACTCACCTGTCCCACGATCCCGCGATGCCCCCGCCGCAGCCCGTTTCACTGGCCGTCCTGTATTCCAGGCGTTGGCATCTTCAGTGTGGGCACTCGGCTGTGACAGCTTGTGGCTTCACAGCCGGGTGCCCACTGTGCATGCACAAGTAGCGCTGCGCTTCCTGAATGGCCCCGTTGTCTTCTGGGACCTGTCACGTGTCCCACAAGACTACGGGGAGGGAGGACAACTTCTGCTTCAGATCGCCTAGGCGATCACAGCGGAAGTGGGAGCAGGTACCTGTCAATTTTGGGTACCCGCCCCCCAAAAGGTGCCAATCCTTAATGGGGAGCGGGGGACCCATCTTTAAAGCGGAACCTCCCCTTTTGGGTGGAACTCCGCTTTAGGAACATAAGTTTCAAAAATGATTTGTCTGAGCCATGCAAAATGGTGGAACAAAAGGCACATTTGCTCTTATGGGGATCGTTAGGTATGATAAAGAGAGATGGTACTCAGGGCCATCTGCTGATCCAGGCTGTCACACAGCAGTATCTTCAGGGTTAACTTGTTAATAATCTCCCTCTTCTCACCACGTGACTCGGGAACTGTTTGCAAAGTTTAAGTTACTCCTGAATCTAAGGGGTTGAATTAATATTTTCAAAGTGATTTTCCTGCCACGTTTTCTATATGTCTTGAATAACTCACATATCTATATTACCATTTCCCTGGGAGGGTAAGATGGAAAGGATGGTAAAAGATACCAGCTCACAGTTTCAACTGTTGGGAGGCTTTGCCTCTAATTTGTTGTTAAACTTGGATGCAAGAGGGTCGACATCCAGCATACCACAGCTCTGGCACCAGCCTTGAAACTGTACAAACATCTTAGGGTCCAGACACCAGTGGCAGAGAAAGTCTGCCTGCCAATTGTGTACTCTAGTAGGTAACAGGTATACAAGAATCCTTTCTACTTCTCAAGCAAGACTTCGGGTTCCTTTTTTGGAATGGTTCTTTTCTCTGATTACTTTTTATATTTGCCAGTGCCCAAATCCTCCTGTAGGCGGCAGCATATCCCAATTGTCTCTGAATCCTGTGTCCCCCAATGAACAAGAATGAGAAATAAATTGTGTCTGAAGTTTGGCATTCTGCAAGACCCAACATAGTAGAGCTGCATAGATGGCTCAAATGTAGATTTGAGCAACCAGTATCTATAAAACCTTTCACTATGAAAATCTGAAAAACACATTTTACTTTACAATATGTGTAAACTGCTACCAGAAAGCTTTAGTCATCATTGTGGAAAAAAAAAAACAAAACAAAACAAATACACCAAGGCAACCCATCACCATCCCTGCTATATAAATGTCTTCATGGTAGGATGCCTTGATGTGTTGAATTGTTTTGTAAAGGAAAGCCAACAGAAAGTGTATGAAATTGCTAGGAAATTGTCCTGTATATGGTCAGAATTACTACTATTGTACAATCCAAAACAGATGGCTGGTCACAAAATAATATTCAAAGGAGTTTTGTCAATTGCGGCATCTGACCTATTTTCAGGGGACACCCTGAATTCTTTTTAAAAGATATCTGAAAACAAAAGACCAGTACAGCTATTTTAGACTGATATGTTGGATTCACATGAGCCAACAATCTATCTATACCATTTAACTTTGTAAATGTTAAAATAGCAAATTAAAAATACATTTGGTAAAATTGTCAGACAACCATCTGGAAAGCTGAAAAATAAGAAATATTTCTAAAGACATACCTAAAGCCCAAGAACGATGTTACCAATGCATGTGCAAAGATCAAATCAGTAAGATTAAAGTGTGCAATACTAAAAACAAAAAAAACAAAAAAAAAAAAAAACAACTTACATGGCTGGTTTAGACAGAAGTGAAAATCCTCCCATGACCAAGAAGTTACAAAGAGAAGTGCTATACCTGTAAAACAAGCAATGTAAAATATCCTCAAAATCTAAAACAATGCATTATGTTTACCCATTATATATTAACAATGCAAAAGCTATATGTAGCATGTGTATGGAGCATACAGACTGCATGTTGAAATGTTACTATTATCTATAGTACTAGAAAAATTGCAGAATGTTGCTGTTTGGTCAATACAAAGGAAACATTTAGAACTCTGACTGCCCACTATAGGAGCCTCCCATTTCATTGCAGGCAGTCATGAGACAGCTTTTCTGAAGGTGTCAGTGTAGAATAGCTAGCTGACACCGACAGTCGTGTTTTCTAGACAAAAGCAGTACTTGGTTCCTGGAATAACACTATTTAACAGACTGTGTTAAGCACATATGTTATACTCCTTTCTGATTTGCACTGATTTGGATAAGTATCTGTAAAGAGAAACTAAAGTGTATTTTCAGTGAGCACATTTACCCCTCCCCAAATTTAACTGAAAAAAAAGTTCAGTGTGACGTCCGCATTTTAAATGCATACATAAATATGACTTTTAAATATAGATTTTGACAATCTTCCTCTGGTGGCTCACTATATATCTGGTGACATCTCTGCAGAAACAGCCACTTACCCACAGAGGGTAAACTATTTTCAGTCACTGTAAAGCTGGCATACACTAAACAAATTCTACTAGTGTATGGACAACTTGAAGGAGAAGTTCAGCTTTAGGAGCATGTTACACCCATACAGGGGCGGACTGACCATTTGGAAACTCAGGCACTGCCTGAGGGCCCGGGGTCAGTAGGGGGCCCCATGAGATGCCCCTGGTACCTTTTTCATAGGTTTTTTTGAGTTTGGGCAAGGACACAGGGGCCCCATGAGTTGTCAGTCCGCCCCTGCACCCATATTAAGGGTGCATCATGCAACATGCTGCTATTCACATGGCTATCACCACCAGAACCTCCCCCTCCTGTGACAGTGGTTATGCTGTTACACAGTTAATATTTATGTTAATGTACATGAGAATTCATATAGTTTATTTTTTGTACCATTTTCTATGGACATTTCTATAGTTAGTAATGCTGCCATCCAGTGGTCTTATTTGGTATACACTTTGTTTTTTATGTTGCCTCCCTGAGATCTATGACACAGTTCCTTTGTATATGAAGCTCCTCCCTTCTTCTTGAGTTCAGCACTTCCTGTGTCATGGAGGCAGCTAACAGACCACATGTAACAGGGACACATGTATTCTGCATAGTACGCTACAGAAATTATCATCTTTTGACCGCATAATACTGGAAACCATTCATTCTGCTGTGTATCCTGTTGTTGTCACATGTACAGAATAAAGCAACTTCTGGATGAACACAGTATTGGTGAGTTCAGCTATCTGACAAGGATTGCCCACAGTGATTATATCTACTTATACAGGCTAGGCAGAGAGGTCTCACAAGGGATAAATCGCTATCACAACAATCTGAGTCAGAATAGTCAAAAGATGCATAGAATCCCTACAGCCTGCTGTGTATATGTGTGTACCTAATCTGCAATCAAGCTCAGTGCCATCCGCCATCTTGCAAAGCACATGGTCGCACAAGCTTACTGCACTTCATGTGAATGTTGAAAACTGTTTCTCTGCATTGAACTGTGTTACCCCACCTGTCTAAGCTGCTGTTCATCTTCTTAAAGAGACAGTACCAATTTTTGCAGAACAGTAAATAATGTCTAGACAAGGCTCTGAACACTCCTTTATGGCGAACCAACGCAGATACATCATTCCTCTGAACCAGCAGACGTACAGGGAGCAGAGTCTGCAGACATTCCCGAACAGAGCGTAAAACCCAAACCTACAATAAAACCCACACAGAAACTCAGGAAAACTATGAAGCCACTAGAGATGAGTTCTCCAGTAATCTGTCAGACCTCTGGGACCGAACTTCACAATGCACATCAGTTTTGTCACACTTTAATGATCAACCAGCTGAATTAAGAGACTTTATAAATCGCCTATCTGCTGCGTATGAACGCTACCAGCGGCTGTCTGTAAAATACTCAGCTTACTTGCAGGACTCTAATATAGAGGATTCTTCAGCAGAACTGACCAGGACTGATGCACTAAACCAACAAAGGGATCTTGCAGTGAAAAATGCTACGTTTATAGCAGAACTCCGTATTACTCAACTGCAGGAGACCAGATCTCACAGATCCACCTCAACCAAGCGCACTGCACTTTCTTCTAGATCCTCTCGCTCCAGAAGTTCCACGTTAAGCGATAAGCTAATAGAGGCCCGCGCTGATGCTGAATCAAAAAAGGCGCAAAGCTCTTTTACCAGAAAGCAAGCAGAGATGGAAGCTAAAAGCAAAGCTCTCCAAGCACAAATGGCTTCTCAACAAGCAGAGGCAGATTCCCAAATAAAGATTCTGCAGATGGAAGGGGAGGAAGCAGCTTCCCTAGCAAGGCTGAAAGTCCTTGAACAAGCAATGGGACAAAGTACTAATTCAGACTGCCTTATCCCAGCAGAACTGGAGGATCCAGTTGAACGCACCAGTGAATACGTATTAAAGCATAACACTTGCGAAGATACAGAGTCATCTCCTGTACCTCCTACTAACAACACTGTTCTGACTCTCAACACAGAGGTCTCTCGGCTCCATATGCCTAAGCCTCTTCAAATCTACAACACAAGTACATCTATGCAGCAAACCACATCAACTCCTGCCAACAACAAGGTGACTTCCAGTGACAAGTCGCAGCTCAAGCCACAGCCAGCACAAGCCTTAGAGACTACACCACAGTTAAACGCTCATGCAACATCATTTTACCCTGGTAAATCTCACCCTACATCACCAGAGAACTTCCACACCCAAGGGGTTCCACAAGTTACTTTGGCACCAAAGAGTGAGAGATCAGACTTGAATGACTTTGCCAGATATATATGATTCGCCGTGAGCGCATTAACACCAGCCTCTCAAGGTTTGACGACTGTCCAGAGAGCTACAGGGCCTGGAGATCAACCTTCAAGGCTGCTAGTGCTGATCTCAACCTTACTACTAAGGAAGAACTTGATTTGCTCATAAAGTGGCTGGGACCAGAATCTGCAGATCGTGTTAAAAGACTGAGAACAGTACATGTTGACCACCCAGACGCAGGTCTTGTTGCTGCATGGGCAAGACTTGAGCAAGCCTATGGTAGCTCTGAAGCCATAGAGAGTGCTCTATTCAAGAGACTGCAAAACTTCCCAAAAATAGGAAACAAAGACTATCGCAGGCTCCAAGATCTAAGTGACCTCCTCATGGAGCTAGAGTTGGCAAAGACAGACCCACGTCTATCTGGACTAAGCTTCCTGGACACCGCTCATGGTGTTAACCCAGTGGTGTCTAAACTGCCATACGGCCTGCAAGAGAAATGGGCACAACAGGGCTCAAGGTACAAAAGAGACTATAACGTATCCTTTCCTCCATTCTCATACTTTTGCAGGTTCATTAGTGATCATGCCTGGACGAGAAACGATCCCAGCTTCAGCTTCAGTGAACCAAACTTGCCTGCTTCATCCTCATCATCATCAAGGTATGACAACACATCAGCTAAACGTAGAGACTATACTAGAGCAATATCTGTTAAAAGGACAGACATCTCACCCTCCACAACCCTCGCCTACTGACCAAGGCATTGTGGATGCCAGAGATAAAGACCCTAATCGTCAGTGTCCTATTCACAAGAAGCCTCACCCGCTTAAGAAATGTCGTGGGCTTAGGGCAAAGCCTTTACAAGAGCGCAGGGAGATTCTCCAGAAACTTGGAATATGCTACAAGTGCTGTGCTTCTTATAACCACTTTGCTAAAGACTGTAAAGTTGTCATCAAGTGCACAGAATGCGGTAGCGACAGACATGTTACAGCCATGCATCCTACTCCACTTCCAGACAACCCGCAGCAGCTACCTACCTCAACCCCTGTCCCAAATTATGGCGGGGAGCAACAAAGTCATGCTCTAGCCAAAAAGTAATGTTTCTTCTTCATGCACAGAAGTCTGTGGAGAGGGACTGGATCACAAATGCTGTGCCAAGATATGCCTAGTCAAGATATACCCCAAGGATCATCCTGAGGAAGCTGCTAGATGTATGCCATAATAGATGAACAGAGCAACAGGTCCCTGGTTAAGCCTAAATTCTTTGAGATTGGCTTAGAAGGCCACGCCACACCGTATACTCTCAGAACCTGTTCTGGTCGTGTAGAGACCTTTGGAAGAAGGGTCGATGGATTCATGGTCTCTCATATCAAGGATGGAGAAGGCATACCCCTCCCAACATTAGTTGAATGTGATCAGATACCAGATGAAAGAGAAGAGATTCCTACTCCAGAAGCTGCATATCATCATCCTCACTTAAGGCACCTTGCTGATGAGAATTCCTGCGATGGACAAGAGTGCTGAAATCTTGGTCCTGCTAGGAAGAGACATTCTCAGAGTACATAAAGTACGCGCGACCAATGCGATGGACCTAACAATGCCCCTTATGCACAAAGACTTGACCTAGGCTGGGTAATAGTGGGCGATGTATGCCTGGACAGAACATCAACTGAGATCCACTCCTTCAAAACTTACATGTTGGGAAATGGACGTGCATCCCACTTCAAACAGTGCCCTCACCATTATGAAGTAAAGGAGAAGCCTCTTGACATCATCCAAGTACCTGATGTTACTCCTGTTCTTTGTGATGACAACCTAGGTACCACAGTGTTTTGTACTACAAGTGATGACAACAAAATAGCCTTGTCGGTCGAAGATAGAGAGTTCATCAAAATAATGGACAAAGAATTCTTCCAGGATGAGTCTAACAGCTGGATCGCACCATTACCTCTTCGTGCTGCAAGGGCCACACTCCCAACCAATCGTGAACAGGCTCTATCCAGATTCAACTCACTTCAACAAACACTAAAGAACAGGCCTGAAATGAAGGAACATTTCATCGCTTTTATGAAAAGGATCTTTGATAATGATCACGCCGAACCAGCGCCACCACTTCAAAGACATGATGAGTGCTGGTACCTGCCTTTCTTTGGAGTGTATCATCCACGTAAGCCAAAACAAATCAGGGTAGTATTTGACTCCAGTGCCAAGCATCAAGGCGTATCCCTGAACGATGTTCTTCTCACTGGCCCGAATCTAACCAACAACCTTGTAGGTATACTTATGAGATTTAGAAGAGAACCAGTTGCCATAACTGCTGATATTGAGCAAATGTTTCATTGCTTCATTGTACGTGAAGACCATAGGAACCTCCTAAGGTTTCTGCGGCACCGGAACAACAACATGGACAATGAGATAATTGAATACCGCATGAAGGTACATGTTTTTGGAAATAGTCCCTCACCCGCTGTTGCAACATATGGTTTACGAAGGACTGCCCTTGATGGAGAAAAGGAGTATGGTGCGGATGCTCGACACTTCGTTGAGAGAGACTTTTATGTTGACGACGGACTTAAGTGTTTACCTACAGACGAAGAAGCCATAGACCTGCTCCAAAGGACACAAGGTATGCTTTCCGAGGCTAACCTCAGACTACACAAGATTGCCTCGAATAGTGTTGCTGTTATGAAAGCCTTTCAACCTGGCGATCATGCCACTGGGTTTAAAGATTTAAATCTTGGAATGGACATGCCACCTGTACAGAGAAGTCTGGGCCTACGGTGGGACTTATTAAAAGATACCTTCGGCTTTCAAGTCGGCTCTGCAGACAAACCATTTACCAAGCGTGGTGTTCTGTCAGTGGTGAACAGTTTATACGATCCATTGGGATTTGTGGCTCCCATCACCATACAAGGTAAAGCCTTACTTAGACATTTCTCAGAGTCTATTAAAGATTGGGATGCTCCGCTGCCTACAGACAAGCTTCCAAAGTGGGAGTCCTGGAAACAATCTCTACATGCCTTAGATGGAATCAGTATACCACGCTGTTACACCTCAGCTTCCCTTGCTACAAGTCAGAGGAAAGAGCTTCACATCTTCTCAGATGCATCTACTGAGGCCATAGCAGCTGTTGCCTACCTCAAGGTAATAGACTCTAATCAAACCCACATAGGGTTTCTGTTTGGGAAAGCTAAGTTAGCACCTAAGCCTGAGCACACAATTCCTAGGCTTGAACTTTGTGGAACTGTGCTAGCTGTAGAAATTGCCGATTTCATACTGCGCGAGTTGGACACTCAGATAGATGACACCAAATTCTACACAGACAGCAAAGTTGTTTCTGGGCTATATATACAACCAGACTAAACGTTTTTATGTGTATGTCAGCAACCGTGTAGAAAGAATCAGGAAATCATCTAAACCTGAACAATGGCATTATGTCCCATCTGAAATGAATCCTGCAGATCATGCCACCAGGCCAGTGTCTGCAAGTGTCTTTGCAAATTCTTCGTGGTTAACAGGTCCTGAATTCCTGCTGGATCATCCAGAAGAAACCTCAGCTGATATCTTCAGTCTTCTAGAACCTGACAGAGATCCAGAGATTCGTCCTGAAGTCAAAACCCTTGTCACCAGAACTGAACAAAGACTCGTCTTGGGCTGTCAACGCTTTGAACGTTTTTCTAAGTGGATAAGACTTGTACGCACCATCGCAAGGTAGTCCATATTGCACACTGCTTTCACACAAAGCCCACCAATGTTCAATGTCAAGGGTGGCACATGTGCCAAAGGCTTCTTTCTGCAAAAGACATTGCTGAAGGTGAAATGATCATAATCCACAATGTACAACAGGATGTCTTTGGCTCAGAAATTAAATGTATCCTTGACAAGAGGGACATTCCAAAAAACAGTTCAATTGCTAACCTGAACCCATTCATTGACAGTGATGGCATGTTAAGGGTTGGTGGACGTTTAAACAAGGCTGAGTTGGGAGATCAGAACAGAATCCTCTCATTATACCTGCTCACCATCATATCACCACTCTGCTCATACGGCACTACCATGAAGGGGTTAAGCACCAAGGAAGACACTTCACAGAGGGTGCCATAAGAGCTGCAGGCCTTTGGATTATAGGAGGAAAAACAGATTACAACTACACTGCACAGCTGTGTTCAGTGCCGGAAACTAAGAGGTAAACATCAGCAACAGCAAATGTCAGATTTGCCAGCCGACAGATTATGTACTGACCCACCTTTCACTCATGTTGGTTTGGATGTCTTTGGACCATGGATGGTAACAGCCCGCAGAACTCGAGGAGGCCAAGCAAACAGCAAACGATGGGCAGTGCTGTTCACTTGTATGAGTGTGCGCGCAGTACACATTGAAGTCATAGAATCTATGGATGCCTCAAGTTTCATCAATGCTCTAAGACGATTTCTTGCCATCAAAGGACCAGTCAAGACACTAAGATCTGACTGTGGAACTAATTTTGTTGGAGCCTGTCGAGAGTTACAGCTTAACTCTAGGCCAATCCAAGACCTTTTAGCTGAAAAGGGCTGTACATGGATTTTCAATCCTCCTCTTTCTTCCCACATGGGTGGCTCTTGGGAGAGAATGATAGGCATCACACGAAAAATACTGGACTCTATGCTTATGGACTTGAACTCCACAAGACTTACCCATGAGATTCTAACCACCTTCCTGCAGAAGCATCTGCCATAATCAATTCAAGACCACTTGTTCCAGTTTCTACAGATCCAGAGACCCCAACTATCCTTACCCCAGCTACTCTACTTACCCAGAAGCTTGGGTCCGTTCCTGTTCCACCTGGAAACTTTAAAACAGGAAATATGTGCTATGACCAGTGGAAGCGAGTACAACACCTCTCCAACTGCTTCTGGAATCGTTGTAGAATGGAGTATATTTCTACTCTGCAAGGACGCAGAAAATGGCAACGCCTGAACCCTAACATTAAAGTTGGAGATCTCGTTCTGCTGAAGGACCAGCAAGCTGAAAGAATCAAGTGGCCTATGGGACTCATTGTAAAGAGCATTCCTAGTGATGACGGCAAGGTACGCAAGGTGGAGGTGAAAGTTGCAAGACAAGGGACTGTAAAGACTTTCAGCAGACCTATCACGGAACTTGTTCTGCTCTTGCCCTTTGGAGAATGAACTTGCTTGCGTATGCTGCTGGATCCAACCTGTGACTTCAAGAAGGAAGTGTCTTGAACTTTAATTGATATAACTTGAAGCCTTACGTTATAATTGTTGCACTATATGCATGTTCTCTTTTTTAGGTCTTTCAGGTCTTCAAGACATCAAGCAAATTGCACTGTTGTTTATTTGCAATTGTATAACTACCGTTATGGTTTAAATAGTGACATTTACAATGCCAGACGGGGAGTATGCTGTTACAAGTTAATATTTATGTTAATGTACATGAGAATTCATATAGTTTATTTTTTGTACCATTTTCTATGGACATTTCTATAGTTAGTAATGCTGCCATCCAGTGGTCTTATTTGGTATACACTTTGTTTTTCATGTTGCCTCCCTGAGATCTATGACACAGTTCCTTTGTATATGAAGCTCCTCCCTTCTTCTTGAGTTCAGCACTTCCTGTGTCATGGAGGCAGCTAACAGACCACATGTAACAGGGACACATGTATTCTGCATAGTACGCTACAGAAATTATCATCTTTTGACCGCGTAATACTGGAAACCATTCATTCTGCTGTATCCTGTTGTCACATGTACAGAATAAAGCAACTTCTGGATGAACACAGTATTGGTGAGTTCAGCTATCTGACAAGGATTGCCCACAGTGATTATATCTACTTATACAGGCTAGGCAGAGAGGTCTCACAAGGGATAAATCGCTATCACAACAATCCGAGTCAGAAATAGTGGTTGGGGGTGGTTCTCTCTGCACCCATTGTCACATTTCAAAATCGTTGCGGCTGTGCAGGGCTGTTCCCCCACAGCAGCGCCATTCATTTAGAGGGATCTGTGAATGAGTAAACTACAATTCCTCTAAGTGAAAAAGATCAGGGGCCACTTTAATGTCAGCACACCCTGTCAAGGGAACACCACTACAGCCACCTATTTGAATCATCTGATGCATGCGATCACATACCAAACCCTAGCAAACATGGATCTCAGTAGTGGATAGAATTTCTGTAGTCATTCAAAAGCTTTCAGGATTTAGACATACAATATACTTACTCCGTGTAACTATCCAAGAAGATATTTGCGTGCTCCAAGACTGAAAGGTTACTTGCATCCTTTGCTCCTCGTAAGAAGTGGCTCAAGGAGGTTCCATGCTGGCCAATTAGGTAGCAGAGTTTGCTGAACTTGGTTGCCATGTCCTGCAGCAGCTGAACAGCCGTTACCGTACCCAGGTTGTCTTTAGCAGAAGAAAGCAAATAAAATGCTAGGATACTTTAAAACAAATATCGCTTACAACAGGATTTTTAAACAGGAAGATTCTTGATTTTTGTCAAAATGTCCTCAAAGGTTATCAGGAAGTAATGAAAAACTGCATTTCATTGATCGAGGTGGCAGTTTATTTCAGATTATTTTTATTTTGTCATGCCTGCTAACCGCACTGTTCATTAAGAGTGCTAGGTACATCTAAAAATAATAAATGATATATTAGCTGATGACATTTTTGGATCATGTTTACTTATATATTAAATTCAGGTGCAAATAAGAATGTGTTGTCCCTTGGGTCCTACAAATATAACAAAATATTCATCTATTCAGTTGGGGGAACCACTGAATGTGTGTAAGCCCCTCGCAATATCTGCTGGCAACATCCTGGCATTGTTTTTTCACTGCTTCCAGCAGTCTGACATGTGCCCCTGCACACTGCTGCAATCAACAGAAATGCTCGGTATGTAAGTATAAAAAATAATGTGAACAGAGAATTCACAAGAAAAAGTGGTTACATGAAGGCCAATGTGATTGTTGTCTCTGCAGCACAGTACAATTTATGGCCTAGCCATGATGTCTGTCTTTTTTATTTTTATTTGTTTGTTTTAAAGGTTGTCTTTTTTATTGTCTTATATTGAGGTGATGGTTACTAACAGTCTTTACTTAATTGTCTCACATAGCATTTTTCTTGTGATCGCTTTTTCTTGTGAATTCTCTGTTCACATATTTTCTGCAGGCTTTTTTGGTTATTGGGCAATAGTCTGTATTTTAAGCGATACCTATCACTTTTAAAGCCTCCATTTATATGGTTATACAGTACGTGAGTACTCTTGATTGAAGCAGTGCGCAGGGGGGCACAGCGGACCTCTGTATGTGTGAGTGGCAGTCTGACTCTCCAACATGCTGCCAGTACAGGGTATATCATCCCTTGCTGCCACACATAGATAGTAAAATTACCTATAACAGGAGGATATTTACTACTGTATATCCAGCCTGACTGCATTACAGTAATAAAATTAAAAAAGTTAATTTGGGCTTTAGGCTGCAATTAGGATACAATGACAGAACTACCATTTAGGGACAGTATGAATGATTATTGTAGCATTTTTCTTAAAATTATTTTTTATGACAGTCACAAGTTTACAATCTTGCTCTTTCATGTTTCAGCTTTTGCAATACAAGAGATTTGTAGATCAGCCCACAGAGGGAGGGTGAATTAACTACTAAAATTACTGGACCTAACTGCTTAACAACCGTTTAGTGAAACTGGGTATACATGGTCCGAATACCAGCTTGTGCCGTAGGAACCGGCTGACATTCAGATCATGTGTACAGCTGTCGTTCGTCAAAAGCCAGTCCTTAGACTGGCTCCTGTCAGAAGGGACATGCTGGAAAACCAGCATTTGATCAGCACTTGCAGTCAGAACACAAAGGCACAGTGGAAGAGATTTCTCCACTAACATTGCTTGCTTAGTACAGCGATCTCTCCGGTTTTTTTGTTCGGACAGCTGGGATGAACGGAAAAAAATGTAATGTGTGTAGCAGGCTTAAAAAGCCACACGCACAGTGAGTGCATTGTTTGCAATGAGTAAACCAAAAGTAGGTTTCAAAACTGAACTCCAACAAACCATTAACTGCACAGATGAAATACATATAAAAAGAGCTGTTTACCTGTCAAAGAATTAGCATTTTTACCCATTCAGTTCTGAGATTTATGCAGCTCTGCCACACAGGCAGGACCCTAAACTTTTTTTTTTTTCATTTGTCCTAAAATAACGCTTACAGGTCTTACCCGTCCCCAACCTGTGCTGGACAGTGAAAGAAGAAGCACAGACTAATAAGCTCATCTATTTTTCATTCCTCCTATCAGCACACTCTCTGTTAGCACAAGAGCACTGCAGCACAACCAACTGGCTCCTTGTGCTGCTCCTCCCTCACTCAGTCTGGGCTCTGCTGTGCAAAAGATTTCAAGTCAAATAAAGACCTACAGTTCTTGTGTAAGAGCTTACTTTATATCTGCCATGAGTTCAACTTGCGCTTATGCATTGAAATTTATGCTGCATTCACAAAAATACTTCTATGGCAGCCAAATGATGACTGCTTATTTGTGAAAAATTCAATACAAATATCACGATTGTGTGCTTTGGTAATTTTGGAAATCGAAGGTTGACAAAACAGCATAACCTTAGGCATGCTTTCAACATAAGCAAGATCTTTATTCGGTTGTGCAACGCTACAATAACTTAGGCAGCCAGATTTCAGCTTTTCAATGTTCCCTAGAGTCAAATCAATAAATAAAGATTTCTAATTAGTGGCCACTGCTTCTTGCTTGCATACTATACGTATATGGAAAATACATATGAAGGTTGCGCTGCCAAAAGCATTTGTAAAGCACCACATTCCTCGTATTGGAACAAAATGTAAATGTGAAAATTGGCACAATGGATCTTCTAAGCGGATTCTATTCACTCAAGATGCAAAAATGTAAATATTACAATATTTGTTATTACATTTTGTTAAAACATACACCAATCCATCCTCCTTTTATAAGAATGTTAACAAAAATAAATTATATATATATATATATATATATATTTTTTTTTTTTTATTTATCATCCTTGGCTCGGCTGCCCCATAAATGGCCACTCCTTACTCTGTACAAGACATATTTTGGTTATTCCAGGGGTTCACTTTTATTAAGTTTGACATAAAAAAAAACAACCGCTTACCTAGTCCTAAAAGGGGTCTAAGAATTTGTGACTTGACATCGCTTAGACAACAATAAAAACTCCTCTCGGTCGCAGCAAGCTCATGGAGGTTTCCAATATAGCCCATCATATTTTGGTCTACGAGAGCCAAGCAGCTATTTGCACCAGTATATACATTACAGATGTATCCCAGCTTAAAGACATAAAAGAGAGTAATCTAAATTACAATAAATACATTATATGATTATAATTAAAATCTAATACAATCAAATCCATTAGAAGAAATTACTGGATAAAGAGACCACAGCTACTACATTCCTCATGAAAAAGGTCAGCCTTTTCAAAACTAAACAGGTTAGGCAATTCACAATTCACAAGTAAGCATTAAAAGCCTAAAACAATCATATCACAAAGTGAATTAAACTGTATGCTTGGCCTCACCCCTCCTGAGAAACTGGTATAGGAGGCACAAATTAGAGATGTTGTAGGGAGTACAGGTTTAGGGTCTAATATTTGCTCACCTTGCTACAATTGGATAGTGGAACTGGAGTCTGGCTTGTTTCTGGTTCACTTAGTTCCACTGCTGTTTGGTGTCCACTGCAATATACAACAGGCTGGAACTCATTTTTTCCATGAGCCAGAAAAAGAGAATGATCCTGCCCAGCAGCTATAGTCCACACACAGCCATCTTCACACACCTACAGAAGAAAGACCCATTGCAAACAAATTAAATATATACTGTATAGATACACACACACATACATAGACAACTCCTATTTCTACATTACATATTGGATAATTTGAAGTTATGGCAGAACAAATTTAAGGACTCGGTCTCATCAGTCACATTTCAGGCAGTTTAGCAAGGACTGGCCAATTTTCGATGCATGTATGGGAAGGCTGGTTGTACAGAAAATGGTCTACTAAATCGCCTTCTGTACAACCATCCTGTTGGAAAATTTCATCCTGTTGGAAAATTTCATCACAATGGCACTGATCAATGCATTCTGACAGCACAGAAGATTCCCCCTGTCAGAACTCAATGGCTCAGTGGGAGTGATTTTTCTATCTACCTTGAATGTGTGGATGGTGTAATGCAGTGGTGTCAAACTCAATTTCATCACGGGCCACATCAGCATTAGGTTGCCTTCAAAGGGCTGGTTGTATCTGTAAGACCAAGTATGCAGAGTTCAGGAGTACTGTTGTGTACAGAGTGCAGGGCTTTAGGGGTACACTACATACAGAGTGCAGAGTTCACCAGTATGTGTAGTGCAGAGTTCAGAAGTGTGCTGTGTACAGAGTGAAGGGTTCAGCTCTCTTTCAAGGGCTGTCACATCTCTTTTCCACCTCTCCTTCTCAGCTTTCACCTCTGCACCAATCTGCCACTTTCCGGCTATAAAAGCCCTGGGTGTAAGGGCCACATGAAATGACTTGGCGAGCCAGATTCGGCCCCTGGGCCTTGTGTTTGACACATGTGGTGTAATGTAATATACTACACATGGGGGAAATCAGTGCAAAAATTATACAGTGAGCACTATGAGCATCCTTATGTTTTCTATTATCCAAGCCACCACATAAGGAGAGGAAGTGATGGAAGAAAATTAACCCCTTAAGGGTTGCAGTGCCTACAGTCCCCCTTCAACTAAAAAGGAGTATACTGGTCCATAGCTACTAAATATGAGATGTAAGAAACAGTGGGATATTAACCCCTTATAGTGCTTCAAAGGCCTCCTATATTTAAGGGGTCCAACAGCTCAAGAAAGCGGACATCTATTAAATTTTAGGGTAAGTATGTGGAGTTTTGCTCAAATTTACAAGTGATATTGCATGAAGAAACACTTGGTGGATTTGCATTTGAACACTCAACCTTTTTCTGATCATGGTGCCCTTGAACAGTATTTTCAGTCTTTAGGCACCCCAGTCTAAGGCTTAGTTTACATTACTGTGTGTTGAGTAACGCATTCCTCACACACTGAAATTCACTGCTCTTTAGCAGATGCACAGGGGTGTGATTATTTCTTAATTGCATTCCCCACATTGGCAAATACTTTTTTTCCCTGTGTTTCTGCAGGTAGGGCAACCCATTGAAATGAATGGGCATGCATCATGCAGTCGCACAGATGTGAACCAAGGACTTGTTCAAATGGGAGGTTGGGCAGTAAAACCCATGTGGTTGAGCCACATTTTTACCACCCCCAACTACTTCCCTTTAGCTTGAGCTGAAGATTACCCCCAGGTGAATGGGGCCAAGCTGCAACTGCATGCATTTCATGCAGCTGTAGAACGGTAATGCTGCATTAAAGGCTTAAAACAGGTGATAAGGAAGCAACATATTTCCTATTCATTGCCTGTCAAATGTCTCTGAGTGTGATCAGAGCATGAGTTGTTTTTCTGAGGAGCAGCAGTCCTGTCTACTATTATGAGCAAGCCCTAAAAAAGAATCTCTGATTGCACAAGATTAGAGGTCAAGATTCAAAGTAATATACATACACACGCAAATAAAACACACATATACTGTACATACATACACACACACAGCCTTTTTTAAAACGTCAGTACTGTATTTGCACTTGCACAGCTGGGTACTGCCCTGTAGGACGAGGTGGAAAGGTAGTCACATTTTAGGCATCGTCTGCAACAATAATTTTATTTTTTCGTGAGATACTCCCAAAGGGTTAGTCACCTCTAAAGGCATGCAGACACTGCAACTTTTCTCATAAGAACACTAAGTGCATCAGCTAATTAAAGTGAATATAAACCCTAGTTTAATTTTTTTTTTTTTTTTTTTAAATAACAAACAGGTTTATACTTACGTGCTTTGTGCAATGGGTTTGCACAAAGCTGCCTGATCCTCCTATTCTTGGGTCCCCGCCTGTGCTTCTGGGGCCTCCTCTTTTTGGTGTGCTCCCATAACAAGCTGCTTGCTATAGGGGCACACCTGTGGCTGGTTCCTGACCCATGCTGCCTGCATCCATAGGCACAGGATTTGACTGACAGTATCAGAAGCCACTGGCTCTCTCTGCTCCCAGCCAAGCCTGTGAGAGTGGGGAAAAGGGAGAAAGCCACTACATATGAGCACAGCACTGGATTGGGTGAGGGCTCAGGTATGTACAATGGAGGTGAGGGGGCATAACTGCTACCTAAACATTTTCTTAACTTAATGCAAGGAATTCATTAAGGTAAAAATGTTAAGGCTTTAGAAGCTATCTAATAATGAAAAAGTCACTCACTCATTCATTCAGAATTAGTATCCAAAGACACAAAGTGGAACAAACAGCTATTTCTTCAGAGTGGAAACAGGTAGGAATCTGCAAGAAAGTTTGTGAAAATCCTTACAATTTAAACTAAATACCTAGAGGGGATTTTTTTGCTCAACAAAAGTGGAGTTACTCTTTAACAGAAAGTCATCCAAGTATCTCACAATGGGAATGTCACAAGAGTGCAGCAGGGCTAATACTGGGGCCAGCACTTAGGTGAAAACCCAAGGTGCAGTCAAGAGGCCAAAGGGGAGGACCACAAACTGGGCCCCATAGCAAAGTGCAAGGAATCTCTAATGAGCTTTGAAAGATGGACATGCAGGTAAGCAACATTGGAGCTCTATACGCTATCTATCTATGATAATCCTAATACACACTGGAGAATTTGGTCCTTCTTTCCCCAAGGGGTTCCTACCCGCTGCACTAGATGCTCCTATCTTGTGTACTTCCACTTTGTCCTTTCACACTGTGCAATACTGTAAAATTTGCCACCAATCTAATTGTGATGCCTTTCCTTACATAATTCAATTGTATTGGGATAAACATTGTTTATGTTTTATTCTATACTAATAAACCAGTTCATTTTTAGAAAAAAAACCCCCAAAAAACAAACAAAACAAAAAGGCATTTTCCCATATAAAATGCATGCATACCTAACAAAACAGATAATCAGGGAAGGTTTTCAAATGGCACAACGCTACTTCTGAACAGCAGAATTAAGAGATGATCCTATCCAAAATCTTTTTGATATCTCTTTCTCTGCTCCTTTTTTTTTTTTTTTACCCTGCAGCGTTGTATCACAGAATTGATAAATGATCCTTATTATATGTCATCAGGACACTACAAAGCAAGTGCACCTTACTACAGAAGTCACCCTTACCTTTGCAGGCCGTGGCATAGTTGTTGGTGATTGCATGTGACCCAGCTGCCCTGAAACATTGCTTCCCCAAGAATAAACCTTCAAAGTGGAAAACAGAATAAGACTTAGGCATACACAAACTGATAATTGCTTGAGGGTCAGTTTACGCCACAATTCCTGTGTTCCGTATGTGTTTCTGCATGTGTATTTTGTATGTGCGCTGGTGCGTTTTTTACACTTTTTTCTTCATCCTAATTAAGGACGTGTGTTTCGATGTGTTTTGTCTCTTTCGAGATACGTTCTACAGGTGAAACTCGAAAAATTAGAATATCGTGCAAAGGTTCATTTATTTCAGTAATGCAACTTAAAAGGTGAAACTAATAAATGAGTTAGACTCATTACATGCAAAGCAAGATAGTTCAAGCCGTGATTTGTCATAATTGTGATGATTATGGCTTACAGCTCATGAAAACCCCAAATCCACAATCTCAGAAAATTTGAATATTACATGCAATCAATAAAACAAGGATTGTACATAGATCAATATCAGACCTCTGACTAGTATAAGCATGCATATGTACTCAGAACTTGGTTTGGGCCCCTTTTGCAGCAATTACTGCCTCAATGCGGCGTGGCATAGAAGCTATCAGCCTGTGGCACTGCTGAGGTGTTATGGAAGACCAGGATGCTTCAATAGCGGCCTTCAGCTCTTCTGCATTGTTCGGTCTCATGTCTCTCATCTTTCTCTTGGCAATGCCCCATAGATTCTCTATGGGGTTCAGGTCAGGCGAGTTTGCTGGCCAATCAAGCACAGTAATCCCACGGTCATTGAACCAGGTTTTGGTGCTTTTGGCAGTGTGGGCAACTGCCAAGTCCTGCTGGAAAATGAAGTCAGCATCCCCATGAAGCTCGTCTGCGGAAGGAAGCATGAAGTGCTCCAAAAACTCCTGGTAGACGGCTGCATTGACCCTGGACTTAATGAAGCACAGTGGACCAACAACAGCAGATGACATGGCTCCCCAAATCAACACAGACTGTGGAAACTTCACACTGGACTTCAAGCATCTTGCAGTGTGTGCCTCTCCATTCTTCCTCCATACTCTGGGTCCTTGGTTTCCAAATGACATGCAAAAGTTGCTCTCATCAGAAAAGAGGACTTTGGACCACTGAGCAACAGACCAGGTCTGTTTTTCTTTAGCCCAGGTAAGACACTTCTGACGTTGTTTGTTGTTCAGGAGCGGCTTGACAAGAGGAATACGACATTTGAAGCCCATGTCCAGGATCTGTCTGTGTGTGGTAGCTCTTGATGCACTGACTCCAGCCTCAGTCCACTCCTTGTGAAATTCCCCAACGCTTTTGAATGGCCTTTTCCTGACAATTCTCTCCAGGCTGCGGTCATCCCTGCTGCTTGTGCACCTTTTTCTTCCACACTTTTCCCTTCCACATAACTTTCAATTAATGTGCTTTGATACAGCACTTTGGGAACATCCAACTTCTTTCACAATTACCTTTTGAGGCTTTCCCTCCTTATGGAGGGTGTCAGTGATGGTTTCCTGCACAACTGTCAGGTCAGCAGTCTTTCCCATGATTGTGATTCCTACTGAACCAGACTGAGAGATGATTTAAAGGCTCAGGAACCCTTTGCAGGTGTTATGGCTTAATTAGCTGATTAGAGTGGGACACTTTGAGCCTAGAATATTGCACCTTTTCACAATATTCTCATTTTCTGAGATTGTGGATTTGGGGTTTTCATGAGCTGCAAGCCATAATCATCACAATTATGACAAATCACGGCTTGAACTATCTTGCTTCGCATTTAATGAGTCTCATATATTAGTTTCACCTTTTAAGTTGCATTACTGAAATAAATGAACTTTTGCACGATATTCAAATTTTTTGAGTTTCACCCATATACAGAAAAAATGCAACATGTTCTACTTTTGCTGCCTGCACTGGAATGCACTGCACTGGTGTGAACTAGGACCATTGGAATTCATATTAAACACTGTTCATGCATTTTGTATGCAGAAAAAAAAAACATGCTGAACTGCGTCTAGTATAAATCAATCCTAAATGCAAATAAAATTGGCTAAAAGGGCAGCACTCCTGTCTTGCAACAATGGGAACGTATGTCCAATTTCACTATAGAGGGTGTTTGTCTGCTCTCCTGGTTTGTGTGTGAGCTTTCTCCAAGGGTTTCAGTTTCCACCCACAAGCCAATGAGAACCATTCCTAGGGTGTGTATATTCATGGCTGTGGTAAGTTATAAGACCATAATCTCCTTTGAGGACATTCACGGATTTGTATGCTTAGTGCATTCTGTAAAGTGCTACAGAAAATGTTTAAAATAAATAAATGAGTAAAATATATCAATGCATATCTCTGACATTCATAAAAGCATGTGCAACCATTATACATGGACAGTAGTCTGTTCTTATCACAGCAAGTTTAAAATCTTCTCTAAAATGTCTTATCATTGTCAAACACTTTCAGAATAAGTTCAGTAAAGATGCCCACAAAAATGATAAGTTCAGTTTCTGATACCTGCAGTTTCAGCAGATTTGTATGATGGTTGGTCTGCCTATAAAAGTACCTAACTGCAAATGTGCCCCCCCATTTCTCCTTCTCGGGATATCTACTAAATTAAATGCTTTTTCATATAATAATTTCAAGCGTTTCATCAAATTTTCATGATGCTTTATGGCATTCTCTCTGTTGGAACCACAGCAAGCAAAGGGATGGTAGTGTTTGTTGAAAGCTCCCCAAGCCTCATTCGCCTGTAGAACACAATAACTCTGCAGGAGGCATTCCCCTATCAGCACTGACTGTGTTGATGGGGGAAATAGAGCGAGTTTCTTTCCTTCCACTCGTGGTGGAAGGAAAGAAAAGTGACCCCTCTATGGGCTGCTTTAAAATTTTTCTCATTTGGCCCCACAGGCTGAATGAGAGTAATCAATACATTACTTAAATCCACGCTAAACAGCAAGAATAGAGGAAACTATATATCTAAGTGGATGTAGTCACTGTTCAGATGACAATTTTCCACTTGTCTCCTTTGAAACTGAAATTTAAAAAATCTTGAGCAATATATGGTCAGATTCAGGCTAGCAACAGAGCTCTTTGCTGGCAAACTACATGCACCTCCAGACTTTGGGGCAAACAAGTTGTGGTAGGATTCATAAGTGCAGGTCTGGAATCAACTGCTTGAAAATACTGTCAACTTGTCAATTACAGCAGAGATGAAAGCCCATAGTATGTAGGGTTACATCACTAAGAGTTTCTTCATACTCATCAAAAGAGGTTATAGGAGGAGATGTAGACATTATACATTTTCTAGGTCGATGTATTACCCCTAAACAAAGCCTTTAAGTAAAGTAAAAGATTCATTTCCACAAGAGCCTTGGGGTAGTAGCATTGATTTAGAAACGTTAGATTCAAATCTGTACCTGGTGTTCAGATTTAAATATAAACCTGCTATAGTAAAATGTGCAATGAATATGGATAGCGCAAAAGATGTGTAATTTTGCTAAATATAGACATGAATAACTTCTAAAAATATAGAATATTACCTGAGATCTTGCTGTAAGGGCAATAGAATGGTGACTTCCAGCTGCAAGCTGCACCACCTCCTTGCCATCCATACTGCGAACACATAATGGTTGTAGCCTGTAAAAAAGTACATCAATTACACTAAAGTGCAATAAATTTAGGAGCTCCCGCAGCGGTTTATAACAATAAAAAAAAAAACACAACTGGGGCCCATAACCACATTAAAGGTCAATAGTCATGAGGCCTCAATGTTTTTTTTTTTGTGATTTAAGAAATTGAGATAAACCCCTCAGTACCCAGTAATGAAAGACAAGAACATGCATTATTTTATTTTACCTTTATTGTTTGACTTTGTATTGTATGTTATATATTATAAACTCTAGACGCAGCATCCTAAAAATATGTTTGATCACAAGTTTTAATTATCCAGTAATGAGAATCCCAACATCTCAAAGAAATATGTTTTTACATCTCAGTAAGAATACATAGGGAATTGTAATTTCCCCTTACTAGAAGGTGGTACGTGCATTATTGATTCATAGTGTGGTTGTGGTTTTACTTAGGGACATTATTGTTACTATGAATACACACAAACCCAGAACAATGCTGCAGCTTATTAAAAAATAATGCAGGACATTTAAATTACAGTAAAAATAAAAAATTCAGTACAGGAAAACAAAAAAGGGGAACTTTATTCTATTGTGTGTTTACATCTATTTAAAAGTGCCTTAAACATTAACCTCAAAACTAAAGAAAAAATAAAATCAGGTCCTGTGAGGGACCCCCTATCCTTAGCATGATTTAGCTGAACAGGTTTAAATTTTGCATGCGAAAAAAATCTCTTCTACCATGAACCTATACCAGTCTTTCTTCACGTGCTTCATGCACCCATCACAATGATAGTCTCATATACAACATGCCTCCACGCAAACTACCAATAATCTAAATAAAATATGTCAAGAAAGAAATACAGGGGCTGGCAATGATGACCTCTTTATAAAAACATGATCATTATTTTACAGGATTTATCCGGCGCCAACAGAACACACAGTGCCACAGGATATGAAGGGAGACAATACAGCAACAATACAGTTCAATAAAAGAGGATTAGGAGGGTCTTGTTTCTGAAAAACGGTTGTTTGAACTCTTAATAAAGTCATAATTTCTAATGGGTGTGACTCTGCAGTGTCAGCTGCTAAGAAAGCACAATACATTAGCACTGAAAGGATAGACACCATCATTTACAATCAAGTCAATGGCAGCCCCCATATTTCTTTCCTAAAGCGGCTAAAGATGATACAATTTTCTTTCCTTCCACTGCCATTGGGAGGAAAGTAAACTGTTCGATTCCCCCACAAACACTGATTGTGGGCAGCCTTCCTGGCTGGCAGAACACAAAGCTCACTGCTGGCGGCCATAGCCACCAGCAGTGGTTGCATGCAAAAAATTCAACAGGTTGGTTGTACTGAAGTTGATCGATGGATCAATTTCAGTACAACCAGCCTGCCCATAAATGGATCAAATCTTGGCCAGCTCCTGCTGAACCAGGTGATATTAGATTTATCTATGGTCAGCTTAAAGGCACCCAGAATATCAGTAGCTGGCTCCTGTGTGTGTCTGGCTTCCAACCAAACTGGCCCCTGTGTGTGTCTTTATGGCAGCAAGTGGACATATTAAACTCGGCTGGCAGCAAAAAGAAATATAGATGGGTCAGTGTAAATGGTAAAGGCCTGTGAAATATATTTGTCATATAAAAATGAAAAAAAAAATACCTGTATATTATAAAGTTGTATTTACCTTGGCAGGACATCCCCATGTCCCAGTTGACCCTCTTTGCCTCTTCCCCAACTCCAAACTTCAGTCCTTAGACAGGGCAGTAATACATCCGCCTCTCCACTATTAGTAGGGGTCAGTGCAACTGTTCTCATCCGTGCTCTCCCAGCCTTTCTAAGAAGCCTAGGGGATACTAAAATCAAATGCTGAATCAGGTTCTTTTTTTTTTTAAATGAGCTTAATTAATACACAAATGTAATGCTACCTGAAATAATGTATCCAATGTGACATAATAATATAAGTATTGTATATCAAGCCTAGGAACTTTGACATGTTACAATATAAGGATTACCTTGAGACAGCAGCCCTGGAAGAGAAAGTCTTCTGTTTCCGGCTTCTGCTTCCTCCTCTCGTATATCCACCAAACTGGAGCTTTTCTTGCCTTGCATGGACTCCAGTTTTACTTGTTCTTCTCTGCTGTCCTTCAACGCTTCCTGTGTAGCAGAGATAATAGCAGACTGAGCCTCAGCATCCCCTAGAGTTCCAGAATAAAAGTTCATCACCTTCTTGAGTGACAGAGCCCCAGCTTCACATGTGGCCACCACTCGAAAGCCCACAGCAGAGGCACAGGACACTACGAGGCTGTTGAGGGCTGATGTTGTAGTAGTAGCAGGAGTGAGAAAAACAGTCACTTAATTCTTGCAGCATACCATCCTGGGCCTAGATCAAGAGAAAGAATATGATGAAGTCATAAAACAGAAAATAGTAATCCAGGGCAACAATATAGAGATATTCTCTTGCTTACTATCACAGGGACAAAAAAAAAAAAAAAAAAAAAAAAAAGGGAATATCTGCAGACAGGGCACTGATAGCAATACAATGTCTACAGGGGGCCTTAGCCTTCCCCTACTGTAAATATTCCGAAATGCATTTTCTATTGCTTTCTATATCTCTGCTGGATATTTTCCCTTTCTGTCTGGTGCAATCATAACTGGAACAAAGTGAGAAGGAATATCTCTAATGGAGCTCCAGACAGCAGTAAAACCTGACAGAGGTTCTAATCCTTTACCTCTCTACCAAAAAGAAACCAAAACAAAGTTTTGTGTGGTCTTCCACTTTAACCTCCGGAAGTCCAATGGAGTGATCCATCAGATGGGGTTTGTAATCTGACAAATGCTTCAAACCACTAATATTGCATTGAATTTTAGAAAATTAGGATTGCTTTAGTGAGTTTTTGTCTTGTTCCTTTGGGGATGGGAATTACTAGGAACTTTGGTACTCATGGAAATTTGCCCCAAGCCATCTGTGCTTACAGCCAAACACTGGAGCACTGGCTAGAAAAGTCAATACGCTTATGGAATTTGTTTACCAATTAAAATCAACTTTTAGCAAGACAATTAGAGCTTGCCAGTCAATCATTCACAAAAGGATTTCTTTTTGTATCTGAATGATATTGTCAGGCTTTGTTTTTGTCTGAAAACCCCTTTTAGTTGATCCTTCATACTAAGCTGGTTTCTAATAAGAGAATATATACCACTTAAATAGAAAGGTGTCTCTACTCTGGGAATGCCTTTTCTTATACAGCAGATACCACCCAGGCTGCCAAGCAAAATTATTCGGCACAATGCCTTACTTGATAGCCCTGTGATTTTGCAATGGGTTGAATTTCCACAATTTGCACAGCAGATGTATATTATCCACTGCTTCAAAATTTTCCCCTAACGTTTCGATTTTCATCCACACACCCAACACACGTGGTAGGTAAAAGCTTTCCTCCTACAGTACACACTCATGTGAAAGCCCTTGATAAAAACGGGGTAAAGGTCATTTAGTTGTAGGGTCCTCTAGAGCAGGAACCAGTATGAATGGGTCATGATAAATGAAACGGCTGTAAATTATGCTGGTGCTAACATGTATATAAAACTTTTTTTTTTTCAATGGACAGACAAAAACATCACTGCATTAAAAGCTGCATGAATAACTAAACACTGATTATAGGACGTCTGTTTTGAATGAAACGTTCAAAATGCTAAAAGAGGAAAATGGAAACTGCACAAAAATAAAGACGTATATATTGTATGTACATGATTTAAAGGTAATGCTGTGGGTGACTCTAAAGAAAAGAATGAGAATTTGCTGATTTATTTAAAGGCTCACGCCATGCCCATGTGTTTGAAAGCTGCATCACAACCTGTGCCATCATTGCACAGGTTAACTGCTTGTTTTTGTCTAGGGGAAAGGAGAGAGGACTTATACTTAACTATTCCTCCAATCCTGCTAGCACAAGACCAGTCCCTGCGGCTGCAGCAGGCTATATAGACCAGGAATAGTCCACCGTTGGACTGTGGGGGAACGCCATTTTCCGGTGGAACAAAGGATTGGATGAGTATAAGCTTTCTCCTGACCCCTAGACAAAAGAAGCAGTCCTGTGCAGTGTGGGCACAACCTGACTGCATGGGAAAGCTTTTTTTTGCCTGGCTTAAAAAGAGCAGAACACATGACAATTCAGAGGTTGCATTAAACCTTCTTTGAACTAGGTTTCTTTGGACATGGCATGTCCTATTAACCACTTCAAATTTGGACACTTTTACCCCCTTCCTGTCCAGGTCAATTTTCAGCTTTCAGTGCTACCACACTTTGAATGACAATTGCGCGGTCATGCAACACTGTACCCATATGAATTTTTTAGCCTTTTTTTGAGACAGATAAAGCTTTATTTTGGTGGTATTTATTCACCACTGAGATTTTTATTTTTTTGCAATGTAAATGAAAAATTCCAAAAATTTAAAAAAGTGTTTTTCTTATAAAATTTAGCAAATAAATAATATTTCATCATACATTTTGGCCAAAATTTATTCCGTTATCTTTTTAGCAAAAAAAAAAAAAAAAACAACCCAAAATTAGTTTATAGCCAAACATTATAATCTTTAAACTTTTTTTTACATTTTTATATCATGTTTTTTTTTTACATACTGTCACCATGGTGACACTGTACTACTTGTGTGGCATGATGAAGATTTTTTTTTTTTTTACACCAATTGCTTTTACACCCATAAAGGCTGTAAAAGCAATCATATCTCCTCTCTGGCTGCATTCCTGTAGTATTTTTTCAATACTACCGTGTGAGCTGTGATTGGTCATACTGTCACCCTACCATGGTGACACTGTACTACTTTTGGGGGTGAAGATTTTTTTTTTTTTTTTTTTTTTTTAACACCGATTGCTTTTACACCCATATAGGATGTAAAAGCAATCATTTCTCTTTCTCTCTGTCTGCATTCTTGTAGCCACTGAGAACTACTGAGTGAGCTGTGATTGGTCACAGCTTGTCACATGGTACAAGACTGTTGTGAATAGCCTTGTACCATGTGACCTCTGTGATCATTCACAGATTTCACACGTAGTAAGCAATGATGTCAGAAGTGACCTTCATGTATTCTATGTGTGAAGGTAAAACATCTTCTGTGTGCAGCATCCCCCCAGCACCTCCCAGTGAAAGCCTCTGCTGTCTGGGAATTCTTCCTCCTCACTGGCTGAGACAGAAGTGAAAACCCATTGAGCAGAAGCTCAGGGACAAGCAAGCAGCGGTGCACCCAGGGCGAGCAGCTTTCCCTGTGGGGCACTGCTTGAGGGGGGAGGAGCCAGAAGCAAGGGCAGGGACCCAGAAAGAAGAGGATCAGGGCTGATCTGTGCAAAAATCACTGCACAGAGCAGGTAAGTATAGACCTGTTTGTTATTTAAAGAACAAAAAAAAAAAAAAAAAAAAAAGTTTAGTGTCACTTTAAAGTAAAACATTAGTCAGAGAATTAAGTCCTGATTGGCCTCTAGTGACTCTGAAGTGATCAATCAGCTGACAGCTTAAAGATTTACTGTTGCTGATGGGGTAAGCAGCAACAGGAATGACCAAGGGTGTGGAAACTTTTGAAAAAAACTACTTGTTCAAGGACTAAATCGGTGTCCAAATCTACTTGTTCCTCATAATCTACTTGTCCTGATAATTTTTTTTTTTTTTTTTTTTTAACCAAAACCGTATTTAAATCTGGAGGTTCTTTTAGGAATGTCTGGGGGTTTTAAAAAAATCAAAAAGGGGCTTTATGACGACTTAAATGTTTAAAGTGTTACTAAACCCACAACAGTAAAATCAGTCTGTATATGCATTAAAGCATAATTGTTATACTCACTGTGGAACCTAAGGGGTTAATCCTCTGCACTGTGTAAAAATCCTGTTTGATACTGACTTCTCTGATCCTTCCCTTCTTCCAGTGTTTCCTCTCATCTCCCGATAAAACATATCATGTGGAGACACTCTGCACATGCTCAGTTTTGTGTGTATTGCTAGAAGTTTTTTTTTTTTATCTTGGAGTGCATGTGATCAGCACAGGGCCAATCAGCGCTGTCCAGACAGAGGTCAGGGGTTCTGCAATCTCCTAGAGCAGAATGAAAACTCCTCCTACAAGCTTTAACATGCTCTCTGCTGGACACTGATAGAAGTCACAGGACTGCTCTAACTGCTGATGATAAAAAGTATTTAGCAGCTTATATTTACTAAAATAATTGTATTTCCATGTTGTGTGTACTGTGGGAGACCAGATATACTGTAGTGGATGCAGGGTCCTGGTTTTATCAATACTTTAATATTTTTAACATTGGACTGTTTATCTCCTCCTCCCCTCCCTGCCTCCAGCACCGCGACTGGGGACTAGCAGGGAGGGGAGAGACCTTGCATTGTAATGGAGCACAGATTGGCTGCTCCTCAGGAAAAGGGAGTGTTGGGCTTATACTTTATCCCTTTTGCTGCCAGAGCCCTTTTTGCATTTTTTGCACACTTTTAGAAAAATCACTTTAGGCCTGATGAGTACATAAAACCCCCAAATATAATATATTTTTTGAAAGTAGAGACCTTAGAGAATAAAATAGTAGTTGTTTCCATTTTTTTTGTCACAAGATATTACCGCAAAAGGTATAGGAAATGCATAATTTCAGTAAAAATACCACGTAAGTGAATTTTAAGGCACCAAAAAGCAATAAATTACCCATTTTTTTTGTTAAAATATAAAAGAAGAGATTACACCAAGTAAATATATATCCAACTTGTGAAACCTTAAAATTTGCGTACGCTCGTGAAATGGCGACAAACCTCAGTACCCTATATTTTCTCTAGGCAACACTTCAAAGCCCCTTATAGGTCATCAGTTTAGAGTTACGGAGGGGGCTTGGTGCGATATGTGACCTGTGTATTGCAATCAACGTTTTCATGCGCAAGTGCCCCGGTATGTGCTTTTATGTTTGTATGCATGTATATGTTGTGGTGGATGCCCTCAAATGTTTTTGGTGGGGGGGCTGGTTACGTGCTTTAACTGTAACTTTAATTTGTTACAGTTTTTTGATTAACTTATTCTTTTTTTCATCACATAGCAGACAAAAATTCCCCTATGTGATGATTTTTGGTGACAGGTTCTCTAAAAGACCCTGGATGTCTCCCATGTACTCCACTGAATGTAATGAAGTGCACAATCTGTCACCAGGGACCCAGAAGTGACATCATAACATAACTTCCGGGGTCCCTTCCCTCTACCCACTGGCACCCGCTGAGATGGTCGCAGGTCTGCAGATGGGCAAGCGGAGCCTGGGAGACATAGCAGGCAGGGGGGGGTTCTGGGACTGTAGTGCACTGTGTGGAAGCAATTGGATGGAAGTGCTATATAAATTGAACATCCCTGAATGACACAGACTGGGAGATTAGAGAGGGAGAAAAGAAAAGCAGGAGAGATGACAGGACAATCTTTGCTGCCATGGAGACACACAAGTTTACAAGGATAGTGTTTTGTCTTATCTCCCTGATATGCTCTTCTTTCCTCCCCATCAGCGGCCTGTGAATGACAGCGCTATAAAAGGGCTGAATCACAGGAACATAGTCGGCCCTCCTGTGTGATTCCTATGCGTCTCAAAGCAGTGCGATTTTCAGTCCATTCATCTGAATGTGCTGAAATCCACCTGAAAAACGCATTGCATCAGATCACATGGTACTGCTGTACCACGTGATTTGGTGCGACCAAAAGCACTGTTTGTGATCTGCATTTGGGGAATTGTTAGGATTATACTGACAAACGCAGCAGATTGTACACCCAGTTTGCTTTGAATACAGTGCAGGAAACGTGCATGCAACACAGCTTCCTGCACCATGTTACAGCATGAATCAGCCCTAAATACTGTCACCCATCAGGGAGGCACCACAGTTGTCCTGGGTAACCTTTGGCTCCAAAACACCAAGCTTCTTTCCAAGGACACCTCTACTGTCTTAGACACAGTTGCACTTTCAGCAGTTGGAATTTTACAATACATAAGAGTTAAAACAGAATGGGTAATCTTTCAATGGTACCAGCATTATGCAGCTGTCATTTGTGTTGAAAATAAAACAAGCTGAAATGCCATCATGATATGCACTTTTATTATTTAACCTAAAGTACCGGCATTCTATTTATTTAGAGGTGCTGGTGTGGAAATTCCCTATCTATTAAAAGCTGCTTGTACAATATATGCAATACAGTTTCTTTCCATCATCTATTACTTGTAATCTCAATAGCATAAAAATAAATTCAAAATATAAAATATATATGGCTAAAATGGACCTTTTGGAGGGAATTCACCTGTCTCTTGCTCTCTCCATTCCATTGTGCTTGGTGGAGGTCCTTGATAATGTGCCTAACGATATCTGAGGACTTTCACCTTATCTGGTCATTTAGGCAGCACATAGATGAGTCATTTTGAATGTTGAACAAAAAAAAAAAAAAGAAAAAAAAAAAAAAAAACTGACTTGATTCCCCGTCCACATACTCTATGTAGATGGGGGAATCCTCCCTGCTGAGCTATTGTATTCTGACAGCAGGGAGACTTCCCCACTGTCACAATACACTGATCTTCATTAGCCGGCAGCGCTAATCAAGCAAGGAAAATCCAACAGGACGGTTGTACAGAAAATTACCAATAGATTGACTTCTGTACAGCCTCCCTTCCCATACCCTGCCCATATATGGATAAAAATTCAGCCAATCTTTGCCGAACCGGCTGGATTTTCATCCGTGTATCGCCTGGCTTTTTCCAGCTAAATTCCATTTTCCTTATTGTGTTAAAAAAGGTTTTAATATTTAACTTCACATATTAACTAATTTCGTCATTTGTATGGGGACAGTCTTTGATTAGATATTTGCATTGTTTTCTAGCATTTGTGTTAACATATGATGGACAGGGATAACCATGGCCATATACAATATATAAAAACTTAAATAATTCCATGATTTTCAGCTTGATAAAAAAAAATAATACATCATGGTACAACATAACAAAAGGCCAATTATCCTGTAAAAAAAATCTTACCCGTGCATACTCTGAAGTGGTATTGTTTGGAGAGGATTCCACATTAGCTGGTTCAGTGTTAGACAGTAAAGTGCTTTCACATAGTTGCTTGTCGAAAGTCACATCAACATCACTTTCACAAATACTGGCTACATCAGTGCCAATCTCGGTTTCAGACTCTGAGAGTTTTGGACTACGTTTACTGCCATCCTGCATCTCCAAAGAGCATAAACTAGGTTCTGTTCCTTTAGGTGCAGAGCTCAAGGAAGACAGACTAGTTCTTTTGTCAGGGTGGGATTCTGCCAACATTACTCCTAATGGACAGCAGTGGGCATCAGAAATAATGACATGGTCTTCTTTCTCCGTCATTGTGATTAACAGTTCTCTGCAATGGTTGCATCTCTCTGGCACATTCTTTACATCTTGGGCAAGAGGGCATTGCACCAGAGCCAAGCTGTGAAATGCCCCGCACACTACCTGAAGAACTCTCCGGCCTGAAAGATGTTCCACTTTTTGAGGTCTGGTCACAGGGAAGGTTGAGGTTATTAATCCAAGCTGGCAGCCACTACCCCAGGCCCAGATCTCCCTACTGACAGACAAGGCAAGAGTATGTTCTTCCCCACAGGACAGCTGTACAACCCGTACCCACAGAGGAGGGGTACATTCCTGATCAGTTATAGTGACTGGCATAGGCTCTGATATTGATGGGCAGATGGCAATTGCACATTGTCCAGCGGTGTTTTCGCCCCACATAAACACCATTCCATTGTCTGTTACAGCTCCACAGTGATAACTTCCAGCAGCAACACATATTACGTGCTGACCACACAATGTCTTCTCTAACAATGGAGTGCTGTAGGGCACTTCTGGTGAATTCTCCTTCCATGGCTGCTTTCCATAGCTAAAAACTTCCCCATCTAAATAAAACAAATGGGTTAGATGGATCATATAAAGTTAGCATGCTATGTAGTTTGAAAAATTAATGTTTTAAACAATGCAGCTAGAAAACTTCAGGTTAATATACCTAATCAAAAATATTGTAGCAGAAAAATAATGCTTGTATTTTAGCGCATACAAAGCTTGTATAGTGTCACTAATCTAGTCTAAAGCTTTATATCTAGTCCACAGGATTCAGCTGTTAATCAAATGCAGTGACGGGGAAGTGGTGGGGGCGAGGCCAATCCCACTGTGTGTGTCTATGGAACGTGAACAGAGACCGTGTGCCCCCATAGCAAGCAGCTTGCTATGGGGACATATGAGGAGCCAAGATCGCCAGCAGGGGACCAAGAAGGAGGAGGATCAGGGCCGCTCTGGTGAGTGCAACATGTTTTTTTATTTCAATTAAAAAAAAAAAAAAAAAAAGACACTTTAGTAACACTTAACAGCAGGTATTACTCCCTGTGTGATTACTTCCAAACAGGGATGGGCAGCTGTGACTGCTGTCAGCTTTTCATTGCTTTGCACAGACTACAGGTTTCTGCAAGGTACTTGCTGCACAATGGCCTCTTTGGTTGTGTGAATGAGGCCTAAATGTCCCAAAAAATGTGTCAGAATGCAGAACAATCTATTGTGCATCAATCCCGTCATTTTCTGTACATGAGCAGGCTGATCAACCCGCTGCCACCGGTGACAAGGAGGTGGGCCTTCTTCTGAGGCATTGAACATATGCTCACCAGCTTTTGTGCCAGAAGAATGCTCCACAGCAAATTTCCCACTAACTATTGCATGATTAGGACAAGCTTGTTAACAGATTCTTCCATCCACATAAAAGAGGTGGATGGAGGAATAACCTAACAACCCCCCCTTCCCTCAGAATCTACTGATCAGCAGCTGCAGCCAATCGGCTGGATGGAAAGTTATCTAACATGCCCATTCGACAGATCAATTAAACAATCAGTCAGGTTCTGTCAAGTAGAGGAGCCCATACGCTGATCAAAACTCGATCAGCATATGTCCAGCGTCACAGTCATTGCAAATACAACATATGCAAACAAATAAAAGTAAATACAGCAGGTGAACATGACAACTGATAACCTTCAGGAGGAAAAAAAAAAAAAGAAGAAAAAAAACTATGCTCTAAAAACAAGCAGATGCATAACCAGAATAGAGTAATGAATGCCACCTATATAACAATAACGATCAGAAAATATTCTGGTTGAATTGCAATGTGAGCAAATAACAAAAATTTTTTTTTTTTAACATATTATATAATAGAAGAGAAAAAAAACAAACCGAATCTATAATTAAGTAAGAAGCGTCAAATTCCAGACACACCTTAACCGGAAAAAAAAAAAAAGAAAAAACCAACTGAGGCGTGTCTGGAATTTCTTGTAGGTTTCATTATGTTTTTCAGTATGCCTCAGTTTCTGGTTGTATAGGTTTGTTTTTTATCATGATGTTAATCCTCTCCATACTTTCCCGGTAATTTGTTGTGCCTGAAGGTTAGGTGGTGGGCCTTTTCACCTGATATATTTATTCAATATGTGCAAATGATGACTAAGGACAGAGTCATCTAAAAAAAATATAAGCATTATTTGCAACATTCATTGAAAAAAGTACGTTTTTATAAAGAGATTATGATGTGCCGACGATCTTGGTCCATATTGGAGCAAAATTATCCCTGGCCAGATTCTACTTGTTCCTGTGCTGAAGATAGTTGTCATTGGTGCTGCCATCTGAAATCCTTCATTCAGACCAGGTAGGCAGGATCCAAAACTATTAGGCTTAGGACCACAGTGTACAGAGGAGCCTTGATAGGGCACTGCAGCTTTCACATATATTTGCAAATGTGTGCAACTAAACCCTTTGGTTTTAACATGAATTGTTAGACGGGGTCAATTTGGTGTTTTTGCAGGCTAGCTGGTAAGTGCGCTGGAAAATTTCTCATTTGTGATGTGCAAAGCCCTTCCGTGTGCACCATACTGCAAAGGCTAGTTATAGATTGGGGTGGTTGCCACTTCTGTAAAGCTTGTCAGCTAGATTTGACATGGACACATTCAGCTCCTGCTGGGTGTCTACTGTGTCCCTGTGACTTTAAGAGGATGGGGCTCCCTCCAGGCAAGATTTCCCTTAAGTTATCTACTACTATACATGCTCCAACTTGGAGACTCTCAAAAAAGTAGAGAGTTAGGACCGCACAGAGTTGGGCAGCACAGTGGCTCAGTGGTTAGCACTTCTGCCTGGCAGTACTAGGGTCGTTGGTTCAAATCCCAACCATGGCACCACCTGCCTGGAGTTTGCATGTTCTCCCTGTGCCTGCATGGGTTTCTTCCGGGTACTCCGGTTTCCTCCCACACTCCAAAGACATGTTGGTAGTATAATTGGCTCCAGTCTAAATTGTCCCTAGTATGTGTATGTATGGATGTAAGTTAGGGATCTTAGATTGTACACCACTTGAGGGTTAGGGACTGATGTGAATGTTAAATAGATATGTACAGCGCTGCGTAAATTGATGACGCTAAATAAGTACCTGTAATACATAAATAATAAATAGGACCTCAGTATAAAGAGGAGCCTTGGTGGGGCACTGCGGCTTTCACATATATTTGAAAATGTGTGCAACTAAACCCTCTGTTTTTATTGTGAATTGTTTGACTAGGACAATTTGTTTTTTTTCAGGCTAGCTGGTAAGTGTGCTGGGAAATTTTCTGTTTGTGATGAGCAGGATTTTTGCTGTAATAAGCATAATCCTTTTTCTGCTAAATGATCTTCTTCTAGCTAAAGCGATAGGGCTACGCAGAAATAGATTTAGGATCCAAAGTCATTCTGCATAAAGATAGCCATAATGTTGCAATGTGAATGCACAATCTCATTTAGGTTTACCAACTGCTATGTGGGTCAAAGACCTACCTAAACAAATCCGTCAATTTACATTATGCCAGGTGGGTCCCTATGCTCTAGTTATCATAAGGAAATTGTACAATCAAACTGGAGTGTGTGTGGCAAGCTAGGTATAACCAGACACTCTAGCAGTGATGGCAGATGTCTTTTGTATTTCAGGCTAGCTACATGCACAGTGGGCGTTTAGCCCAGCATTTTTGGGTGCCACAGGTGCAGCGCAAGCTCTGTGGGTCACCAAAATATACGACAGACTGAAATATGTGAAGGGTGGACACTGTACTGAGTGGTAAAAAGCAAAATGTAGTGAGCGCTCTTGCATACGTATAGCAGCTAGAACACTTGAGGCAACCACAATAGCTTTGAAATAACAATAAGAATAATAAAGTGCAGTGCTAAAAAATGAATAAAATGCAGCAAAATTATGATAGGATAAAATGTATAAGTCAATCAGACTCAACAGGTAGCATCCACGGTGCTCTCTAAAAAGATGAACAGTTCCATAGCCTAAAGCCTCAAATAGTAGCAATGCGCACTCACCAGAAACGCATGGATTATGCGCATGTAGGAATGATCCTCCTAGGTATTTAATCTGCCACGAGCCAGGTGGTGGGCATCCATCTAAGGGTTGGTCATCAGGCTTGGATATAGTGAGAGCTCCAACTCAGATCCAGAGATCCCCTTACGGTCAGTCGGGTAATCCACTTGAATGATAATACTCCCTCCTCTGGATAGTAAAGGCACCTTCTCTCTTATAAAACTCCTGTTGTCACCTTCCTCTGGTCATCACTGTATAGATCCAGCAGAAGACAACAGGCAGATCAGTCACACTGGTTGATCTGCCTGTTGTCTTCTGCTGGATCTATACAGTGATGACCAGAGGAAGGTGACAACAGGAGGTATTATAAGAGAGAAGGTGCCTTTACTATCCAGAGGAGGGAGTATTATCATTCAAGTGGATTACCCGACTGACCTTAAGGGGATCTCTGGATCTGAGTTGGAGCTCTCACTATATCCAAGCCTGATGACCAACCCTTAGATGGATGCCCACCACCTGGCTCATGGCAGATTAAATACCTAGGAGGATCATTCCTACATGCGCATAATCCATGCGTTTCTGGTGAGTGCGCATTGCTACTATTTGAGGCATTAGGCTCTGGAACTGTTCATCTTTTTAGAGAGCACCGTGGATGCTACCTGTTCAAACTGATTGACTTATACATTTTATCCTATCATAATTTTGCTGCATTTTATTCATTTTTTAGCGCTGCACTTTATTATTCTTATTGTACTGAGTGGTACTCGCATTTAGGGCTGCAGAAATTCCTGCCTTCTGGGTGTACATTCCTGAATGCAAACAGAGTGCAGCCTTGTCAAGCTGCCACACATTTGGCCCATCATAGATTTTAACAGGCTGCTGGCAGCAGGGCTGGGGGCTATGCAGCTGTACCTCCTAGGTGCCCAATAACTCTGGGATGTGATGCAAATGGTCAAAATGCCCAATGCGCATGGGCCTTAAAAGGAAAGGTGTAATATGCTCTAGTAAATACATAAGTAATAGAAATAAATATTGGATATATTTTTAAGATATAGAATCGTACACAGAAGCTGAGCATACATACCGCTAGTGAGCAGCAAGCCATGATGAATCCCAAGGCTGGCTTGTAGTACAGTTTTTGCCCCCAAGCCATGAAGCCTCTCTGGTGTGGCCTGAGCTGACCCCACCTGCCATACATGTACATCGCCTCTCTCTTTAGCTCCTTCGGAGTCTTCCAAACTAAAAGAATTGGAAAGTATTTAATGAACATACAGACATCACACAATATATGTTCACAAACAGCTGTGCTACTCTGTAACAAACTTCCAAATTTACAGACTGCAGGATGCAAATTTGTTTACAGGTAGTCCATAGCAGTTCAGCAAAAGTCTGAAGCCAACTATACATGGACTGAAATTTGGCTGGTTCAGCAGGGGCAGGCCAAATTTCTTTAAATGTTCCTGCAGCAATTTTATTGAAATATTGTGATCTGAAAATATTACTTAACTCTTTCAAAATGTTCTCGAGTTCACAAAAAACAAAAGCGGCTTTTGGTCCATTTAAATGTTGATTTCATTTTTCAATCTAATTTTATTGATTTTCAGTTGAAAAGAAACAAGGGGTACAGAGTGTAAACAAGAGGAGTAGTACATTGTACAGACATAGTACAACAATAGTAGATAAAGAGCCATGGGTCTCCAACATGTCACATTAATGCAGTGTGGCCCCTGCAATTCAGGATGGCCATGTCATGCTGCCTGAGGGTTGGTAGGTACAATATAGAGTGTATGGTAATGAGAATTGTAGCAAACTTGCTCATCAGAGTTGGACGCGGAGTTCCCCTTTTTTATTAGAAGTATTCCTCAATCCTTTATTCTCCTTCCTGAGAGGCACAGTGACAGATGTGTGTGTGCTGGTTATGGGTCAACAGCAGGTTAAGGCATCCTTAGTTCGGTGCCGAGCAGTCTGCGAAAGCGTAGCCTTCCTCACCTAAGTCATGATAAGGCCAGTGTTCCTCAGAGAATTGGGAAGCACTGACCCAAGAACCTGTGTAGGCTCACACATCATAAACCAGATAAGGCAGCTTCTCCCAGGAACTGGAAGAGATTGTAACCTCATAAAACCTAACAGCTTAAGGTGACAGAATTAAATGAACGTTCCTCAAGTCAGTTTGTCCCCTGCGTTTCATATCATGGATTATGAAGATATTGGTTTTAATTCAGAGTCCGCCTGAGATCCCTCCCAGTTACTCAAAGGCACCCCCCCCTGCTGGGGGACTTTAAAAAGCACAGGCTGTAGGCCTGAGGGTAAGCTAAAAAAGTTCTCCTATCATCCCATCGTAACTTAGGGAGACCCTTTGCTCTGAAACTTGGATCTGCTTACGGCTAAGGCTTAATTGGCAAGTAACTTTAACCCTTTCACCTCTCTCTGATATCTCTTGCTTTGCTATGCTGTTTTCTGTACATGTATAGATATATATACATCTTAGTTACATCTTCTTTGTAAATATTTTATTGCACCTGTTTGGCTCTTTTAGTAATAAATCTTTCTTTCTGAAAGTGTTAAACTGTTTCTAAGCGCTTACTTGCAATTCACTAATTCCTGCCTTTGAAGAGACGCTACTGTTTGTTTTAATCTCTGTATAACCGGCCTGCGGACCGTGTTGTACCGACCATTATTTCAATCATTATAGTGTATTAATTGATAAAGAGAGTTTCCTCTTTCTCTGTACAAAAGGAGGTGGTGGCAGTGAAGGGTTAGTTGCGTAATTAACCTGACCCAGGAACAAGCGCATTCAGGCTGCAGGTACAGATTATAGACCATTAGCTGGACAATCGTTGTGCAGGGCGCAGCTGAGTGTGTCACACCGCGGTTCTAGATCGGCCGGTCCTTTGGTCACGAGTTTGGTGAGAAGGTCTGGGGTCTGACGCTGCGGGCGTGACGTATTGGACGTCGCGGGTCGTGGGATTGTCGCATGTTGAGGGTGGCGATCAGGCGACCATGACAAGAATAACTCCCAAAAATGAAAAGTATAAAGAAGTAAGGGCCCTAGACTAACGGACGTTAAGGTTAGCTGTGCCATCAACTATATGGGTGGTACATATGAAGAATAATGGTATAAAGGGTACATATAAGAAGTGTATGAGTGGGGAAGAAATAAGGAAGGGGGTGAAAGAGAAGGAACGATTTAGTTGAGGGGATTGGACAAGATGGGAGAATTTTTGGGGAGGGGGTGGTGTTACGAGAAAAGAGGTATGGTTTGGTCTAGAGGGAAGCAAGGGTAGGTACTGGGGACCTTTGCCCAGCCATCACCATGGTTAGCTACAAGGTAAAAAGATCTAATAATGTTTAACTAAATGGCACTTTTTTTTTAGCTTTGCATAGAGTGGGAGATTAATTAGAACAACCAACAGTTTTTATTGCTGTCTGTGCCCCGGTTAGGCAGATTCAGCACCTCTATTTGCCTTGTTTACCATTATCATTGAAAGTGAAAAGTAAAAGAAATCCCAAATAATGGGTTTTCACAGAAAAGTAATAGAGGGGAAATTTTCCAATAGGGACACTAGTTTTGGTGGCCTGAGGGTCCCCAAGGAATTCCCTTATTTGGAGAGATGTTCTCACTTCCTCTTTTGGCTATAGAACAGGAAGTGAATTTAAATATCCCCAATGGGACACAGATGGCAAAAAAACAGACAGCTTTTTTATAACCCCCCCTTACCCTATCCAAAATGAAAAAAAGGTTTTTCTTATAGTTCTACTTTATGACAAAAGATTTATTTATTTCAGGTACTTGTATAGTGCTGTCAATTTAAGCAGCGCTTTACATATATATTGAACATTGACAGTCCCTGATCCTCAAGGGGTGTACAATCTAAGGTCCCTAACTCACATTTATATACTAGGGCCAATTTAGACAGGATCCAATTAACCTACCAGCGTGTCTTTGGAGTGTGGGAGGAAACCGGAGTACATGGAGGAAACCCATGCAGGGACAGGGAGAACATGAAAATTCCAGGCAGGTGGTGCCATGGTTAATATTTGAACCAAGGACCCTAGTACTGCCAGGCGGAAGTGCTACCCATTTAGCCACTGTGCTGCCCCAAGATAGTTATGAAATTCCTGGGAGTCCAGGAAGATCAGCCATGCAGCCCAAATCTGGATTTAATCATCTGCTTATAATTTTTTTGGGGCAAGAAAAGTTCCAATTTAGAGATGAAATCTAATTCAGGGACTCATAAGACAGTACTGGAGACTGGTGATGAAATTTCCTCTTTTTAAAGCGAAACTGTAGAAAGAAAACCCAAGTTTAAGTAAACTTCATGAGAGAAACATGGAGGCTTCCATTGTAGACATTATTCTGCAAATTAAACCTTCCTGGATATTTTTTTACCCTCTAACATTAACCACTTCAAGTCCGGACACTTTTCCCCCCTTCCTGTCCAGGCCAATTTTCAGCTTTCAGCGCTATCAAACTTTTAATAACAATTGCGCGGTCATGCAACTCTGTAACCATATTAATTTTTTAGCATTTTTTTGAGACAGCTAACGCTTTATTTTGGTGGTATTTATTCACCACTGGGATTTTTATTTTTTTTTGCTATGTAAATGAAAAAGTCCCAAAATTTTGAAAAAAACGTGTTTTTTCTTATAAAATTTTGCAAATAAATAGTATTTCATCATAAATCTTGGCCAAAATTTATCCCGTTATCATTTTAGTTAAAAAAAACCCAAAAAAAACACAAAATTAGTTTATAACAAAAAATTATAATTACAATTGTTTTTTTTTTTTATATTATTATTTGTTTTGTTTTTTTTTTTTTTTACATACTTGTCACCCTAGCAGTACAGTGTCACTGTACTACTAGTGGGGGGTGATGAAGATTTTTTTTTTTTTTTTTACACTGATTGCTTTTACACCCATAAAGGCTGTAAAAGCAAATCATTTCTCCTTCTCTCTAGCTGCATTCTTGCAGCCATTGAGAACTACTGAGTGAGCTGTGATTGGTCACAACATGTCACATGGTAGAAGGCTGTTGTGAATAGCCTTGTACCATGTGACCTCTGTGATCATTCACAGATTTCACACATAGTAAGCAATGATGTCAGAAGTGACATCTTGCTTACTACTCTGCATGTGATCACTGATTGGCCAATCAGTGATCACATGATCCGGACCTCGCACAGAGGTCTTATCTGACGATCGGTGTTCCACTGTGTCCGGAGGACACAGCGGGATCGGATCGCGGTGCTGCGTGCTCCCAGGGAACGCGCACAAGCAGGGTGTGGGGAGGGCCGTTTATAAAAGGCCACCCGACCCTGCACTGCCACCGTCCAGCCATTTATATACAACGGCCCGGACGGGAGGTGGTTAACACTTGAAGTCATGGACACGTAATAATTATAAAAATGAGAACATCCCATGCAAAGTCCTTAATCGTATATACAGTTTGGGTTATTGCACTGTATCACACCCATAAAGTCAACGTGAAAGCCAGGTGACTAGTATAAGAATTCAGCAAAGGCAGTCCTATGTTTGTCTCAGGAATAGTTCCTTCACGCCACCTCCTCCCCTTCAACCTTCTGATATTTTACTCGCCTTCTTTCCCCAATACTCTGTAGCCCTGTTACTTTCAGGTGTGAACCACATATGCATGTTCCCCATTGCCAACTGCCAGGTCTGAGAGCTGTCACATTGGGGCATGGAGAGTACCTAGCAGAATGCAAGCCCAGACAAAGTATGGTGGGTATTTGCACAAGCCTTTTGCAGATTCAAGTGTAGGAAGTTAAAGCACAACTCCAGAAAAAGAAGATATACAGTGAATATAAAAAGTCTAAACACCCCTGTTAAAATATCAGGTTTCTGTGATGTAAAACAAATGAGACAAAGATAAATCATTTAAGAGATTTTTCCACCTATAATGTTACCTATAAACTGTACAACTCAATTGTAAAACAAAATGAAATCTTTTAGGGGGGAAGTAAGCATAAAAAAATAAAATAATGTGGATACATAAGTGTGCACACCCTCTTATAACTGGGGATGTAGCTGTGTTCAGAATTAGGCAATCACATTCAAAATCATGTTAAATAGGAGTCAGTACATACCTGCCATCATTTAAGCTCGGATTAAGCCCAAAAAAAGTTCAGCTGTTCTAGTAGGTCTTTCCTGACTTTTCTTAGTTTTCTTACAGCAAAAGCCATGGTCCGCAGAGAACTTCCAAAGCATCAGAGGGATCTCATT